CAAGTCATCACGATCATTGTCCAGCTTGATCAACATGTCGAACTTGGGGCCAATAATGATTCTAACTTCATCAACAAAACGATGGAGTCCACATCTGTCCATGATGATAGCTTTGGCCCGTGCTCGGACTGAACCGAGGGTGTTGTCGGACTTGGACTGATCGTCGGTCAAATCATCGACTTTCCAGAAGACATACTGCTTGTTGGGGTCACGATACATACGTTTGGGTAGTCCCTCTTGGTAGTTCTCAATGGCAATCTCGTGCACTTCAGGTTCCAGATCAAATGAGATCTGCGATCATCAGAAGACTTCTTTGCGCTGGCTATCCTCGGTGAGGTATAATCCATAGAATCTTCATTGTCGCTATCAAAGAAGGAATCAATGGTAATGGGAGTCGCTTTCTTCTTTGGTGTCTTCTTGCTGGTTCTTTCTGAGGATGCTGAAGGCGATTGATCTGCATGTAGGAATTTACATTTGCTCCCGAACGTGCAGGTACCCTTTTGCCAATTCCAACATACCTTCTTTTTGGGTCCAGCTGAAGATGAACTTCCTCTACTCTTTCCCCTTGATGAATCTCGACTTCCACTTCTGCCTTTCTTACCTTTCATCTTGGCATCATAGACCTTCTGAGAATGACTGTAAAGACATTTGTCACCTTTGTTGCATCCTCCTTTATTGAAGAAGTAGTTACAGAAAATCTTCTTCTTGTCAACGGGTGAAGATGATCTTCCCTTCCCACCTTTGCCTTTCTTGTTGTTCTTGTCGGCATGAGATTTCGGAGAAGGTGTAGGAAGTACTGATGCAGCTTCACTCTTCGCTTTCGCCTTAGGCCGTTTGGGAGGATCACCTGTAGACGATGCAGCTGCTTCATTCTCCTTCTTGGTCTTGACGGGAGCAGCAGGTTTGTCAGCATCTTCCAGGGCAGGTGTCGTCTTGTTAGAGGACAATGACAGTTTCACTGCACGTTCTCTATCCTTCAACAGTCGTTCTTGCTTTCCTCTTGCTATGTATCCTTTGATCATACCAGTTAGGTAAACATAGGTCTTCTCAGGATGCCCTTCATCAAAGGTTTTGTATCGGTTGATATCAAAGGCCATAAGCTTTGAATGTTCAATCTTCCGGAACAATGTGTCACGCAGGGAATTGTTGGAAGGCAGATCATCATGTTTCATATTGTATACGATGTCAAGCCACTTGTTGTAAAAGGCCTCAAGTTGGTCATCTCCATAGTAGTTGAACATATACAAATGATGGGCATTGTAGAGAACTTCAGTGTGGTCAGGTGACTTGAAGCTAATCAGTATCATTGCAAATAGTTCTCGTCCCTTGATGAAGTCCCCACTTCTCCCATACAATTGGTTCTTCATGGACATGTCATACTTCACTTGCATGGACTTGTCCCCAGCATTGTCAATGACTTTCCTCAAGGCATTGGAGAGCTTGGCATCAATGGATTGGAATCTCACATCGGGTGCTTTGGCCAGGACCTCCAAGTCAGGTTGATCTGCAAGACACGGAGCTAGCCACGCTTTCCAATCTTCATAGTTTCGATCTCCACTTGCAACACAAACTTCATGAACACACTTCCCTTCCAGGATGAAAGTTCAGTGGTCTTAGGCCAGGGTTGGAGGCTGATCTTTTCGGCTTCTCTTAGAGATACGGATGACTTGGATCTATCCCTTTCAAGGTTCTCCAACTCCTTGACATTGGTGTTGTACTCGTTCCTGAGCTTTTCGAAGGCTTCAGCTTCTGCTCGGTATTCCTGCTCTTCATCATTGGCACGATCTTCAGCTTGAGAGAAATTGTTCTTGTAGTAATCTTTCCGATCTTCCATCTTCTTCAACTCATCTTGAAGATTTCGAACTTCATTGTTCTTCTCTTGCTTCATCTCGTCCAATTCAGCTTTCAGTTTGGCACATTTCTCTTCACATTCATTCCGAGGCATAGCATTACTGGGGTACCCATGTAATGTAGTCGGTCTATTCATTGATGAAGAAGAATGAGCTTGGTTTTCCAACTTCAGGGCAGCAATGGCGCTCGACATCTCTTCTACTTCAGCGAAACGCTCATTGGCCAATTGATGCATCTCGGTCAAGTGGCTTTCGGGAATGGAATAGTCAGTCGCACCTTTGATCACGATTCTTCTGTCGTTCAACATCTTGATGGACTTACCTGCATCCCTGTGAGCACGCTCAAGAGAATCCTTTTGGGCTTCAAGTTCAGTATGAAGGCGAGCAATAGCTGTGTCCCTGTCATTGATTTCATTGTGCAAACTGTCGAACAAGTTACTCGTTACATTCGGATTGTTGCTCATGTGATCGATCTTGTTCAGAGCATCTTGATATTTCTTACCAGTTTCATCAAAGTTTCGCTGGAAGACTTTGAGCAGGTCCTCAGTGTCAATGAGTTCAGTTCTGTTTTGCAAGTACAACTTGTCAACTTCAGCCTTGGATTCCTTCAAACTGTCACGTTCTCGCACGGCTTGCATATACATCTCGTATAGAGGTCCTCCATGCGGTGATCTACTTGGTGAAGATCTTCTGGCTTGTTGACAGGAAAGTTCATGATACTGATTCTTCGATTCAGTCAGTTGTTGTTGCATTCGATCTAAAAGACTTTGTTTCATGTGTAGTTCAGAACGTAGTCCCATTATCCTCATGTCCCGCATGCCGCCTGATTCAGCTAGAGATTCTTCAGAAACCTTGTTCTCAGAAATTGCCAGTCGAGATTGTAGGTTCTCATTTTGAATCATCTGCAATCGAAGTTGTGACTCTTCCAAAGCTAAATGATGTTCACATTCTGCATAACGGTCATGTTCAGATCTTATGTTACTACGGAACTCCTTCATGATCTCGTCCCTCTTCATGTCAGCAGCATCGAGCTCAGTTTCCAGTCGTCTAACGTTCATGGCCATGGTGTGCTTCATTGTCTGGTTTTGATTGGCAACCTCGAGCATCTCGATCTGTAAAGCACATGTCTGGTCATTAGCGTAGCCGACCGCTAGAGCTTCTTGCTTGGCATTCATCTCTGCGCTTTCCAGTTCCAGTCTGAGTTGATTGATGTGAGCATTCGCATCGGCGCCCACATGTACCATGATTGCGCTCGCTTGTCCCATTTGTTCATCGAATTCCGAACGTAGTCGTGAATATTTGAATTCCAAATGAGATGCAGCTTCATTCGACATAGTCTGATACCTTTCCAACTCTTCGATCCTGTAGGTCGCACCTTCATCTTCTTGTTGTGCAGCCTGTAACTCGAAGTTCAGCATCTGGAGTTGTTCGGTCATCGACATCATCTCTTGATGAGTGGTGCTTTCCAGGAAATTAAATTGTTGATAGGCATATGCTGTCGTCTCACTCAATCTTGCCTGAAGTACGGATTCTTCTTCAGTGGCCCTTTCCAGTGATGTTTTGTACTCAGCTAATTCACTCTGATAGGCAGTGAAGATGTCGCTACCACTTGACGGGGCGTTCACTTGCTGATAAGATCCTGTCCCTGATGGTGTAGCGTCCTGAATCGGTGAAGGCGGATTCGACGACGTAGTCTTTGCCTTAGTCCTTGGAGTCATCGGAGGCGACAATTGTCGTGCAGATGATCTTCTCTTTCCAGGTGTGCTGTCCCTATCTTCAATTGCTTGCATTGTCGAAATTTGTCTCCCTCTAGGAGCAACCAGAGTCGCCTGGGTTGGCTTGTTCTCAGTTCTGAGGCATCGCTTCCACCAGTGTCGATACTCTGTGAAGAATTTGACTGCGTGCCGGCAGCTGGTGCAACGGCATGTCCAGAGAAAGAAAATGCATTATCGCTGCTATCCTGTTCAGTCATCTGTAAGGCCCGCGGCTACCCGCTCGTAGGCTCCGTAGGAGTCCTACGGCTGATAACCTGCGAATCGGGGATTGCCTGTCCGATTATGTCCTGGTAGTTAGGGTTGAAGTGATTGCTCCAGTGATAACGTTACGCGGGCAGCAGCTTCCGCATAGCTGTTCTTTACTCCAGTGCTGCAGTGGGTCTTGAGCCAAAGAGGCCAGTTTGAATTGCCCCTTTGGTGCTGGATCCTCGAGTGTCTAATTGTGATAATATACAATGGTCCGTAGCCTACACTCTATTCGCAGATATAGATAGATATAGATAGATATAGATAGATATAGATAGATATAGATAGATATAGATAGATATAGATAGATATGGATAGATATCGATAGATATCGATAGATAGATAGATATAGATAGATATAGATAGATATAGATAGATATAGATAGATATAGATAGATATAGATAGATATAGATAGATATAGATAGATATAGATAGATATAGATAGATATAGATAGATATAGATAGATATAGATAGATATAGATAGATATAGATAGATAGATATAGATATAGATATAGATATAGATATAGATAGATATATATATATATAGATATAGATATATATAGATATAGATATATATATAGATATAGATATAGATATAGATAGATATAGATATAGATATAGATATAAATATAGATATAGATATAGATATAGATAGATATAGATAGATATAGATAGATATAGATATAGATATAGATAGAGATACATATATAGATAGATATAGATAGATATAGATAGAGATAGAGAGAGAGAGAGATAGAGAGAGAGAGAGATAGAGAGAGAGAGATAGAGAGAGAGAGATAGAGAGAGAGAGAGATAGAGAGAGAGAGATAGAGAGAGAGAGATAGATAGATAGATAGATAGGTAGGTAGGTAGATAGATAGATAGATAAACAGAGAGATAGATAAATAATGATAGATAGGTAGGCAGGCAGGCAGGCAGGCAGGGAGGTAGGTAGGTAGGTAGAGAGACAGACAGACAGACAGACAGACAGATAGAGGGAGAGATAGAGAGACACAGAGGGAAGGTAACAAATAGAGAGAGAGAGAGAGAGAGCCTGAGAGAGCCTGAGAGCGAGATCAACGAAGAAAAGCGCCACGGCACTCTGGTTGAAGTAGGGGGAATCAAATCAGGCCCAAGGATCCAAGAAGTAGAGCCGAAATTCTCTTCCGATGGTGATTGGCGATGGCCTGTTGGATTCACATGGGAGCTGAGAATAAAGAAACTTCAAGAAAACATCACCGCCTCAAAGTTTCTGAAGTGTTCGGCCGTTTTGAATGACATGTTGGTTTGATGATTTGAAATGATTTGAAGCTTTGCAATGCTTCGCTCCAGTCCTTTGTCCCGAGCCCTCACGCAGCTCGACATCTGATGCAAAGTCGGACATGCGTCGGATGTTGATGCGCACCTTGAATGTTCCCACTGAGCATGTGGCACAAAATGCTGCTGCAAAATGGCCTCTAACTGCAACACATCCGAAAGGGAAACTCGCTGCAACAATTTTCCATGCTGCCTCTTCGTCCAAGCGGGAGTTACCTTGAATGGACGTCACGCTGCCAAGCCAGGCTTCAGGATGCTGCCAACCCGTACTGTTCCCCATCCTCAGCTTGGGAGCAGCTGTCACAGGCAAGACGTAATATGCATTGCATCCGGCATCCGGCGTCTGTGGGCCACGAATCACAATTGGATAATATTACATCCTCGAGCAAACAACTATGATCGACTGTGCATCAATGCCATCCAATGTGCCTTTACCATCCTTTACTCCACATCCTGAGAAAACATGAGAAAAATCCAATGCAAATTATACTTGTTGCATCGCACGGAATCCCGATGCGGTCTCTGCGAAGCTTCTCCGGAGATTCTTCTGCTTCTCTCTGAATTTCATCTGCAGCCTCACTGGGCACCAGAAGGACCAAATCAGTGGCCCGCAGCGGTCGGGCACCCTGGCATGGCGTGCCAAGATAAGTGTGGTTGGATGCCCAGCCCATGTGGGCTTACAATGTTCAACTGCAAGCTAAATCAAGCCACCTTCAAATTGCAACTCAAAACGCAACTGGCCTCTACCAACTCGAGCAAATTGCTGTCTGGTGGGGATGTGACAGAGATCCGGTCAGCCTGCGCATGGCCAACAGGACGTGCCGTAACATGCTGTAACTAGATGCAGCGACTACTTTGCAAGCGACAAGAACATGCATCGACCGATACGAGTACGGAGCAAACACAAATTCAACAAGAAGGCTGTGAAAGGTGTCAGCGGCTGAGTGACTTGATATTCAGTTGCCTCGGCCAAATGAACTTCCACGGTAGGAACGCTACATGCCGCTTTTGGATCTAGCTCATACGTCTGAATGCCAGACATCAACCTTGGCACGCCGAATTTCTCAAGCCTTAAATTTAAGGCTGCAACCCTGCTACGCTCCGATAGGTTTATCATGGTTTATCATGATTTGTCTGCCAAGCGTCCCCCCATGTCGCTCCAGAGCGAGCAAGTGGCGAAAACGCTTGAAGTACTCCTGAGAACATCTGGGGATATAGTTAGTTCCAAGCCTAATACAAGGTCCAATAAGTTGAATGTTCCTGTTTTTCCTACGTTGCACGGATCCCACAGCCACCCGTCCTTCTCTTGCTCTCCGGGGAATGCATCTGCTAGAGGAAAGCCTCAGCTGATGCCACAGAGTCTTCAAACTTCTCAGTTCTGAAGATGATAGTTGTTGGCCTCTCAGAGAGGGAAAAAAAAGTATCTGGAAAGCCGTAGTTGCATGCCTATTGTTTCAGGCTACTTGGCCCGGTAGCCCATTTTTGTGGCACTTTGCAATTCTCACACCAAAAAATGCACTTCATCTTTTGCTGCAATAATAATGACCGTAAAAGTGCCGTATATATCCGTAAAGTGCCATAAATACCCGTAGAAATCCTAATCCTAAAATGGTACACTTTCCAGTGACCAAAATTTCGGGCACTTTGGAAAATGCCCAAAACAATGGGCACTAGGCTTTCCAGGTGCCAATCCAACAAAACAATTCCCGCATGTCCTAGGATGTCCTAGCCAGCAAGTAAAAGTTTCCGGCAACAAAAGTGTCACGGATCTGTGCATTCAATATTTGACTGGGAAATTACCTTGTAATCCTTGTAATGCAAACGGGATGACTCATGGTGTTACAAGGTTCACCGAACCTCCCCGTGTTCGAATTGCTCGCTTTTCTTTGCAGCCCCCGTTTGGGCCCAGGAACCTCCTAATTCGCGCAGTGCTGGCAGGGCCATGAAGTAGTGGCGGATGGCAAAGCTGGCCTCGTCCAGCAATGCTTCCCACAGATCTGGTGGAAGGCCATTCTCTTGGATCCGAAGTGTGGCATCGAGAAGTTCATGTAGGTAAGCTCTGTCACCTGCGGGCATCATACAAATGATGCAAATGTGATGACTCTCAAAGGAAGTTTCGTTCTTAAACTTCCGAGTTACGGACGAATGTCCATGGTCAGCCTTGCCGTCATGTCAACCACAGAGAGGTATAGCAGCACTAGCAGGTCGCAGGTGGGAACAGTAGAGAAGAGTAACAGTTCGGGAACGTGTGAATTCACGGGCGCAAGCAAGAACAGGCGGGAAACCTTGTGTTTTTACGGGTGTGATGGCGCCTGGGCTAGGGTCTGAGTTTCCGCGGGTGTGGGCCTCGATTGGGAAAGAGTTGTCAACAAAAAGCGCCCGAGACCGTATCGAGAGTTCGGCTTGCACTTCGAGATGCTAAAAAGCAATCACGTTCGAAGAAGGAAAAATGCACGTCATCCTTGCCATTCATTTCCCTGTGTATTTTCCTTGTTTATTTCCCAATCTGAATCCCTATTAAATTCGTATCCCAATTAATTTCCCCATTCCCTATTTCTTTCCCTATCCGTTTATATCACCCTATTTACTTTCCCTAGTTCATGTCCCTATTTATATATTTATAATTATATACCTTGTCCATCTCCATAATTATTTCCCTATGTTTTGTAATGCACCCATTTATTTTCCTGTTTTTCCCCTTATGTTTTCCCCTTATTTAGTTTCCCATTTATTTATTTCCCTATGTACTGTATTTCCTAGTCCTTTATTTCCCTCTTTATGTCATGTCCCTATTTATTTCATTTTATTTCCGTACTTTTCCTCTTTTATTTCCCTAGTCGCTTCCCCGTGGTTTTTCCTTTATTGCTTCCCAGTAGACATTCCGAACCAAAAGAGCTTGAGAACTGCGAAAGGTTGCTCTTGCCCGCCTTCGCCCAGCACGGCACGCATCACGGAGGGCAGAAATGAACTCCACATGTTGATGTCTGCGCCCTCCATCAAAGTTATGGCCCTCTGGCAGGCATCCTGCAGCACTTAATAAATGCTAAAGGCACCCAGCTTCACCCGAGGTCCCTGCGGGAATCCATGGTAGCTGGATATAGCTGGATATATCAAATGCATTCAAATGCTGTTTCTTTCCATTTGCGAACCACAACAAACGTAACTAAACAGGAAAACAAACAAATCAAATAGAAATAGTGATAGGATATGACAGGATGTGATAGGATGATGGGTGGGTAATTAGTTATTCTATACCAGTACAGCAAATATTCGTGTAAACAAGCTACACTACACCCAGCACAACGGACTATGCGGGGGTTGCACATGACTAGAATGACTTAGAAGTCTACTGACTCTGGGGGTGTAGGATCCTGATATCTGTGCCGTGCCGTGACAGCTTGCAATGGTGCTCCTGTATGCGTTGCTCGTCTAGCGCCAGCTGAATCTCCTGCCTTTGCTTCGCTTGCTCCTCAGAGAAACGGGGTATGTGGCCCTGCTGAATGAGCATCTGCTCGTGGGCCAATGCCTCGAGAGAGCAAGTTGGCATCAGCAAATTGTGGCAGAAGTGATGGTCCAGCTCCGAACATCCGACATCATTTTGCCATTTGACAAGTCATTTGACATCATTTGACATCATCCCCACCTTTGCAGCTGGCTTGGAGTGAGCAACCGCGATGACCTCCTCTGTCTTCAAGCCATCCGAATCATAGAATCTCCAAGTGAGTGTGCATTCCTCAGGCCACCCATGGCCACCCTCTGCTGGTACGAGACTGAGCGCACAATGGTTTGCCAAGTCACGCTGCTCCCTTGTATGGTCTTTTTGTAAGTCTTGGTCGCCTGGCACAGGGAAACGATCAGATGGGAGCAGCATGGAACCCCATCTGCAGGAAGATGCCGAATGAGGACAATCAATTCATGTGAAATTATGAAAGTACCGCATTCACAATTTGACTTTACAATGAGTACGATGCTAAAACGCAAGAAATTGGACATTGGAGTGTGACGATGCCAAGACCCACGGAATTATGCAATCCAGAATTTAGAGGTATAGAGGAACCAGGGGCAAGGCACATGCACTATGGCAAGGAAGGAACAACAAAACACTGCCTTGCTTGCAAAACTAATGTGCGCGATTCGGGACAGAAATTGCACACATCTTATTAGATTTATTATATTTATTAGTCTTTTTAGCCTTGTGATACCTTGTCACGATCATGCAACATACTTCAACATACTCAATGTGATTAGGCAAAAGGCGGAGATGGCTATGCCAGGCAAGGAAAGACAAGAGATGAAACATTGAGATGCCCCCTCTCTCTGCAAGGTGTGCATGCCTGCTGAGTTGACTCTGAAAGTTCATTCTGAAACAAATTGATGAATCAAACTCCAGACAACGATATCTCTGAGACGCAAAGTCTAAGAGACTTTGCGACACGCAAACCCTGAATCCAGGCAGCCTCAATATTCAGCTTCTGGACCACTGAATTGTGCATGACATTGACTTCGCCCATCCGATGTCTTGACATGGATGGCTGGGCAGCCTGGGGTGCCTGGGCTGTCTGGGCCATGGCGAATAGAAACTTTCAAGTCACATTGAGCTCTACACTTCATGCTGCGCCCCCTTCAAGCCCGGAAATAGCGCCTTGACAGTCTTGACAGGCGCTGGTTCCTTCTCTGATTTCTTGGGAAGTGAAATCTTCTGGGTACCGCGTTGAATGTAGACCTCCTGCAAACGACCGAAAGCACAAAAAGAAGGTCCTGCGCAGCAGCCATTCCATCGGTCGTCCTCCAGAGATGGCGGAAGCGTCTCGTACAAAGCCGCGAATGCTTTTCGACGGGAATCAGCTGCTGATTTTGCAGATCCAGTTGCCACAAACTCACCCTGGCAAGAGAAATCAACAACAGTCAAGCCATCGCAGGTTTGAAGCTTCCCAAACAAATGAGCAGAAATTGATCTGAAACATTCTGAAACTATCAAATGTTGAGGGCGGGAGGACATTCTGAAATATCCAGATCCGCTTTTTGCTCTTTTCAAACTGCAGCTGACTGAGATCATGCGCACCTCAATCTGGGGACAAACCAAAGTGCAAGTATGAGTTTTTCCGCCAGCACGCGGAACATCCTGTTCTGCTTCTGGCTTGTCCTTTCTGATCAGGGATCAAGGTAGTGAGAGCTGTGAGACATTTCAAGAGCAGCTGCACAGCAAGAACCATCACCAGCCAATGTGTTCAAACTCACTTGCCGACCAAAAGCTGCCTCCTTCACCTCCAATGTAGCCTCCAACTCTTCGGTGATGGAGGCGATCAACTGATTACACGATACTTTTTCAGGCTCATTTTGCTTCATCAGTTTCTTTGTGTTTTTTGCTGTCTGTTTCTGCAGGTTTTGAAGGTTCATGCTGCCATATGCTGCCACTCATTCTGCCAAAGTGCCCATTGAGCTACCGCTCCATTGTGCCGGGGGTCTAACATCTCTGCCTGACAATGTATTTTTCCACAGATTCCTTCAGGAAGTTATGATGAGAAAGGAAGAAAAATTGGGACAAAGCAATCGCACTGAATCGCACTCCCCTAAGAGTGAACGCAGTGGTAAGTTGTACGTTGGTTTTTGGACACGGCCTCATCACCAGCCAAGTGTGTCAGCAAACTCCGAGCAGCTTCATTCTTTGCGCCGCGCTTGGACCGGTGCTTTCCCTCCTCCACAACCTCCTTGCCATTCCAAGACCACCTGACGCCAAGACAGTGCAAGGATGGAAGTGCGGTGTCGCATGACACCGATGTCATATGCTTTGGCCAAGTGATTGTTCTAGTGAAATGATATCATATGATACCCATTCCAATTTAAATCAAGCATAAGCAATGCAAACGGCTGTTGAATGGGTCAAATATGGTCAAATGGATTCCTCAGCGTTTCATAAACATCATAAACCTCATGCCCGAAGAAGTGGGCACTAGAGCTGCCCAGCCACTTGATGCTGTGTGTGAAGGCTGACGTCTCTTCCTTGCCACGGGATCCACGGGTCTCATCATAAGTGACCACAGCTTAGTTCACACGTACATCACGCTGACCCAAACCAATCTGCTTTGTGCTGGAATCTGGACACTTGACATACCCCAACACCTTTTGTATGCCCGAATATGCCCGAATAGTGAGCTGAGCTTCGCAACGGCCGGGGGTTTCTTGCACTTCAGGCCGGATCTGATTCTGCACGATGTTGTAGCATGGTAGAACGTTCTCGGACTGCTGCAGCACAGTGGCAAAAGAGACCTCGAGAACCATGCGCAGTCTGAATCTCTGTTGTACTCATCTGATGAGAGCACGGCCTTGTGCACAGCAGTTCAAATTCTGTAGTTTTGTTGTGCCATGTGCGGTAGCCTGCTATATTCCTGCAACATCAAATCAAAGTCAGTGTGTGCTCAGACAGTCATGCTGATAGTTCATGAGTACTTGAAGCGGCCTGGTGTCTGACACCACTAAGCTGAAGTAGCCTCACAGCATTCGAGACCGTCCACACGCAACTTGCGAAAGTCAGCGACGCCGATTGTGGAAGAATATGATGCCTTTTGAAGCATTAATAACGCGCCTCTCTCTCTATATATGTATGTGAAGTATATATAATATTATATAGTATACAAACATTCTACGGTTTTACCATGTTTTACCCTATACATCCCTATACATATTGGAATAGCAATGGTGCCGCACAAGGCGGTGGTGGAAGTTTTAAAGATGGCGAACCATAGGAAACCTATAGGAACTGTTTGATTGTTGTATATGTTGTATGTTGTTGTGATAAACGTAAGAAATGCTAGATTGAAGTAGACCTTCAGCCGTCTGAAGCAGTTTCCTTACCTAACAACCTGAGGGTTTGAACAGATTCATCATGAATCGCATGCGTTTTTTCTGTGCGCCACTGATTTTTGTAGTGACTTTTTGTAGACGGCTCAAGCAGATGAAAAACCTCCGGGACGCATAGATGGGAAGATGCACTTGGGTCCACTGGTGAGATACTACACATTTCTTGCCATTTCCAGAGTCTCTAGCCTCGCTGCTTTTGACGGAGGCCAAAAAACACAAAACGAATCGCTACCCTCTGAAGGGGAAAAAGCAGATTTTTTTTAAAAAAAAAACAAAGTCTTACCTGTCATGCGCGTAAAGTGAAATTCAGCTCTGCAAAATGTGTGCAAAACATGCGCGAAGGGCTATGCAAACGACAATAGGCGCGGAAACTTCGTGAAAACTTAAGTCAGCGGAAAACTAATATAATTATATGCTTGATGTGAAAAGCCAACAAGAGCATATAAACCAACGTGGAACCCGCGAACGCCAGAAAAGAAGCAGCTAGAGCGTAGCAAAGCATTGGTAAAAGCACCTTGGGACTCAACACGAAGAGCAAGATGGTTCTTGACATTGCTCCATTCAGGCACCTGATGAACTATCGAGCATTTCAATTTTCCGTAAACATCCGTAAACCAATTTATGTTGGGGTCCTGTTTATTTGTTCTTTTGATTGGTTCTCACGTCTTGCAAGTTATTTCATTTAATGATACCCGAGTTCTTGAATGTAAGTCCTGGAGATGAACCGTTGTTGGATTCTTTTGGTGGTGGCTTCAACCTTTGCAGACCCTAGTGCAATCTTCCGTACTGGACTTGATCGGGCCTCCCAAATCGCCCGGCATTCATCATGGCTCTAGACACAACGAAACTGGCATGCAGCACCTCCTGGAAGGTCTGATGTTAAACTCATTTGTTATGTAGAATTACTATCATTTCTTGATTCGCATGTTGCTCCATTCTGATCCATGTCGTTTCCATGTTGATTCATGTTCTTGGGCTATGTTTGGACCAAAACTGTCGGCATTGTATGTACAGCATCACGCAGTGACATGACGCAAGGTTTTCGCAGGGCCTGTTGCCCATATCTACAAAAACAAAGGCTGAATTCGTCCAGTGAGCGGGCCAGGAAACTTCAAACCATCAGGATCCAAAAGCAGACTTGGAGGATGAACGGGTCAAAGCTAGAATGTGACCAAGCATGACTACACACTCTCCAAGAACATGCTAATTATATACAATTATATAAGTAACAAGTATATTAAAATATATTAAACTGTTTAGGTTCAAGCAGAGTTTGCAGCCATTCTGGATAGATGTGCACCTGCTTTCTACAGTATGTAATCTTCTTTGATCAAAACTCATGCAATGCACAAAATCCCTTGATAATGATGATGAGACTCTGGCATATGGTGACATTACCCCAGAACTAGACTGTCAATCCTGCTTGCCAATCTCGATAGTCAAACCCAGTATTTGCTGTGTTCTTTTTTTCCCGGATAGAAGTGGCAGAGGAGCTCCCACAGCTTGTCCAATTGAGGCCTCTCTGACAATCATCCGTTTGAACTGCTTCTGGGAGATACTCTGGGCTTAACTCCTCTCTCAGGTACTGCACACAACCCCTCGGCGGCCCTCCGCTGACTAAGATATAAAATGAGTATATCATACATCTATGGTATTCTACGGTACAGTATATTATTAATATTGCGTTATGTATACCAGCAGTATCGCGCACATTTTTTGCGAGGAAGGAGTCCCGAACCTGGTGACGGCATGCAGGGATATGCAGGGCATTTGACTTTCCACTTGCAACAAGTGATAGCTTGTCATCAGGCCTCGTCTAGGAGAGCTGGCACGGCATGGCCACTCTCTGTACAAGCAGTGACCACGTCGCAAAGCAAAACAAAATCGCACCGGATTTCGCTATCACCTTGGGATGAACATGCTCTCACAGGGTCAGAATGACCAAACAAACTGGACAAAAGCACTTCTTGCTGTTTGCACTGAAGTTTTCCTCTGCGAGCGGTCCAAGTGCATGACGCATGTCTTCTAGAACCTGCATGTTGTGACTCACAGCATGACCAAGCAGGATACTTTTCAGAAAATTCCAGAGGGGTGCCATCCTGCCTGCAAGCACTGTAACCACTGCTGTGCGGTAGAGCATGCAGAAAGGGTGGCAGCATGAATTATGAAGCTTTTGACGTTGAGCTCATGCAACAAGTCCTTGGCAAACAGTGTCTGCATGTGGCATGCGCATGAAAAATACAGAAAAGTAAAGTAAAGGATGTTTAGATCAAAATCTGAAAACAGCTTAGAGTCAAGAGCCACTGGCCATTGACCTTGACAGGCACTCACCACGGAAGAAACCTTGACCACGTCGTGTTCAAGCGCATGCCTCAGACAATGCTCTGCACATCTCCGCATGTTCATCTTTCTGCGAATATATCGCGGTCCTCACATGTCCTCGCCCTGCATGCCCTGCATGCCCTGCATTTACAAACAAGTTGCAGGTTCATCTCCTGCAACAATTGCACAGCTCGAGCCCAATGCTGTGCTACTTCGCAGGCCCCGATAGCCGCACCAAACACATCCTCTGACAACCTAAGTCGACTTCACCACCATGTCTATATTATAACAGATATCAAAGACGCGGACCTCACACAAATTTTGGAACACTGAAACACAAGGAAAAAAAGTATTCTTGCCTCGTCTCACATTCGTCTGACATCTACCTTTAGAACTGGGATGCGCGCATTCCCACTGGGACGCCTTGGAAGACTCCCAGTGCTTGATGCCACTCCTTTGCACCACCACAAGCACCTCAGAATTTTGAAGGAAACCAAGCGAAACAAGACTTTCTGGATCTTTCTGGCTATTCGGCTATTCCGTCACAAAATGTCACAAATGGGGCAGCATCCTCAGGAAAGCATAGAAAAGCAGCGTCTATCACATTGCTGTCCTCTAAACATAAACCGCAATAAGGGCAACCTGTGCTTTCCCACGCTTTCCTCAGGCTGAATTCATCCACGGCTCTGACTGCAGCTGAAACAGAGATCTCAGTGGGTGCCACTCGGTGGAGAAGAAGGATCTGCTCCAGTTTCAGTGACTTCTCCCAAGCACCGCCTCTGCCAGATGCGCTAATCAGCATGTTCCAGAAGCCACCTTGGCATGCTTCATCCATTCACCCTTAGGGATCACTGGTCACATCTGGTCACATCTGGTCACATCTGGTCACATCTGGTCACATCTGGTCACATCTGGTCACATGGTGAAAATCCCTGGTCCTCCCGGGACCATGTTACAGGATGTTACACGTGCACCAAGGTGCTATCTGCTTTGGCGCCAACAAGGCGCATGTACGGCCATAGATGCATCGCCGTTTCCCACTGTCTCACCCTCCTTAAGGCGAACAAACAGGAAGAATCGCGTAGATAGGTTTGGTAATTTGGTAATGCACATATATGCACATCAGCAAGTCTCATCACAACAAGCATCTTTGCATCTCAGCAGAGAGCACATCAATTATGACTGTTGAACACATGTTGCAAGCCACACCCTTGCGTGCACTGCTCATTTTGTAAAACATAAGTCCGAGCGGGGTGATGGAAACATTCGAAATAATTCCATGGCTCGGTCAATCCGCCGGGAGATCGCAACATCTCAAGAATCTGCACTTGTCTTTGCCAGTGCCCCTCTTGTCGAAGCACTTCTGTGGCGCCAGGGGCAAAGGCCCCGGCCGCCACAAGATTCACTGCCAACGTACAGCTCGCAGCTGGTTGGCAGCCTCTAGACATCTCAAAAATCCGAAATTGAAGTGGATGCATGTGCATCCATGGATTCAGAGCAGCACACCAAAGAGCAGGGTTAGAGCCTTGCCACCCTGGGCAGTGAGGCTCCATCCGCTCCTTGGGGCTTGACTTCTTTTATGGTGTGGATTGCGGCTTCCACCGCGTCCATCAAAGCATTGACTTCCTCTTCTGTGTTGTGAGCATGAAGTACGATGCGCAAGCGTTCTTTTCCGGCTGGAACTGTGGGTGAGCGAATTGGCAGCACATCAAACCTCTGCCTGAGGATGGTGGCCACCTGCACACATTCCACATTGCCTGGAACTATGATTCCTTGAATGGGTGATGGGCTGTCCAACACCATTTCTGCTGGCAGTCTGGCCAGTCTGCTTTGAAAAGTCTTGATGAGCTTCCGCAAAATCTCCTGCCTTGCTTCTGCCTCTTTGCTCAAGAATGCATAGGCACAGCGAATGGCAGCAAGGGAGTGAAGGGGCAAAGATGTTGAATACACCAGTGACCATGCGTAGTTGATCAAATACTCCCGCAGGACAGCCGGTCCAACCACCGCAGCACCATGAGTTCCCAGAGCTTTGCCAAAGGTATGGATGCGGCAAAAGACCTCAGACTCCAGGCCTAACTCGGAGACCAAACCGCGACCCTCAGCACCATAGACTCCAGTCCCATGGGCCTCATCCACAATCAAAGAACCACCACAAGAATTGACCACTTCACAAAAGTCACGCAAAGGTGCCAGATGACCATCCATGGAATACACCGACTCCACTGCCACGATGATATTTGGGGCTTTCTGACGGTGCTCAGCGAGGCATTGAGCAATGGCCTCACGCAAGGCCTCCACGTCGTTGTGGCGAAACTGCCTGGAGCTGCCCCGACTGAGCTTCAGGCCCTCTCGAACTGATTGATGGATCAGCTCATCATAAAACACCACATCTCCAGGTTGAGGAACCGAGGCAAAAAGTCCCATGTTCAGATCGAAGCCCGAATTGAAGATCAGCGCCGCTTCAGCGCCATGGAATCTGGCAAGTTCTCCTTCCAAAGATTCACTGTAGGCGGAGTTTCCTGAAAGCAGCCTGCTCCCTGTGGATCCAATGACACTGCACCCATCCTGAGAAAGACGGGCAACCTCAGCCTCAATCTGCTCTGTCAGCTCTTTGGATTTTGAGAAGCCTAAATAGTCGTTGGAGCAAAAATCGATGCCTTGGTTAACCGTCAGTTTCCTGAGCAAACCTTTGTCTCGTCTTCTTTCAACAAGCTCCTGAAGTGCTAGCTCTAGGCGGCATGGTCTGGGACTACTGGGACTACTGGGACTCTCCCGCTGCTGCATACCAAGAGCACCTGCAGTCATCGGTTTCAGCGTCAATGACCGCTTTGGCCCGGAGCTCTCGGCTAGATTGAACCGAGCTCGAACAATGGTCATGGAATCTTGGGCGCGCAGCATTTTCAGAAACATCTTGCTGCCTGCATTCTGGGAAGGGGGTGCCGACCACACATAGATGGTGAGTGCATCATCCAAACCGACCATACTCAGAAACTCAACATAAATTGAATCCACATCATCCAACCCAGCAAATGAAGCATTGGAAACGCTGCAAGCTGCAGCATGCCTTGCATCTTGCAAGTAGCTCATCAAAATGGCATTGTTCACATGTCGGTGGCCATCTAAGTCGGAGAAACGAGGCTGGCATGTGTACTCAAAAGCATCAGCTGGCGGTTGCTCATCACCAAGCCATCTGTCAACTTCTTGACTTATTGGGGAGCACTTCTCTGCATGTACATTCAAGCCGTGCGAAACAGGCTTCCCAGTGTCAGGGGAGAAAATGATGATTGAGCTGGCAAGTTGACAAAGCAGCTTGCGGCTCTTGTCATCACCTGTGCCCATTTCATGATAGAAATTCTGCTCAGTGTCCAGGGATGTTCGCCCCAATCGAGTCACTTCAGTAGAAATGGCAAAGTCTGATCGATAGTCAGTACAGCTATGATAGCGCTTCTGCTCCAGAAACTTGAAGCTGTGAGATCGGATCACCCATGGAGCATCTCCGACCTGAAAAGGGTGACCTTCTGTGTTGAAGTAGTGGTCTTTGGCTGCATCACCCCAAGCCGCCAAGCTGGCGATGTATGATGTCTGGGTGCTGCCATTGACCCATTGCATTTGAAGCCGGTACATCGGCAAACCTGAGGGGAAGCCCCCTGCTTTCCGCCTACCCGCGCGCCCAGCAAATCGATCTCTCTGGCTGCGGAAAGTTCCAAAGCTGCCAAAGTCTGCCAAAAACGGCCACATTCCAAAAGCATACTGCATGCCTGCTGCGGTATGAATATCTGCACAAGAAACACAGACTGGCGGAAAGGAACCAATGGAATTGAATCAATAGAATTCTGCAAGGGTTCGAACCGTTCTACAATGTTCTACAAGCAAAGCGTCTCGCAAATAGAAGCCACCGAGCTGAAACTGATGGCATCCACCGTGGCTTTCTTCCGCACCTTGCGGCTCAGCGGCTTGGGTCCTGGCAGCTGCCATTCACACGAAGATAAGATATATCTCCATCTCTCCATATATCTCCTTTGGAAATGCAGACTCGAGCCTACGTGACAAGCATCTAAAATATGCACTGCAACAAAAATTATGGAAGGTACACAAATGTACACAAAAAAATCCACGAGTTTGGGCAGCAAGCCTCTGAATCTCAGGACATGGTAACACTTGTGCCGTACCGCTATCAATTTGCATTGACATGCATCGACTATATATCGACTACATATAAATCTATATAATCTACATACTCCTCTAGGAAGGAAACGCCACAATTGGCACAGCATGATCTGGCCATGCCCGGCACGATCCTTCAAGTCCTTCCTCGCTGACCGCGCTGAAGTCATTGCTGGTCAGCACTGGGCTGGTCAGCACATGCAATCCCATTCTCCAATTGCCGGAATCTCTCATCGAAGCAAGGGCTGCATTTAGAATGACCTCAGTCGAATGATGCTCGCCAACATCATCCATAGATAATCATAGATATCCATGGGCCACACGCGCAAAAACTATGAAAAACTCAGCTGCGTTTGAACGGCGAGAAGCGACATTCGCTGCCTGAGCTGTGATGGCCAACCAGACCAACCAGGCCAACCAGGTTGGTGGATAGCATTGGAAAACAACAACTAGAAATGTTGTTTGACCCGAACAAAAATTAGTTGACATCTCTTGAATTACAATCAAATGGATATTCATCCGACATCCTGCCAAGTATGGTATCATTAACCATGCACTTTGCTATGTAGTCAACTGATCGACGAGTGACACGCGGACAGAGGTGGAGTGCGCTCTTCCACTGTTGGCCTTTCTCACACGCTGCAGCAACTGCACCATGTGTCACCTGGTTTCTTGCTTGGATTTTGCACAGCAACTTGCCATGCTCGCCCTTGCCAGTTGTGATTTACGCAGGAGTAATTGACTTAGATGTGGACAATGTCGCCGGGTTTGAAACATCAACGTACTAAGGATACATCAGATGCTCCATTTCAGCTGCACAAACAGGGTAGGGCAGGAATAAGAAACACTTGCATGGGTATGGCAGCATGATGTCAACAATTGTCAACACATCAACGTCATCTGATGCCATGCCACAATGGCCATAGTAGCTTGGGAAACCTTCCAAGACTTGACAAGACCTAGCCACACCCGGTCCCCCCAACATCCCTCAGCGCCGGCACCTCGTTTGGAAGCTGCCGCTGAGCGGGCAGTTTTGCAAACACGTCGATGGCCTGTTTTCATTTCTGTCATGGATGGGCCAAAAGCAGGGAGCCAAAATGGGCAAAATGGATCAAAATGGGCAGTAAAATGAGCAAGTTGTGGGAGTCATCACCCTGCCTTCAGCCACTGGCTACCACGTGTGCAAGCTGTGATCACTGAGGTGGATGTCACCACGTTTGCCTCAGCACAGTCAGCACCATCAACATCATAAGTACCGTCATCACTAGCATTAGCAGCAACATGCAACGTACAACATGCAACATCATCACTACGATTTCGACACCCAGATCTGCCAAGTTTCCCTGATGTTCAGTCTCTTCATATCCTCCAGCAGTGCCAAGACTTGCTGCCACTCGCATAGACCGATGGCTGCAGTGAGAGTCATCACTTCCCACGGAACCCGGAGCAAGTGCCTCCATTTTTCTACAGCAACTCCCTGATGTACAAATACACACTCACTAATGAATCCGTGCATATCCGTCCATATGTTTATTACACACAGATATATATATATATATATACGTATATAATATAATGAAATAATATTAGAAATAATTACATATATGATGTATATATGATGTGTATATATATATATATATGATGTATATATGATGTAAATATTATGTATAATATAAGATGTATGTATGACAATATATGATGTATGATGTAATGTAGTACACCGATTGGTGTCCTGGCTCCCTATTGTGAGTTTTTGTTTCCTGACCAATTGAGTATCTTGCCGTTTGTCGGGGATGGGGCTCTACTATTGTCAGAAGTTTTTTCTCAGATCCAATTTTTTCAGGAGGAACTTTATCCACCTTTATCCACCTTTCTTTGGGTAAAGCTGGTCCATTTACTTTAGAAAGCCGTATCCATGTTAAAGCCTTGAAAATGCAAGATTTCCCAAATAATTAGATGCCTTCTTAAAGTCTTTTTCAAAAACAGCACACAAACAATTGTTCAAGAGTACCCCATGAGTGACCGAGATCCTCAATATACAATGTAATTGTTTGGATGGCACCCTATTGTGCACGAAAACTTTTGGGGTGATTGTTTCGTATATTATGTAGATTTAAAGGGAAAATCAATTGAAAGCAGATTCAAATGAATTGAAAGTAAATTGTTTTCAATTGAAATCCTTTCTTACCAATTTAAAAGGAAAATCAATTTAAAAGTAGATTCAAATGAATTGAACGTAAATTGATTTCAATTGAAATCCTTTCTTATCAATAGATTTATTTGATGTTTAAAAAGAAAATCTGTTAAAAGTTGAAAGTAGAATCAAAATGAATCAAATGAATTGAACGTAAATTGATTTCAATTGAAATCCTTTCTTATCAATAGATTTATTTGATGTTTAAAAAGAAAATCTGTTAAAAGTTGAAAGTAGAATCAAAATGAATCAAATGAATTGAACGTAAATTGATTTCAATTGAAATCCTTTCTTATCAATAGATTGATTTGATGTTTAAAAAGAAAATCTGTTAAAAGTTGAAAGTAGAATCAAAATGAATCAAATGAATTGAACATTAAATTGATGTCAATTGAAATCATTTCTTATCAATAGATTTATCTGATGTTTAAAAAGAAAATCTGTTAAAAGTTGAAAGTAGAATCAAAATGAATCAAATGAATTGAACGTAAATTGATTTCAATTGAAATCCTTTCTTATCAATAGATTTATTTGATGTTTAAAAAGAAAATCTGTTAAAAGTTGAAAGTAGAATCAAAATGAATCAAATGAATTGAACGTAAAGTGATTTCAATTGAAATCCTTTCTTATCAATAGATGATTTGATGTTTAAAAAGAAATCTGTTAAAAGTTGAAAGTAGGATCAAAATGAATCAAATGAATTGAACGTAAATTGATTTCAATTGAAATCCTTTCTTATCAATAGATTTATCTGATGTTTAAAAAGAAAATCTGTTAAAAGTTGAAAGTAGAATCAAAATGAATCAAATGAATTGAACATTAAATTGATGTCAATTGAAATCATTTCTTATCAATAGATTTATCTGATGTTTAAAAAGAAAATCTGTTAAAAGTTGAAAGTAGAATCAAAATGAATCAAATGAATTGAACGTTAAATTGATGTCAATTGAAATCATTTCTTATCAATAGATGATTTGATGTTTTTTAAAAAAAATATGTTAAACGTTGAAAGTAGAATCAAATGAATTGAACGTAAATTGATTTCAATTGAAATCCTTTCTTATCAATAGATAGATTTCTTTGAGGTTCAAAAGGAAAATCAACTGAAAGTAGATGGATTTCAATTGAAACCCTTACTTAAGTTGATCATCCTGAGTCCCCCAGACCTGGTCGCCAAAAAAAATGCGAGTTATTGAGAGTACTATTTTTTGGGGGGGGGCTACAGCGTCCAACATTATTGTATACATTATGTGCAGGTGTGCACCCGTAGACATACAAAAAAATACATGTGGCAGCCGCTTTTGCTTGTACAAACTGGCTTGTACAAACAATGCATTTTCCGCGGCCATTTTTTCATGAGTGCTCCCACTGTGCGTGAACGCTGCTGGTCTTGCGGTGCGGAAATTGCGAGTCTTTTCAATATACAAGTTGTTTTAGGTTTTTAGTTTTTTTGTCATTTAGGTCCTTGATTCCAATGGCCTCGTTAAACTTCTTCTTTGAACTGACTGGGTTGACGCATGTTGCTGACTTGCATGCACGCATGGCTCGAAGTGTTCTTTTACCTAAGAGCCTCAGGCACTTTTCTGGGAGGCCATAATGAGAAGTTCATGCGCTCACTAATTATAAGCGGTGCAAGTTTTCTGTTTGCACACGTTAACCACACCGAACTACAATGAAACCTTAGCAAAAAATACATGTCAGATCTAAACCCTGCAGAAACCCAAATATCTATATATATATATCATATTATATATATAATTATATAGATATTTGAGCTCCCGTCAAAATCCTTTACATCTGAGTAGTTGCTATTGTTATGGCTATCGCTTTTGGGATCTTTTGGGGGGGTTCCTATCGCTTTCCAGTGTTTTGTGGAAATCAGCATGTTCGAGATCCAACATGAAGTCAAAATCCATTCCTAAACAGGCTCGGAAATGGATCGATGATCGAGAAGTTGTTTGTTGGTTTCAGGTGCTTCGGCAACACTTCATGTTCCTTTCATGTGCATTCATCTTCCTTTCATTTTGTATTCATTTCCCTTCATTTTCATTTCATTATCCTTTCATGTTCCTTTAATTTGTAATTTCCCTTCATTTTCCTTCATAGTCCTTTCATATTCCTTTCATGTTCATTCCAATGTGCATCAATGTCCTTTCATTTTCCTTTCATTTTGCATTCATGTCCTTTCATCTCCTTTCTAAAGTTATGGAAATAGTTCTATGGCTTGGCCAAGGGACCGAGTGCAACAAATGCGTGTCGCTATCGCTAAGGTTATCGCTAAATAACCCCTCCAACATATGACATTGTTCGAAGGAAATTTGCCACAAAAACGACAGACAAAGAGAGATAGAGAGAGAGAGAGAGAGCAAGCGAGTTGGATGCCAAATTTTGGCTAAATGGTATTAATGGTAACTGCGGGAAACTGGGCACCACAGGTTAAATTTCCATCATCGGTTTTGCCCGTTCTGTGAATGTGCACAACAGATCACAACAGTATTTGCTTGGTTTACGCCAAGTTTAATGGACTGTCGTGTTTGGTCTCAGGTTATCGCTTTTGGGGGGCCCTATCGCTTTACAATGTCTTTTGCACATCTCTGACCCCCAAAAAGAACTCCTGCAATACTATATAAAGTGGTCTGCAACCATTTTGATCGTGACTCATATATATATATATATCAGTAATTTAGCACTATTTCATTAGGAGTTTTCATCTTGAACCTCTTGGAAATTGCTAAATATCCAAAATTATCTTGGTGAAATTATTTTGGTACGTAACCCCCCCTGAAATCATATTGCTACGGTAGCAGTGATGGATTTTTCGTTCCTATCTGTTTGGGTAATTGATGCAGCAACTAAGGCACATGTCCTGGAGGCACTGGACTACCAGTGCCCAGCTGCGATGCTCTACAGTACCAATCATGGCCACAAAGCTCCTGCCGTGCACAGCGTTTGGAAAACCAATCGCTATTGGTTGGGCTTTCACCAGCAAAATAAAGGGTATATAAATTCACATAAATTCTATAAATTGTTATAAATGCCAGCAATTTTAATGTGAATATATGTGAATATCATGGACATACCATACTCTCAGTATCACCCACCATCCACTGGTTGGCTGTCTTAATTCAATTCCACCCATTCTCTATGTTCTCGCAACAGTGGGATGATTTACCAATGTTTACCACATTGAATTTGATAGCTACCAAAGTCAACAAAGCATCGAAGTCATCTGCCAGCACTTCCCCGAAGTTTAGGCTTCGAATGGCTTTGGTACGAATCGCAGAAGCCATCTGCATGCAAAACATGCGTTGAGAAAACGCGGAAAGGTATCAAAGGATATCAAAGCGAGATGTAATTCTGGGAAGCGACCCGCTTATGGAGCCCTACACATTTCGCGAGTCGTTTTGACCTTCACACCTGTCCAGCTATCAGGCTCTATCCACTCTCTGCGAAGAGTATCGAAAGCATTCAAAGACTGGAGCCACCTGCCAGGCGACCATCCCGGCACCAGCAAGAAAAAACAGTGTGGAGTACCCTGATCACATCAGCCAGGCAAGTCGTATGATGTCGTATACATGTGGCAGGGACTGCGCTTGAACCCGCAAGTTTCATAAAGGAATGTCATGGTCTGTCCTTGCTTGCATGCACTGCGCTTCTGTCTCACAAATCTCACAAGCTTTCAGGTGATTTGCATGGCTTCCGCGCCTAGTGTTCCTGGAGTAGGTAGATGCTGCTGAATTTGTCGCAATCAAATGTTGACGCTCATCCCGGCTCTCAGCACCTTGGACGGGAAACGCCTTGCCACACCAACTCAACGTGTACAAATATTTGCAGGCATAACTCATCACATTTAAAACAAAAGACCAAACAATTTGCCAACTGGATCAACAACAGCCAATATCAGCCAGTAACTAGCCACTCTTGCAGCCGAATTGCAAGAAAGGAGTTTTGCAACTCTTGCCCATGGGGCCGAGCTGCAGGCTGAAACAGCTGAGTTGTACCTGTCGTACTGTACCATTCAACACTCTGGCACTGCAAAGTCTGAAAGCAAATATATATATATATTATAAATAAATATATATATATATATATTATAAATATATATATATATATAGGTTTGAAGCACAATGCAGTTGAGCTGCACCACAGCATTTGGCAGCAAACGCTCTTGAGGCATTCCTAGCACGCGTTGGAATAAGCTGATAAGCGAGAAAAAAGAATGGGAACTAAAGCGAACCAATGAGACGGAAGCCCATCCCAATTTTTGATTCTTGAATAGTAGGTAATCAGGAGGGACATCCAGTTTTACATGTTCTATCTTCCATCTTGCATCCATACGTGCAAGTCACTTTCCAGCAAGGCGAGGGAGGACAACCATTTGCTCTTCTTCCCATAGGCCACGATGGCACTGCTGCCTTCAGGTGCCACGGTATAGAAGTTGGGCGATGTGTGGCTCCCAAACGGCCCTAAACTGGCCCACACTTTGGGATCACTGTGTGTGTATGCAACCTCATGTGGTGCAGTCTCATACCAGGTCTTCTGAATCCTTACCAGAACAGGCTGGTTATGAATGGTTATGGGCTATGGGTATTATATTATATGGCATATTATGGCATTATGTATGGGAAAAAATTGTAAAATGGGGGTTTCAGGGCTTATATGTTCATATGTTGCTTGTTATTGTTTTTATGTTGTTGTTCAACGTTTCTTCCCTACCTTTGATGTTTTATGTGTTGTATGTTCTGGGGATTTTTTGTCCCTAACTTTTCTGGGACTTTCTGTGTTTGGATGAGGGGGAGAATTGTTTAGGTTGTTGGGGTTTTATGTTTGGATTGTCAGTCAGGAGTTTGAAAAGAGGGGAAGATGTCATTAAGATAATCTATGTTTTTTTGGTGGTTTATCCTTTTCTTTTCTTTATCACTTAAAACGGGTTGCTCTATTCGTTTAGTGTTAGTGTTGTTCAGATTGTTCTTATGTCGTTGGGTTCTTTCGTGTTTTGACATTTTATTTCTTGAAATGTCAATCTTGCAAATTGGACATTCAACCTTTTCTTTCTGTTTCTCAAGTTTTTGTCCTTTGTATTGTTCATAATGTTCCTTCGCCTTTCGTCTCAATTCTTCTCTATGGTATTCTCTATATCGTTGTTTGTATTCGGAACATTTTTGACAGTGCCTTTCCAGCATCAAAGTTTTCCAATGGTTTCACTGTTCTACATGTTGACCATTTCTTACCTTTATCTTCACTCATTGAAGTATTATGGGGCTATATCTTTAAATAGGTTTCTGGGTCTTCAAGATTACTTCACAATATATTTTGTTAAGATATTATGAAATCCGCCCGCACCGAAGGTGCTGGGGCGTGATCGTCCGGATGGCACTCGTAAAAGGTTACAGGTTTACCTGGGGGGGGGGGGGCATTTTTCGGCCAAAACCTCCTGTTTTTGATAGGTCGTGACGCTCGCCTTCAAAAAACACTGTAAAAAACAGTACGGAAGACACCTGTTCGTGAACGCGCCCGTCCAAAATCGGCAAGCGAAAAGTGAAAAAAAACCCGTGTTTTTCAACTTTTTGACCTCAATTTTTTGGTTTGCAACATCTTTTTTTGCGGTTCCGCAGGTGGCCTGGCCCGGAGGCGGATTTTTGAGTTTTTGGACCCGTTTTCGGACTGATTTTCGTCGTTTTGTGATAGCAGAAACACTGGTTTTTACAGTGTTTTTCTGTTTTCTGCATGCTTGACGGCTAGCTTCAAAACTTCCAAAAACCTCGTAAATTACGCTGTTTTATGTTACGGTGTGAATGAAAACATCGTAAATACCAGTGTTTTTTGACGTTGGTTAAAAAACACTGTAAATTACAGTGTTTTTGGCCACCTGACCCTCAAAAACCATGGTATTTGCAGTGGTTTCTGCTTCTCACCGCGCAAAAACACTGTAAATAACAGCAATTTCGCCGTTTTTTCATGTTTTTCGTTATTTTTTGCACTGCGTTGGTCCGCTATACATGGCTATCAAATTCTTCGCGTTTTTTTTTCCGACAATCAATACTTTCGGATGTTTTTGGTCTCAATGGCCGACATCATTGGCAGTTACGATGCGGTGCGGGCGGTTGCCGTCGCGAAGCGACGTGAATAATCATTTATGCTTTCCAGTTTCCTATTCCATCCCACCAGTGGTCAATCACTCTTATTTGTGTTAAACACGACTTATTTGTATCGTTCAGTTCATCCATTGCTATTGATAAAAGAGTTACAGTAGGTGAATAATCATAGCGTTGAATTCTCCATCACGGTTAAGTTCCTTACCAGAATCAATAATGTTTTTTATCAGTGAGGTTTTCATACATCTGTTTCATAATGTCAAATCTTACAAACGAATATATTATCATACCATTAACTCCTTCTTTCTCTTTCATCGTATCAATTCCTTTCTTCCAAAATGTTTCTCCTTCCTCATCATCTGGTGAAGGCATAGGATGACACTTTACAAAGTCTCTAACCTCCTCATCTTCTTTTTCTATTGCTTTTCTTTCCCAATCATCATCCTCATTTTCACTACCAAAGTCAGCATATATACCGATATTATCTGTATCTATAACCTCAATTTTTGCTCTACTCATCTCTACACTCTTTGTCTCCTTCCTTGAAGTCCTCACCGCAAATGAAACATTTAGTGGCGGTCTTAAAGTCCCTCCAGTCTTTGTCCTTCATAATGATGTCCTTGTTTTCTTTCATCTTCTCCATTATCTTATCCTTTACTTCAATCATCTTTTTAACAAAGACATCCATACAATCCTCACCTCTATACAAGAACGGTTCATTTGAACCATCAATTGAATTGACAACATTTACCATAAAACCGCAGGGTCTATGATGTTGGTATTTGTCTGTCTTCATTGGTTTTGCGCTTACTGTTCCCGTTTTCGTAGTTAAACATTCAAAGTCAGCATATATAACGAATGGCGCTTTTAGTTTCTTAAAGTGGTTCTTGAATTTAACGAAGAACTTGTTAGGCTTCTCTGGGTCAAACTTTGGCATTTCTATTGTTTGACCTTCCACTGCCAGACATCCCTTTTCCTTATGGTTAGTTAAATCATCCTCTGAATGAAACACACCCGGACAGTGATGACAAATAAACTTCTTTGCTTTCCGCTTACCAGCCTGTTGATACATCAACTTGTTAAAATCCTTGATATAAACATAGTGGTGATTGTCTCCATCAGTTATTCAGTAGGTCTACAGTACACAGAGCCTCCTGGAGGAGCTCTGAAAGCTCTCACACCATCTTTGACGATCTTTGACGCACCATCTTTCACACACAACTTTGCCACCCACCATCTTTGACACACCATCTTTCACACCATCTTTGACACACCATCTTTCACACCACTTTGTCACACACCATCTTTCACACACCACTTGGTCACACACCACTTTGTCACACACCAGCTTTCACACACAACTTTGTCACACACCATCTTTCACACACCATCTTTCACACACACAACTTTGTCACACCCTCTCTTTCACACACAACTTTCACACACAACTTTGTCACACACCATCTTTGACACACCACTTTGTCACACACCGTCTTTCACACACCATCTTTCACACACCATCTTTGTCACACCACTTTGTCACACACCATCTTTCACACATCATCTTTCACACCACTTTGTCACACACCGTCTTTCACACACCACCTTCAACAGTTTTGATCAACTGCAGATTGATGGAACTCCTTTCCAGGACCTTCTTGGCATGCGGCACATAAAACGGCAAGGCTTTCTGACCAAAAACAGGAGCACTTCTGTCTCCAAAGAAGGATGCTCTGCGGCGCCCAACTAAAGGAGGCGGACATAGTGCATGACCGTCAAGTTTGCTATGTTGCTGGATTTTTTTGATTGAAAATACTGCACCACATAATTTGCCGTGAGGCAAGTTTGACGCTGATCCACGACAACTTGAACAGAACAGGCAAAAGTATTAAAAAGTTCCCAACAATGTCCAAGGCATAGGCATGTTTAGAGATGCGGAGTTTGCCATGTCATCTGAAAATCTAGGCAACCGGACACCCAATGAAAAAGTCATTGAAGTGGATGAAGCAAGCGCGGCGTCACGACAACCAAACGCAGACATAAAACCCTATCTATCAACCCCAACAATTATCCCCCTCATTGAAACCAAACATTGACACATCACTTTAGCACCAAAATGACCCCCAAAACCCCACCTGAAAAATCATCAAAACCGAGGAAGAAACATTGAACCCCAACATAAAATCCTAACAAGCAACGTATGAACATATAAGCCCTGAAACCCCCATTTTACCATTTTTTATGGGTAATAAATAATAAGTCTGACTGCAATCTTTCACTTCCAACAGGTTACAGTCATATAGATCTGCACCCCGAATGAGCAGCTCCATGAACAATTCCAGCAGCTCGCCAAGAACTTGCAGATGCCAGCTGGGGCATGGCGTGCCGTGACGGATTTCTACATGCACAAGCGCACTGAGCTGAATCTCACAAAAACAGCGTAATAATGCTCAATGATGCTTAATGATATCTCAATATGAAGCTTGAAACCCATTCATCCCCTTTTCTCGCCAAAAAGCATGTGGTAGGGCATTCATCCCACTAATATACCTGACTCAATTTAGCATGCAGGGTCCTTGGGCCACAAATATCATGACCACGGCTCCAATGACATTTGAATTCATTGCGGAGTTTCAAAGGACCCAGGCGTTCCCAGGCTATTGTTCTATATTGTGCCCGAATTAAGGTTGTCCGAGTATGCACTCATCGCACCAGATTGCAAGTTGCTGTGCCCTCAACATTTCCATCATTTTCCCGCTTTTGTGGTGTACGCATCTCTCTGGCTTGAAACCCCACTACACCATGCCATATTGCGCCCCACCATCAGTTTGTTGGCGGTGGGGGCCATGGATAAGACAAGCGCACCGGACGAATAACCTGCAGGTCAGGAATCACTTGAAGAAAACTGTTCCCATCCCTGGTTCCACTCTAGTCAGAGACTGTTACGATTTCATCCCATGTCTGCGTCGCTTCTTAATCAATCTAAATCTAATTGAATCCCCCCTGGGATTTACAATTTACACTTCCACTCCTTTTTTGTTCTCTCGGCTACAACCCAAGACATGCAAATTCATGCCACTCATTTAGGTGAGAAATTTTGGGAAATTGCATCCCGAGCAAGGGGCTTCTTGCAAAATCACAACTACATAAAGATCGAGAAAGGTGAACACTTGGACGCATTTGGCCGTTGGACCCAGAATCTGGTGCGTCGAATCCAATTGCCACTTGAGGGATCATGAGGTATTGTACATCCGCAGTTTGCTGAAGGCACTTGCCTGACCAGCCCCTGTTGGTGTGGACGTAGCACCAGTTGAAGTTGGCGTGGCACTCGTTTCTGCCTCAAAGCAAAGTCCCCAGCTGTGTCTCACATCGGCACTGTGCTCAGCTGAGCCCAGGACGCGAGGAGGTAACCTGGCTGAAAGTGGAGGACTGGTAAATGCCTCGCAGAACTGAGAACTGGAAAAGATTGGAAAATACATTTAGTTTATTGGATGAAATCACACAATATCACTAATATCACACAATACAAAATGATGTGAAGCTCGATCTGACTTAGATTTCGTGGTGCTAAGGGCCAAACACCTGACATCCTCCTCATGCATGAGCCATGGCAATGGAGAATGGCACCAGGATCACTTAGAACCAAAAGGCATCACTTAGAACCACCAAATTAGGATCACCAGAACCACCAGTCCAAATGTTGATGGTTGAGGCATGTTGAAGCTGCTATAACCAGCATGGTGGAATGAAACCTTCAGGGTAACACTTGAGGACACGGGGCTGGGACATGGGGTGGGTTTAGGGGACAAGTGGGGACACGGGGCTGGGACATGGGGTGGGTTTAAGCATGGTGGAATGAGACCTTTAGGGTAACACTTGGGGACATGGGGCTGGGACATGGGGTGGGTTTAGGGGACAAGTGCGGACACGGGGCTGGGACATGGGGTGGGTTTAAGCATGGTGGAATGAAACCTTTAGGGTAACACTTGGGGACACAGGGCTGGGACATGGTGGGTTTAGGGGACAAGTGGGGACACGGGGCTGGGACATGGGGTGGGTTTAAGCATGGTGGAATGAAACCTTTAGGGTAACATTTGGGGACACAGGGCCGGGACAAGGGGTGGGGACACGGGGCTGGGACATGGGGTTTAGGGGGGGACACGGGGTGGGTTTGAGCATGGTGGAATGAAACCTTTAGGGTACCACTTGGGGACACGCAGCCGGGACATGGTGGGTTTAGGGGACAAGTGGGGACACCGGGCTGGGACATGGGGTGGGTTTAGGGGACCATCATGGTGGGTTTAGGGGACCATCATGGTGGAATGAGACCTTTGGGGTAACACTTGGGGACATGGGGCTGGGACATGGGGAGGGTTTAGGGGACAAGCGGGGACACGGGGCTGGGACATGGGGTGAGCTTATGGTGGAATGAGATTAGGGGACCCGCATGGTGGAATGAGACCTTTAGGGTAACACTTGGGGACACGGGGCTGGGACACAGGGTGGGCTTAGGGGTCCAGCATGGTGGAATGAGACCTTTAGGGTGAAACTTGGGGACCGGGGCAGGGACATGGGGTGGGTTTAGGGGACCAGCATGGTGGATTACATTAGAGCACCAGGGAATGAGACCTTTAGTCGTGCACCATTCTGGACCTTTTTTTTTCTGATGATTCTAACGATTACTATTCTGGTGATGATGATGATGTAGATGGTGAAGAAGGAAAGACGTGAAAACAATGATGATGATGATGATGATGATGATGGTGATGATGATGGCGATGATGATGATGATGATGATGATGATGGATGATGGATGATGATGGATGATGATAATGATGATGATGATGGATGATGGATGATGGATGATGATGATGATGATGATGATGATCATGGTCATGATCATGGTCATGATCATGATCATGATCATGATGATGATGATGATGATGATTATGATTATGATTGATGCTGATGCTTGATGCTGATGCTGATGCTGCTGCTGATGATGATAATGATGATGACGATGGTGATGGTGATGATGATGATGATGATAATGATAATGATGACGGTGACGATGATGATCCTGATGATGACGATTATATTGTTTTTATTGTTATTCTGATATAAAGATTAGAAAGGATATACGTGAAAGCGATGATGATGATGATGATGATGATGATGATGATGATGATGATGAAGATGATGATGATGATGACGATGATGAAGATGAAGATGAAGATGAAGATGATGATGATGATGATGATGATGATGATCATGGTCATGATCATGATCATGATCATGATGATGATGATTATGATTATGATTATGATTGATGCTGATGCTTGATGCTGATGCTGCTGCTGATGATAATGATGATGGCGATGGTGATGGTGATGATGATGATGATGATGATGATGATGATGATGACGACGGTGACGATGATGATCCTGATGATGACGATTATTATTGTTATTATTATTCTGATATAAATGATGAGAAAGGATATACGTGAAAGCGATGATGATGATGATGATGATGAAGATGATGATGATGACGATGAAGAAGATGAAGATGAAGATGATGATGATGATGATGATGATGATGACGATGATGAAGATGAAGATGAAGATGAAGATGATGATGATGATGATGATGATGACGATGATGAAGATGAAGATGAAGATGAAGATGATGATGATGATGATGATGATGATGATGATGATGATGATGCTGATGCTGATGATGCTGATGGTGCTGATTATGATGATGCTGATGATGATCGTGATTGCAGGGTGGTTCTAAGCGATGCCAATTGCGCGGTTCTAAGCGATGCAAATCCCGTGGTTCCAAGCGATCCCGCGACCATGGAGAATCGTAAAATTATGACATGGGCAAAGTTTACTGCCCCACAGCGAAATCGCCCCAACAAATCACTTCAACTTCCCGATCACTACAGTCATCTGCGGTCATCTGCAGTCACTGCAGTCCTGTCAGTCCTTGTTGGGGTTTCTTTCCAGTTGTGGGCTGGATCAGCCCGAGCTGGATGCCCTCAGGTGAGTAATGCAACTAGACCAAGTCGCGGCCCCAAGAACATGAATTCGAAGCCAGCACTTCGCCTACAACCCGGTGTAACTCCTGTTGCTCAGCATGGACCTTAGTAGGTTCACCGGCTTCATATGTTCACCTGTACAGCCTATATATAATCATATAAAACGTTCACTTTGCCACAAGATGTGGCTGATAATGGTGAAGGGATGTTAGCCAAAGTGCCGAAAGAAGCATGCTCAGACCAGGACATATGGATTCCAGTTCGCAACTGGGAAACTGACTGTACCTATAACGCATGGTTGTCAGTTGTCCTCTTGAAAAAAAAGGAGCGCATTTGCAGTTTAGTGTTACGTCCCCCCCGATGTCCGCCAAATGTACCTGGCATGTGAAAAGGCGCCAGATGTGACCAGGAACTGGATGGGCTCAGGTGGCTTGGCCTACGCCCAGGAAGCCATTGGAAGCCAACCCTCGGACCGAGACTTGCCATGGCTTGCCGCGACAATCCATGACATTCCGGGCCTTTGTGGCGTTGCAATGGAATGCGCTACTCGCCTTCAGTCCAGAGTCACCACGGGGCCTTTTTGATCCGTTTTGATCCTTTCTGTTCAATCAATTTCGATCAGAATCCAAGAATATCCATCAATATCCATCAGGTGCAAGATGTGCAAGTGAGAAGCGCTGGCAAAGGTCCACTGGTGCTTAAAGTGACTGCTACTCCACATGGAGTGCCATCTACCAAGGCCTTGACATCTGGGCCTGTGCCTGGAAAGCCGGGCGAAATTCACCCAAGATCGTCAATCTGGAGTGGAACACGCTTAGCCTAGACAGAAATCAGAAATCCCTGGCCTGCATCCGTGTTTGTCTGGGAAGGGCTTCAGGATGGACCTATCACGTGATTCCGATGCTTCAGCCATTGCTTCAAGAGTCCTATCATTTTTTGTTGCCCTTTGAATGTTGATGGGCTGGCCTGCATCGGAAAGGTTCCATCAACTGTGAGCATGTTCCTCAGTGTCAGCCGGTGGGCAAAGTCACAGGGGAAGCAACGCATCTTTGGAGAGTGACTGTCCCAGTAGAATGATGTACTGTAATATGATGAATCTGATGTAATACGACGCAATACGATGCAATATGATGTAATATCATGCGGTATCATGCGGTATCATGTATAATGTCTGTGCGCGCTATGATTTCACAGCACTGCTGAGATGGCAACGAGGTCGGCGTTGCTGAGGTAGAAATACCTCTGCCATGGAACAGGAGTGAATGAAATATCTGGTCCAGTGGAAACAAGGTAGGTAAAGTAATGGGATGCGAGAATGCCTGAAAACCAGGCAAAATGGCTTAAAACTGCAGTGCAAGCAAACCCGTCAAGTTGCTATAGATTCATGATGGCACAACGATGTCCGAACTGTCATGGTCATTCTTCTGCAAGATTCAAGACGTTTCATGCCTGGCTGATCGCTGGCGAGCGTTCTCATTGGTGCCTGCGCCCAAGCACCAGGATGCACCAGGCATCTTGACATTTTTGTCATTTTTTGTCAGCTCGTGGAAGCGAAAGGTCTCGACAAAGATTCATGTAGATCAGGTTTTGCAAGAAAACCTGGTCTTCTGGTGGCAGTTGATCCTACTTGCCACGACATTCCTGACCCAAGCCCTCCCGCTGTGTTGCTCATATTATATCCTTTCCACAAACTGCAAGCTTGTGACCCGTGCTGGCCATTTCCAACCTCTGCAACTTCTCTCAGTTTCCGCCTCAACTCTGCCTCACAAAGTGCAAACATTTTAACTCGACAGGACAAAGTTCAAGCATCGAATTAAGCATTGCATATGTACCTGCGGCCTCCGAAATCCACTTTTTTTTGGGGGGGTTGCCAGGAAAAAAACTTGAGGCCAAAGGGAAGGGGACGAAAGCTAGTTGAGCAAGGAGAGATGTGTATTGAGAGAATATGTGGCGCGACCTTTTGAATATCATTTTTTGAATTCAAATAAACTGCCATTCGGTGTTGCTGACACGCTAACAACAGCGCATCATGATATTCTAGCTCGCATGAACCATTATCATGCCACAGCCCTACCCCTGACATCCTAGCATACCAGCGTCAACATTACATTTCTAGCACTCTACTTGCCAAATACAACGTCTTCCAACCGAACACGCTTCGGTTGAGCCACTTTGCACTCATCTGATTGAACCTCTTTCCCTCGGCCTTTCCTTCGTTGTTCCTGTCCTTGACATATTATATATCTTTATAATTATCGAAGGAAGTTTAGAAGTCAAACTTCGGACAATATGGACAGATGAAAAGCAGAGCAGGGCAGAGGCAGAGAGAGAGAAGAGAAAGATCAGAAGAGAGAAGAGTAGAAGAGAAAGAGTAAGAAGAAAGAAGGTGGAGATGCGCGAAAAGGTAGGAAAGTCGCGATTCACTGTGTTTTTCCAATGATTTGTGGCTCCGGAGGGTCGAAAAGTAGGCTCGCTAAAGCGGCGGGTGCGGAGCCAGCTGGCCAGAGGAGAGATTAAAAATTGCACGCCGTTGTGGCGCGAAGCACATTTCCAAGTCAAAATGCACAAAACACACCAGGTGCGGACCACTTTTGGCACTTGAGATATCGAAAAAGTGCACGCCGTTGTGGCGCGAAGCACATTTCCAAGTCAAAATGCACAAAACACACCAGGTGCGGACCACTTTTGGCACTTGAGATATCGAAAAAGTGCACGCCGTTGTGGCGCGAAGCACATTTCCAAGTCAAAATGTACAAAACACACCAGGTGCGGACCACTTTTGGCACTTGAGATATCGAAAAAGTGCACGCCGTTGTGGCGCGAAGCACATTTCCAAGTCAAAATGCACAAAACACACCAGCTTCGGACCACTTTTGGACGTTCAGATCTCGTTTCGCGTGGCAGGCGCAAGGGATTGTGCACCGTGTCAAAAGTGAGCAAAACGTGAGGGTTTTGTAGCATTTCCAAAAACGATGGCAGGCGTGGGACATTTGAAGAGGATCTGCAAAGATGCATTTCGCCTGGCAGGCGCAGTACAAGAGACATGTTCATCAGAGATGTTAGGAGGTCAGGGCGCTGATTTCCTGAGAGGGGTTGCATTTTGGAGCATCAGATATGTCGATTTCCTAAGATGATTTTGCGTGACAGGTGCAGCACTTCCTATGACCTGGCATCTATTTTTCGTGGCAGGCGCAGTACTTTCGACAGGTGGAGTGGAAAAATCGCACAACTTATTGGTACGAGGCCGTCAGCGCTGCACTCAACTTTCCATTTTTTGAAGGAAGTCTCGCAGAATTGCTTCGTTTTGGATGTCGTCAACATTGAAACATGAAGAAGTCTCGCAGAATTGCTTCGTTTTTGATGTTGTCAACTTTGAAAAATGAGGAAGTCACGCAGAATTGCTGCGTTTTTGATGTCGTCAACTTTGAAAAATGAAGAAGTCTCGCAGAATAGTTCGGTTTTCAAGCTTGCAGATAGACAGGTAGATAGATAGACAGACAGACAGACCGAGAGATAGATAGATAAGTAGGTAGGTAGATAGATAGATAGATCGATGGAAAGATAGATCGATAGATAGATAGATAGATGGTAGGTAGGTAGATAGATAGATAGATCGATCGATCGATGGAAAGATAGATAGATAGATAGATAGGTAGGATAGATACATAGATAGATAGATGGACAGATAGACAGATAGACAGATAGATAAATAGTCAGAGAGACAGCTAGAGAAATAGATGGAGAGATAGACAGATAGATACATAGACACATAGACAGATACTTAGATACCAAGACAGATAGATAAATAGATGGGTAGAGACATAGACAGATAGATAGACAGATAGACAGATAGACAGACAGACAGATATATATATATATAGAAAGAAATTGATCGATAGATAGAGAGATAGAGAGATAGTTTGATCGATAGATAGATGGATAGATAGATTGATAGATAGACAGACATATAGATAGATCAATAGAATTCAATAGATAGATCGATAGATAAACGTGGCGGGGTGCAGCAGGGAGGAGCTCCACACTAGTATTGGAATCCCTTTTTTTCTATTTTGCTGCCGCTGTTGCATCCGATGCTGGGTTGTTTCGGTGGATTGTAGAAAAGGCACGGGGGATTATGTTTCTTGGAAGCACACTCGGCGCTTCTGGATGTCTGCGGTGACAAGCAGTCAAGTGGCATCAAACAATAAAGGCAGAGGCAGATTGTTTGAGTGACCAGATTTTGTTCGCCACCGTTGGTGTGTCACTTTCGGTTTTGCGACGGCACTACGGCGCCGCAGCATCCTTAATTGGTTGCACGCTAATGCACCCGTCGTTATTCACGGCCCGATGTTGCATCCGTATCCGTAAGTCGGCCGTGTTTGTTTTTTCTGACGGCACGATGGCGTATCAGCATCCAAAGGCCGGCTCTTGATCACTGGATGAAGGCTCGCTCTTCGAAGGCATGTCGCCGTTGCAGATGCCGTTACCATATTGAAAATCTTGCACGGCCACAGTGAGTGGCCGCAGGTGAAGCGGACGGAAGATGAATTGCTGCGCCGTGAGTATTTGAGGCTTTCTGATGAGTGTTGCCATTTCCAGCCTAGTTGGATTCACACTGAAATGCGACAGCGGCAGGCTGCCCGGGCGGATGCTGCCCGGCGGCACGCTGACCCAGCTCATGCCTCGCAGATGCCGGATGTGCCTGCGTGGCAGAGATGGCAGTGACCTCGCGTGTGGCTTTTCTGCCCGCGTCGTTGCCATCGGGTAGAACGGGACACATGCAGTGATGCGCACCGCGCGACTGCTGACTGCACGCATCGCTTCTGACCGCAGCGGCCGGGACACATGCAGTGAAACGTGGGACACATGCAGTGGAGCGGGCAGCGGCCGTGCAGTTTCCGATCGCCTAGATTTCCTACGAGCCGTCCCAGTGAAGCAAAGCTAGATTTCGTCTTAGTCTTTCCTGACGGCACGATGGGGTTCAGCAGGGGTGTTCGTCTGTGCTCGTGTCTGTTTTTTCTGACGGCACGATGTCACATTCTAGGCAGCAACGCCCCGAAAAACTTTTCCCCGAATCGGCAGGAAAAAAGGGCTGCGCAGGCGCAGGGACCATGGGCGAGACACGGTGGCGGGAGGTGGTCGAATGATGGGGTGGAGAGAAAGATAAATCGAGCAATAGGTAGATAAAAAGAGCGATAGGCAGCTAGATAGATAAATAGATAGATACGTCGTTAGATAAAGAGATGAGATAGATAAGATCGACAGGTAGAAAGCTAGAGAGATAGAAAAGTGAAAGAGAGAGAGAGAGAGATATATATATATATACATATATATATAGAGATAGAGAGAGATAGATAGAGAGAGAGAGATATAGATAGATAGATCGATAGATAGATAGATAGATAGCTAGACAGATAGACAGATAGACAGATGAAAAAGAGAGAGAGAGAGAGACATAGATAGATAAATACATACATAGTTAGGTAGGTAGGTAGATAGTCAGAGAAAGAGAGAGAAAGAGAGGAGACCTCAACCACCTTTCGGTCCATCAGCGGCTTCGCTCTGCCATCCCTGATTCACAACAACCAACTTCTCCTATAGGTTCCTATTTTTGAAACTTCCGCCACCGCCTTGTGCAGTACTACTGGTATACCTATGCCTATGATTGCTCACGATTAGACAGACGAAGCAAAATTGATACGTCCCAAAGCGCTTTCTTGGGGACGTATCGGAACATTGTTTTCTATTCATCATTGGCATGTGAATTAACTGAGCTTACCAATTTGAAACAAGTTGATATGTTTCGAAAGGAATAAAACGTGATATATTTCCAAAAAAAAACTGGAACGTATATTTTAACAGAAGCAGGTTTGATGGTGATGTGTTGGAGTTGGAGCCATGACAATCGGGGATCGGAAAATCACATGAAGCCTATGTATGAAACAAAACCCACTACATCCCCACATGTTTGCTTTTTTAACCTTCAATTAATCGCGATCAATGGGCGAAGCAAACTTGATAATTACGTCCCCAAACCGCCCGTTTGGGAACGTATCAAAGCAAATTTTTCTATAGATATTACATCTCCATATCACCATCAGGGAATGTCTCATTTCTCCATGGGAAACTTCCGTGAATCACTGTAGGAGAGGCCCGTCCAGCGCTTTAGGCTGGGAGCTTGTTAGCGGTTTCAATCTCTAAAATATATTTATCTACATATATATATATATAGAGAGAGAGAGAGGTACGCCACCAGGTCCCCAAAAATACGTGGTTTTAAGCGTTTGTTTAACTATTTTTTGTTTTTTTTTCTTCTTTTGATCATATATGAAAGATCAAAGTTCTTGGGAGATGCACTGTTTTTAGTCTGTTAATCCTTAGCTCTATTCTTGGTTGCTTGCTTTTTGTAGCTTTATTATTTTTTGATAGGTGGTCTTAGTGCATGAATGGCAAAGTTCTTTGCCCAATAACATCTCAAACATAGAGATTCTTTGTGTCAGTTCGTACTTCATGTATATATTAATGTATAGGTATTACCTAGGTATACAGCTATTGCAAAGACAGTATATATATATATATAATTATATATATACATATACATAGCACTTTGTATTCGCATTGGTGGTTTTTGATATTGGATTGCCAGGTCGCCTTTTGGTTGACATCATAGTTCCAGTGGAACTCTCTTGGCAAATGAAAGTGCAAATTCCAACCTACTCTCCCTCCTCAAGTAGTTGCATTTTTTTTGGCATACTTCATGGTAACTTGCTGCATCAATGCACAAGCAAGTCAGCCATTCCATAGATACACTTGTTTAGTAAGGTTGCTTAAGTGTTTCCTTTACTTGGTCTTGTGCCCTGGTTACCATGATGAACTTATACTGACATAGCTTACCCTCTGGTAATTTAACGTAGCTATTGAAAATGGCCATTTATAGTGAGGTTTCCCATTAAAAATGGTGATTTTCCATAGCTATGTTAGTTTACCAGAGGGTAAGTTTTGCCCACAGCCACGAGTACATTTATGGTAATAAAAAGATCATAAAAGCACAGCCAAGCAATTATGATAACAGGATACCTGGATTAGATATGCAGTGGCATAGCAAATTATTGTGAAATATACAGGAAAAATATTTTTGGAGAAAGTGTAGGTTGGAGCTGTCCTTGCCATGTGCCAACCCTTATGGGCAAAGTCAGTTGCAACCCTGGAAGAATACCATTGCATACGCAGGAGAAATGTAGAACACTTGTGCCTGTAAGGGCATAGGTGACTTATATGCCACCCATTTTCCAATCTACTGTTCCTCCTCAAGTAAGTATTTGCATTTTTTGCATACTTCATGGTAACTTGCTGCATCAATGAAAAGCAAGGCAGCCATTCTATAAACACAGTTGTCTGGTAAGGTTGCTTAAGTGTTACCTTTACTTTACTTGGTCTTGTGCCCTTCTGATTATCATGGTGAACTTATACTGACATAGTTTAAGTTTTGCCCACAGCCATGAGTACATTTATGGTAATAAAACCTCTGCCATTATATTTGCAGTGACACAGCAAATTATCATGGAGTATGCAGGTAAAAACGCCTTTTCTGAAGCAATGGGGAAATGGAAGTGCCCCTGGAATTTGCCAACTCTTGTGATCAATCAATATTTTAAGCAAAGATCTTTTATTGCATCATTCCTTAAAGGTTGGGGAATAAGTCATCGGTTAGTCACTAACCCTTGCAGCGTCAGGTAGCACAACCTTTTTCTCAACCCACATTCTCCATGTTCTTCCAACCTGCATTCCTACAGGATAATGCATTGGGTATGCCTATAGATCAATCAGCCCTGCTGATGGTGGCATTCTGTTCCAGTCAGGCTTAGATACTGGATCCCTCCAGGTATCATTCCACACCCGCTGGGACAGTACCACCTCCAATCTATAGGTATTCACAGATCTCTGTGCAAAGTAGACCCCGTCTGCAGCGCAGACTACAAGTTATGAGGATACCTCACAGAGGTCCTAATAACAGGGTGGGTCAAAATCTCCGATTTAGGGAGGGCAAGGAAAACAATGCTGCTATTTTGGATCAATACTTACTTGAGCCAAAATTGGCATTGATTTTACCTTATTTAACCAACCACCAAGGAATGACCACTGTCCACCCAGGCCTGCCAAACACTAGACAGTCATACATTCCTTAAAGGTTGGGGAATAAGTCATCGGTTAGTCACTAACCCTTGCAGCGTCAGGTAGCACAACCTTTTTCTCAACCCACATTCTCCATGTTCTTCCAACCTGCATTCCTACAGGATAATGCATTGGGCATGCCTATAGATCAATCAGCCCTGCTGATGGTGGCATTCTGTTCCAGTCAGGCTTAGATACTGGATCCCTCCAGGTATCATTCCACACCCAACGCACTCAGTCCCAATGCATTTAAAGAAACTCGGCCGTGCGAATGATGGCCGCTGTGGGAAGATGCCAGAGAATGGCTGGAAAAGGTGCTAACTGCGCTGTGAAACCATTGGTTTTAAACCATGGGTCATTCCATCCAAGTCGGCTGATCGAATCAGTCCAGTTACTCTTGGAGGGTACCCATTCCCAAAAGATCCAGGTCTTATAAGCAAAAAGCAACGCGTGGATTATGCCGCTCATGACTTCCAGATCTGGGGAATCGCTTCACCCCTTGATCAACGTCATAAGGACCGCCACATTGTCAATGAACCACGCTCCGCGCCTCTCGCGAAAGCGGTGTGGTCTACAGACTAATGCTTGCAAGATGACAACCATCTCCAGTTGTGCAATCTTGCGATCGCCTGGTTCCCACAGGGTATATACCTCCTGTGGTAAGTCTGCGATGAAAGCCTCCCTGGTGACCCCAGGCTGATCCATCCAGACGATACAGAACCCCCCGGTGCCCTGCCCTGGACACTCCAGAGCTGCATCCGACGCACCCACAAACCGTAGGCATGCGGGAGGAAAAATGAAAAACTGACGTTTCGGCTTGTCCCGAAGTATCGCTTCGATGACTTCAAAACTCTTTAAAATACGAGTTGTCAGGACAACACCCTTCTCATACTGTCTCTCCTTAATTGGTGCCAGACCTTGAGCGCCAATACGACCATAGGTTCCTTGTTCAAGGAAGTTCATCATGCCGTAGATCTTGGAAGCTGTACCTGAATGTAGCTGGGCTGAGGTTCGACAATCACGCATCAAAGTTTTGATCTTGTCGATGAGGCGTTGCCGGGGCCAAAAACTAATGGAGCCAGTAGAGTTCAAATGGGACATGTCATGGTCTAATCCGAGGAAAAGCCCCTGGCTGGACATGGGCTGATGCTTCTCCACTGCAAAGGGGGTGCCAAGGATCTCATTGAGGTGGATAAATGCCATCTGCGACGCCCCTTTGGAGCTAGCCCAATCTACCACATTCGCATCATCAAAATACATAGACACCAAACAAGCAAGAAGGCGTCGTCCGAGTGCTTCTACAAACTTGGAATAGCGATTGAAGCTTGTCACTGCCAGTGGGAGCCCAAAGAGCAAGGAGTTATAGAGCTGGAAGGCGGGTTGCTGCCACTCATCATGCCACCAAGTAACAACACAGCCGAGACTCTCCTCCCTGGAGATTGGACTATGTCGATAAGCATCTGGCCAATCCTCGCCTCCGCTTTCAAAGTGGTCATAAGTCATGTGATGATCCCAGTCACTCTGGGACATCCAGCTCGCGACTGCTGCAACATGTTGGGCTGGTCGAAGTGCACTGCACAGTACCAACTTGTTGAAGTCAGATGAAAGTGCTGATTGGCCGCCCACTGCTGCATCATCGATGATACGCTTCTTACCACTTGGCTGCACAATGACACACCGCGGGATGAGCCTGAATGGGCGTCCTTTCGTGGCTCGTAAAAGCTCTGACCAATTCATAGGCTGTGTGCCAAAGCCTTTGTCTGCATCCACCAAACTTTGTGACAACAGAAACTCATCATGAAGACCCGGTCGCAACTTCGCGATAATGGCTCGGTTGTGCTCGTCGGTGTCCGCCACTACATCGGCCAGGTTGATGATGCTCCCTGGTTGCGCTGGAAAGATGCTGTAACAAGGCGCCGTGCCAACTGCTGGCAGCCCCGTGATAAGGCCATAGGGGTAACAGGTGTCCCCCCATTGGGCTATCACCACCAGCAGTGCCGTCAGCCCCAAGTCCCTCTTGGTGGTGACCCTCGCGATTGCATCTGTTTCAAGAGTGCGTAACTGGTCTGTAACTGGGGTCCATCGCCTCTTCAACTCCCGCAGCATGCCCAGAGCTCGCCTCCTCCATGACCCCAGGGAGTCCTTCTCTTGAGCATGCATGTACGCAGCAAATTGGAGGTCAGTGTCCACGACCGGCGATCTCTCCGTCGGCAAAGGGTACTGCCCCACAGTGCAGGCGGCCTCAAAATGCTCGTCTGGGTCCAATCCGAACGGCAGAAGAGGTGGGAGTGCGGCTCGATGATTCAGGCTCCCTGCCTGTTTGCCATCAGCGTGCCTCTGCCGCAGTCTGGTAACGCCAGATCCCACAGCAGGGTTAAGGGGGCCATCCCACTCCAACCCTTGCGACTCACGCCATTGCACGTAACTGCAGAAAGGATGCTGGTTCACGAGGTCTTCGATCATGGGGAACTTGAATCCAGAGAACCATTCGGCCGGGAAGAGTTTCCGGAAGGTTGTGACCACCGCCTCTTGCGTCCACCTGACGACCGACGAGCCAGCCAATGTCGGTGCTTGCAAAGCAGCCAGGGCCAAACTTCCTCGCTTGGGACCCCGGACAACTCGCCTGGGTGGTATGCCCGCTGCCCGCGGGTGTGGGGCTGACGCATTTGGGCTCGTGGCTTCAAACACCAAGCCTGCGAGAACGTCCGCCTCACAGAGTTCATCCTCGGCACAGTCACACACTAGTTTCTTCCCCAACAGGGAATGGAGCTCTTGGCCAAAGTTACGTTTGATGTGGTCGATGTACAAGGGCATTACTTCATCTGGAGCACAATCATGGCCTGCAACGAACGGTGACTTCCAACAAGTAGTGGGTAACCTGTGTGAATGATGACCTTGCCCCACATAGATGGCCCCTGCTGGCAATTGCCCCTCATATAGCAGCTCTTTCACCCGACCCCGACTGGGGATCCTTGCCCGCTCCTGGGGGTGTGGTGGCTCCAGACCCAGCAGGATGGCCAACGGTGCCATTGCCCAACTCCTCATCGATTGCGGGTGCAGCTCCAGCCAATGCTCCCGGCGGCCCACCGCCTCCATAGGTGGCATCCGAGGTACATGGAGCACAGCTCGCCCAACTCGCACCGCCCACCAGGAAAGCGCAACTGCTAACGCAAAAGCTAAGCCCGCGGAGTATTCCGCCTCCTCTTTCGACGGGTAGACCCGCTGACCATGCTCCGTCCATGGCCGCCACTCATCACCTGCATGAGTGTGGGCACATAGGGCCTTGGGCCATTGAGCTATCTCCAGGACGTTGTGCCTCAGCTTCTGGTACTTGCACCGTGCCGATTGGAAGACACAAGCAGAGTACTCGGTCTCCCAGTACTGACCCGAGTCCATCAGCTTCTTTTCCGCGGGTAACTCCCAATGGAGGCTTCGGCCAGGGTTCTCCCGAATTGTGGCGCCTCCCCGCTGCACCATGGCCTGGATCTCTTCCAGGACAAATCCAGCTGCCTTGTTATCCCGCTCCACCCTAGCTTCATCCTGGGGATTCAGCCCTGGTAAGCCCTCTGGGTGGTCATTGGAGCGCAACGGCTTAGGGCTGGGTCTGCCATCGCTGAAGTGCAGTGGTATCTCTCGAGCCCGAGATTTGGTGGAGCAATCCAGCGCAGCCATGATGCAGTCAGCCTCTTGTAGCTGCTCGTGCAGAAGTGCCTGGCGGGTTGCATCGCTGAGGTCGTGAGTGGGGTCCAGGAGGATGTCAATGGGCAAAACTCTCCATCCGCACCATAACAACGCCTTGCTGACTGGTGCCCCTGGTCCACTCATGATGTCTGCTGCAAGGGGGGACTGTGGCGGCATAGGTGGAAAATCGACCCCAGAAGAGGCTACCGCGATGTTGGATCGGCACGTGTGGGCCCCATGCCCAGCCGCGCCACAGACTCTGTCCCCCCGTGTGATAACTCCACATCGGTGGGCACCTGCAGTGCATTTGCCCTTCTGCTTGCAGTCTCCCCGTTGAAAGCCCTGACATAGGGTTGTACCATCCCTCATCACCTTGGCGACCCGCTTGCCGTTGATGGGCTTGCCAAGGATGAGCTTGTTCGGAGATGCAGACGCAGTCGCCACCTTGCTGTTCGGCACTGGCGCCATCGCAGTAGATGCCCCTGAGGGTTCACTACCCACAGGGGGAATCCAGTGGGCATCCCGTGCCTGGAAGACCTCTTTGATGATGACCCCCAGAGTCAGGGTGCTCTCCCTGAATCGGGATGTCCATTCGGCTCGTTCTTCTTGGTCTCTTGCCTGCAACCATACCATCCGCTTGGAAGAGTGCACCTGATAGCATGTCCTCTTTGCCCGAAACCAGTAAGTCATGCACACATCCAAAGGTACCGCTGCAAACTCCGTCGAATCAGCCCCCAAGGTTGCCTCCTTGGTGGCATCTGGTGATGTGCCCGGCGGGGGGGCGACTCCAGCGATTGCGTAGGCCAACATGAGGGTGTAGAGGCGGTCCAGGTACGACTCCACATTGTGCTGGCAAGGCTCGTCCTCATCCACTTCCTCCGTGTAGAGGTTCTCACCCAGCTTGCGCTTCTTCTGATTGGTTGTCAGCTGAAACTGCAGCGTCTTCACCTTCCACAAGTTGAACACACATAACATTCTCTTGGATAGCTCCCGGCTCACCCTCGAGACGGTTGTATCCGCCGGATGTACCTCAGTTGGGAACTTCAAGCGGTACCGCCGCCAGAAGGCTGTCTTGGAATCCCGCAGCTCACTCTCATTGAGCATGCTGTCCAAGTCGGTGGTCTGCACCTTAGACCGGTCTTGCTCGGCCGTTTGATAAAACAGTGAGACTGCCGCCCAGGCCCTCCTCAGCCTGGCAACCTGCACCATTTTGTCATCGGTCACTCCGAGCTTGGTTACCCAAGTTTCCACTTGGGCCCCATCATGAAAGAAAAATCGGAATTCCTCAAGGTTGGCTATCTTCTCTTTGATTAGCCCTTTCACGATCACGTCGTCAAGGCTGAAGTTTACCCCTAGTGCCGCTAGGGAAACTTCTGGGGTCCCCCCTCTCTATAGGTACCAACCCTGATGAGCTCATACGGGTTCCGCCCGCACCAGCCCTCCTCGGTCCCCCGAGCAGTCCTAGGCTGTCTTGAGCAAAAGCTGAAGACACAGACCTGCACGCGGTTACTCCGCTCACTCAAAAGAACCCAGGACCCCCTGGACACAGACTCCCCTCCCTGGCATTCTCAGACTGCTCTCAGTTCTTGCATGCCGAAAAAGGGGGAAAACCTAAGAAGCCTCGAAGGGAAGGTTGGGATACAGCTTGACCAGCGACCCCTTGACTACCTACTCCCTAGATGAGCACTTCAAGCTATAGTCCTGCTCCCACAAGACTACCTCCCCTGGATTACTTCCCTCACATTTTTCACCAAAAGTGAACTGTTATCCGAGGTTCTGATCCTGTCAAGGTGGCTTGAACCAAACAGACGGACATCTTATGATTGAATTAAATAAAAGAGAGGATCGGAGAGCTCCGCTGGCCCCCAAAAATGCATCCCTCTCCAAGCTCTTAGCCTGCAGAAAAAGGTTACCGTGATACCTCCCTGCTTTCAGGTGGTGTCACTTGCCCTGCTCTGCTACACTCACTCGGAACCTGCGTCGCGTGGCATCCATGATGCTGGGGCGCGGGCCAAGCAAGCTCTGCACCACGGTCGGTCCCAAGCCACTGCCTCATCGCCATCCTCGGTGAACATAGGGTCAGTCAAGCGCTGGGCCTTGTCCGACTTCTGGTGATGCATGCAAAGCGGCACATGCTTGAAGCCCTGCAAGTGGAGTGCGCTCCTCGGAGTAGCCAGATATCCCGATGGGCGTGGCCAGCGGTCCCTCCGCTTCGTGTTCCTCACTGCTTCCTGCAGCCACTTGGCGGCCTCCTTGTCTCTGCAGAAGCCAGGCACATCGGTATCTCTTCTCTGGGCTATCCAGTCCGAAGCATCCTCCAAAGTCTCACCCATCATCACAGCCCTGATCAATGCTGTGGCTCCTCCGGCTCGGTGGCGACCCGCAATGCAGTGTGTGACGATGACTTCGCCACAGTACAAGGATTGTAGGACCAATGGCCATAGCTCCTTCCACGCCTCTGCACGCTCTGCTGCCACGGCCACAGGGAATCGCCTCAGCAGCGTGTTAGGCAACACCACTCCATTCCGCGCCTCTGGCCTCTCAGTGAAGCATGCGATCTGCAAGGTGGCCGGTGGAAACCGATGTTTGTTGGCTGCCGTCGGAAGCCCGGCCAGCCACAACTGACCCCCTGAAGTCATCTCCAGGATTTTGGTTGGGGCCTGGGCATACTTTCCCTTGATCGTTGCAAGGCGGTCCCAAATGACTTCTTCTTGGGGTGGATCCAGGGTTGCCGGCATAGGGGGCATCACGAAGTCCTCGTCCGCTGGGATGTGCGCTGGCCACTCAACCACCATCCCTGACTCATGGACCTCAAGTGCAGGCCTGGATGACGATGCCTTCGCCACCGGCGGCTGCTTGGGCGTGGAGGCTCCACCCGCCGCTGCTGCTCTCCTGGCCTTTGGCTGCGGCTGCAGCTTCGGTACAGCTTTAGCTTGGGCAGGAACCACCGCAGGTACTTTTGGTGGCATCACCGGCGCCCCAGCCTTTGGTGGGGTTACCGGCGCCTCTTGCCTCCTTGCCCTCTTGGCCAATGGAACTATGCTTTCTGAGGAGCTCGATGATGTGCAGCCTGGTACTGCCTGTACCGTGGCCTCCTCCTGAGTGGAAGGATGAGGTAGCACCGGAGATGTGACGGTACTCTCCGCCAATCGAGCCTTCTTCGTCCAGCAGACGTAGGCACCATGTTTGCCGCCGCATGCCCGTCCAGTTCTGGATACAACAGCACAAACGTGTGCTTCCGGGCACTGCTCCTCCTCACACTGCCCTGACTGAAAGAGGGCACATAGTGGGGTCCCGTTCCTCAGGAACTTGGTGAGCAACTTCCCCCCTATGGAAGGGGGCATTGCCGGGCGGCCTGCCCTGGCGGCCTCTTCTTTGGCCTTGTCTCTCTGCTCAAGGGCTTGCTGAACGAAGTTGAACGACCTCTTCACCGAGGTTGGCGATGCCTTCGCCTGCCATTTGGTGACCACATCCTGGTTAATCTTCTTGGCAACCGTCGCCTCTGCCTGCACCACTGCGGCATGCAGATCATCCATTGGGATCACTTCCCAAGACTCAAACTTGGTCAGGTTGGCCATGATGGCATAAAGGCTGTGTGCTTCATCCGTGTTGACATCGCTTCTTTGGAGCCGGCACAGTGTGCTGGCATCTTGGCAGATGATTTGACCTCATCCGTCCAGTCTCCTAATGCGTTCAGCTCCAAGTCCGTGAAGGTCGAGAGCAAACCCACTGTAGGTGCCACCCGTCGCCATGTGTATGTTGTGATATTCCTCGCATCATCGACATGGTTCTCGAAGAGGAGCTGGGCCTTCTTCTGGACCTCCGAGATAGGGTAGGGGATCCCTTCCCCGTCGAAGGCCATACCACAGGTCTGCTGCTTCTCTTCGGGCAGCTCTTTGAGCGTCGATCACTCTCTGAGCCCACGGAAAACCATTGGTGAACTCTGCAGGGGCTGACCAGGTGAATCCATTCCTGGAGTGTGCCTGCTTTCCCTGCGAACACCAGGCATGGACAGTAGAAGCGGAAAGCCGCTGGGGGGAACTCTTGGTGATGTGTCGGTGCCGCAAACATCCGACAGCACATAACCAGTTGGCTAACAAGGCCATCCATTCTGGATTGTTGTGCTCGGCCGCGGTGATGATGCCTGCTTCCAGGAAGGGAATCATGCCTGGCTCGGCCACCACTGCCTGCTGCCGCTTCCACGTCCTCACATTGGGTGCCACTGGAAGCTGGATGTTGGTGAGGTTCCACCCCATCGTGCCTGCTTTGTTGAGCCACTTCAGAGATGCCAGGGCCCTCGCTGGGCCATCTGTGCCATCCTGGACGAATGATGCCAGGTCCAAGTCCTCGACCATGGCACTTCGAGGCCCCTGTCCTCCTGGTAGTGCGCCAGCTCCTTCCAGGTGCGGATGGCATTGATGATCGTCTGGCTATCGGCCTGAGTTACTTTCTGTTGTGACAACCGCCGCAGCTGCTTCCTCCACTCTTCCAGCCGTGCCTCGGTTACCTTGTGGGCCGGCCGCTGCACAGACATTTCTTCGAAACACTGCGCAAGAGACTCCACCCTCTGCACCACTGCATCAGGCCCGTACCTGTTAGTAGACAGGGTCACTCCCTGTCTCCTTTGGATCATCGGCTTCACGGTCGGTCGGGGAACTCGATCTCTTGCTGAGCCAGCGCCACTGTCTTCGACCGCCCTTGCTCCAGCCGCCAGCAACCCTTCATCAGCTTTGGACCGGGCTGAGGCCCATTGCGCCGCCAGAGCATGCCCTCCTGCCGACATGGCATCCTGGTAGTTCTCGAAGGCATAGGCGAGGTCACTATCATCAGCTAACCCGAAGTGTTGCCTCACTTCCAGCGCCCTTTCCATAGTGGCCACTTCCACGGCTTGCTCTGGGTCCCAGGTGCTTGCTTCACCCGCGGCCTCAAGAGCGTACCGTCCCTTGCCGCTCGCCATGGCACCGGCAGCAACCGCGAGTCCTAGTTGAGCCAGGGCTGAGAATGTAGATGGAGATGATCTGGTTCCGGCACTCTCCCGTGCCTTACAACCTCCCTGGACCACCCCCTTGACATCCCCAGACAGGACCGACTCACTGCTCATTGTCAGAGGAGCCGCAGAAGGGGCAGAAGTCACCTCCACGTCGGCATTCCTCGCAGACTGCTCCGCCACAGGTTGGACAAGATGTGAACGTAGGGATCCAGCAAAGCCGGCATGGCCCAGGGATCCACTCCACCTCAGCCTCCACGGCACCCAGGATGCGTCACACGGCGTCTCCTGCTCGTCTGCGATCGTCGTTGGCCCGCACGACTCCTCCGCAGCCTGTCCAGGGTTCCACCCAGGTACAGCTGCCCCGTTGCCATTCCCTCCATAGCTCGAAGAACTCCTGCATCGTGATGCCGTCACGACACAGGGCCAGCCTGACGAGGGTCCCATGGGCATGGCTTGGGATGAGCTGCGCACGGGTAACGCCCGAGGCAACTCTTTGCAACGCAAGGAGTTCAAAAGTCTCCTCCCCGGCATGGTAACGCTCCCACAAAGATTGAGCTGTGTCACCTGCTTGGGCCAAAACAGCCGTCTTGGTCCAAATGCCAACGAAAGGAAACTGAAAGCCTCCCCTTCTGGTGTCGCATCGCACACATGGTGACTCCATGCAAGGTATTCTGCACACCCCAGGCAACTCTGGGATCCCCAAAACATCCACATTGGGGTTCGTTCCATTATGGATGACTTCCACAACAGACTCCCAAAGGATGCGCGCCTCGGCCGCTCGCCCAGCACGAAGAAGAAGGCGCACGTAGTTGGAGAAGTCCATCCATGCCGCGGTGTGCAGTATCTCTGCACGCGTGTGCAAAGCAACATGTACCCCAGGGATTAGGTTGGCCATTCAGTGGACACCACCACTTAGACCAACTACCTCCCGTCCAAGGAAAACAATGCTGCTATTTTGGATCAATACTTACTTGAGCCAAAATTGGCATTGATTTTACCTTATTTAACCAACCACCAAGGAATGACCACTGTCCACCCAGGCCTGCCAAACACTAGACAGTCATATGAAACCTGGAAGAATACCATTGCGTACGCAGGAGAAATGTAGAACACTTGTGCCTGTAAGGGCATAGGTGACTTATATGCCACCCATTTTCCAATCTACTGTCCCTCCTCAAGTAGTTGCATTTTGTTTGCATAACTTGCTGCATCAATGAAAATGGTAACTTGCTGCATCAATGAAAAGCAGCCATTCTATAGATAAAGTTGTTTGGTAAGGTTATATAATTTTCAGAAAATTCCCAAATTATCAGATTTTCCAATACTAAATTGTAAAGGCGCTAATTGAGATTTAGTATGGATGCAGGAAAAAACTCAGAACCAGTTACAGTTCAGCTCTAATTGTTTCCCTTCTTCCTTAGTGCTTTTAATTGTGGTTAAATGGTTTTAAATTGCGATTGCATGCTGTTCAAAAGCAAAAAACAAAGCAAACCTTTACCAAAACAAAAACTTTACCTTGTTCAAAAGAGCTGTTTTCTTTATTAAAATAAAAAAATGCAAAAACAGGTCCACAAAGGGTACCCCCTTGCAGGCCCTTGCATTTGCAATTAAAAATTGGAATTAGCACGTGCAATAAAAAACAACCTTTCTGGCTCTAGCTGTTTTTTTCCCTTCTTCCTTAGTGTTTTTAATTGTGGTTGAATGGTTTTAAATTGTGATTGCATGCTTTTCAAAAGCAAAAAAACAAAGCAAACCCTTACCAAATCAAAAACTTTACCTTGTTAAAAAAATGTTTTCTTTATTAAAATCCTTTTCAAAAAAATGCAAAAAACAGGTCCACAAAGGGTACCCCCTTGCAGATCCTTGCGTTTGCAATTAAAAATTGGAATTAGCACTTGCAATAAAAACACAACCTTTCTGGCTCAGCTGTATTTTTTCCCTCCTTCCTTAATGTTTTTTCATTGTGGCTGAATGGTTTTTAATTGTGATTCTCACCAAAGCCTATCAGAAAACAGAGGTTCTCAATCAGAATCCAATGAAGATACCATCAAAGCCAATCAGAAAATAGAGGATTTGTCAAACCCTTACAGAAGCCTTGGGGAAGAGTTGAGACTTTCGATTTACTATTGCAAAGCAGACCCCCCCTTAAAAAAAAAATAGGGGGGGCCTTTACTATTGTCGATGTAACATTACATATCAACCAAGCTAAAGCTTCATCAGGATGCAAGAATTAAGTAAAGAAATGTGGTTCAGGATGGCTTCTTGTTGGAAGTTGGGGATGATTGCCGCCCCCTTGGCTATTTTGCACTCTTGGCAAAAGCTGGGAGGCAGACTGCATCCGTAATGGCAGTGTCACCTAGCCACAGGGCCGCTGTGCGCTGGTAGTGACTTCACAGCCCACCACAATTTTAAGTTATCGCTGTGTTTGGTCGCACTTATTTCCACAGATGCCATTCAACGAATGCCGACAAAAGCCATCAGTGGTGGCCTTTTGGTCTGCTTAGCAGAAGGGTTTTGCTGGATACTCTGCCAGAAAGCTCATAACACTATGGACTCTGCACATCAATGAACAATAAATGAACACACGTGTCAGCCACATGTGTACGAGCAATGCCCAGTGAAATCTCAAGTACGGCATTGTCAACACCTTGTTTTAAGAGAAGCCGTACACATCCGTACGCTAGCAGAATATACGAAAGTGTCTGGCAACATCTGCCTGGACATGCCAAATTTAGCCTGGTCCTCTGCATTATGAGCTTGTGACAGGGCAGAAAATGCACGATTTGATTTTGCAGTTTTGCAAAAAGTTGACTTCCTTCGTTCTTGGCCCGCTCAGCTGCTCACAATCAACAAAAACTGTGACCCTGCACCTCGTATCATTCAACAAGAGAATCCATTGGGATATTTTCGCCCCTAAAGGAAATCCTGGCTCAGACTTTCAGCGCCATCAGCGGACTTTGGGCCTTTGCACTCTCTCAAGCCTGACACAGCTTTGTCTGTTCGAAGCCAAACAACGGAAAAGGTTACCGCTTACCATGTGTCAGAAGATGTCAGAAGTCCGTGGCCTGAAAGCTTGGATGAGAAGAACATATAACTCGTCCAACCACAAATCCTACATCTCTACATGTCATCATAGCGTCATAGAGTCATAGGTTTGAACACATTGCGGGGGCAGCTGCCTCTTTGTTTCAAGAGCCTGCCACGTCTGCGTCTGTGCCCTTTGCAGTTCCTTAGCAAAATGGCACTGCTGCAACTACCGTTCTGCCCCTGGCAGTGTTCACGTCTGCCCGGCAAAGCTGCCCAGCAACGCGGCCTGTTTCTGAACCAAAGAGAACAAGTTCCACATGCTCCACGGAGATAGAAGGCTAAGGCAGCTAAGTCTCATTTAGGTCTTCCCTTGGCTGCAGTGGAGAATGGTTGAAGCAAACAAACCACGGTTTCCCACAAGATTCTGATCACAGTACCATCTGAGATTCTGACTCGGATAATTAGTGTCAAGAATGGACATGGCAGCATGACATGAGATTATATAGTTCTAACACTGAACTGGCTCCAAAAATAGGGCACCAATGGACCCGTAACATTACAGTAGTCATGCATTTAGTAGAAATATCCCCCATTTAGGGTTGTAGTTGTACCTAAATACATCTAAATTATCTAAATACTTAATTGGAGCGATACCGAAATTAGTTTCGAACCTATAAATGATTATAGCAATATGTCGATAATTTAATGTAGCAAAATATGTCCACTTCAGTGGGATGTGGTACATCCGACACTATATCTGAGATATCCGAGATGCGAGAGGTGGACTTGACGCTTCTGCAGGTTCTCCAAAGCCATTTGGGTGATAACAATGTCGACCTTGTTCAAATCCCCACGAAGTCTCATCAAGCCTGACCTGGACACATGGGACCGTTGTTGGGCAAATTTGGCCCCATTTTTGCCACCATCTATTAGGCCTTTATGGTAACTCCGGGAAATTGTCGAATCTTTCTGACAATATTCCATCATTGCGATTTGCATTTTGAACAAAAACCATTGAGGGTGCCCATGGGCACACCATTTTCACACCCATCTATGAATCAATTATCTGTGGGAAACTGAGGGATGGTGAATAAGGGCGCTCCTTCACTGCGACATTCTGATATTCTAATCTGAGGTCCCTGCACCAGTTCTGACATCGACACGAAGCCACTCTCGTCCTTGGTCGAAGGGGGTCAGCGACTGCTAAGTAGAGCAACGCAAAGTGCTAAGCTGCTAAATATACATGTTACATACGTACATTGCTTGAGACAACTCGAAACATGGCATCAAGGCCAAGTTGTAAGCTGCTTGACAAAGGTTGAAAGAGTAGCATCAAGAGCAAATTGATGCAAATTGTAAGTTGCTTGAAAATTATTTAAGCGTGGCATCCGAAGCAAGTTGCACGGTGGTTGAAACAGTTAAAAGCGCAGCATCAAGGGCAAGTTGAATGTGCCTGGAGAAAGGTAAGAGCGTAGCATGAGCGTAGCATGAGCGTAGCATGAGCGTAGCATGAGCGTAGCATGAGCGTAGCATGAGCGTAGCATGAGCGTAGCATGAGCGTAGCATGCGCGTAGCATGCGCGTAGCATGAGCGTAGCATGAGCGTAGCATGAGCGTAGCATGCGCGTAGCATCAAAAGTGTGGGGAAAGTGCCAAGAGAAAGTGAAAAGCACAGCATCTGAAGCAAGTTGTAAGTTGCTTGACGCAATGAAGAGCAAACACCGAAAGATTTTATGAAGACGAAGAAAACAGAACGTTATTACCCTCCCTTCACCCCTTCACCCGGATCCCCCTCCACCCCTCCGGCCTTGGGATCTGGAAACCAGCATGATAGCTTGCACAAACTACGTCCAAGACAGAAGAAAAACAACAAAATGCGCGTACGGTTTTTCAGCCATAGGCATGAATCATCATGAATCCGCTGGGCAGCCCAGGGGTGAGCAGGTCCACCGTGCAGCTAAGTCTCCGTGTTGAAGGCTTCAAAGACCCCAGGTCGGGGTTCCACTACCCTCAGTCTGAGATCATTAGCCATTTTAACCATCTGCTACAGGAAATAGTATGGGAATCGCATGGAATTGAATGACCCCATGATCTCTTACCATTTCTTTGACTCTTGATGCACAAGCTCTTGGAGGCTCAAAAAAGTTGCATGCGTCTCAGTAGCACATCCAACTCGTCTAGCAATGCACGAACCTTGGCTTTGACAACACCACTAAGCAATACTAAGCACCTGCGCTATATGAGTGACAAAATGCGACTGAAAAGCATGCTTTACCTAAAGTGACCTAAGACATCCAAATCCAAAATGATTCAAAATTTCAAAACGATGAAAGGTGACTTCTGGGCTCTTGATGACCTGGTTGAACTCCTCTTCGCCTCAGCACAGGCGGCTACAAGAACTTCTGGGACCTAGCGCTGCCAGCAACGGGATTTCCAATATCTGCTGGAATCTGCCAAGCTTTGCCAGGGTGCTCAAGTAAATCTCCTCGTCGTTTGCCATGTCAAAGGGGTCGAAGTTTCCAAAGCTGAAGGTTTCCAGACTGCAGTACGTTCAAAGTACGTTCAAAGTACGTTCAAAGTACGTTCAAAATACGTTCAAAATACGTTCAAAGGGACATCACATTCAACACGTTCAACTCGTTCGTGTATGTCAAAATATGTCAGTCCAAGGGAAGAAGAAACCAAGATGTCGCTTTCATTGCGATTTAATTGTTTGGCATCTGTGATCATCTGTGTCCTTGCAACTGTGAAATTTTCCGCCGTCGTTGAACCCAGCCTGAGGTCTCTTTTATTGGACGGCTGTGACTGTGATTGCAGTTTCGTCTTCCTAACAGCCAACAGCAGCTGCTCTCGTTGACAAGTTCTATGGACAGGACACGTTGATGGTCTAGGGATTTTGGATGGTTTTGGCCAGCGCACAAGGGATGAACTGTGACTTTCACTCGCCGAAACGGATGGAAACTGGATGGGACAGGTGGGAGTCCTTGATCGCAACTGCTGAGTTTGATGTGAAACGCAAACCACCAGCTTGGCCAGCTGCTCAGTCATATAGGTTGACTCGTATGCTTTTGCATATTTCCGTTCGATCTCGTTTTGACGCAGTCCATTCCTGCGAGTAGGATTGAGCACGTGACTCATGACGCATAAGACATTCTGATGAGCCGCCTGAAGGTGAGTTTATCTATATTATACATATATATATATATTGCGTGGATCCTAGCAAGTTATGTGTGAGTTCAAGCCAGCAACTCCAATTGTTGAATCAAGCGGCAACGTGGCTTCAACAAAAATTGCGGTTATGATGTTGAAGAGTCCGAACAAGACCTGAGCTACAGAATGAAATTTCACATTGCAACACAAGCACATAGTTTCACGAGTGCAAAGGTGAAAACGTACAACACAAAATGGAATAATTAGCTGACAGAACATGAAGGATCATGAAGGCACAATCTGCTGAGCCCAGGAATAAAAAACATTGCCAAGCAGCACAAACCATGCTGAGAGCATACAAAAGATCAAATCTCAAGCCAAAGCCATGACTGAAGATCATAGTCAAAGATCTGCCACCTGTACTTGAAAAGCGGAGTTTGGAAGCGAGGTCAGCATGATGGTTTAAGAGACATGGGCATGGGTCAAAACGAGTCAAAACCCAGAGTCCACGGTACACATCCGGCATTCCTCCGTTACAATATAAGGTATTGAATGGGGGTATTGCACGAGGGGTATCAAACAGGGGGAACTACCTAAACAAACATTTCATGTGACGAATGGGTCGAGGCTGTGCATGTGTGTGCTTGTGTGTGTGTGCCTGTGTCTCTGTGTCTCTGTGTCTCTGTGTCTCTGTGTCTATGTCTGTGTATGTCTGTGTCTCCCTGTGTGTCTATGTGTGTCTCTTTGTGTGTCTCTCTCTCTCTCTCTCTCTGTGTCTCTGTATGTGTCTCTGTGTGTGTGTCTGTCTGTCTCTGGTCTCTGTGTGTGTGAAACATCTGAAGAGATGTAGAACCTCTATCCGGTTTCAATTTACTCTAATTGGCAGGGGGTGGTAGCAGGGTCCAGAGTCTACAAACCAACGAAGGCAATCTGGTTTCCCCGGTGGTACATGGCCTGATCAGCCATGCGTACCTGCAAGACTGTTTTTCCGACATGGGGCGTGGCTAACCCAAGAACCACCTCGCCAACCATTCTGCATTTTCACACTATTGGACACGTCACGCACGTCTGCTGCAATCTGTTTACCTCCGTGTCTTCTACGTATGGGATTTGGATGGATTTGGTATTTGATCTGATCTTGGTCGCGATGTACGGAATGTATACATTATTTATGATTCGATGTTGTTCTTCAGAGGATTACTTACCTTCGGAAATCAAGTCATGTTTTTGTGTAAAGGGATTCAGTTCCCAATAGATCACTTCAGTGATCTTGTTCTTGTCTAGTGTGGGTGTGTGTGTGTGTGGGTGGGTGGGTCTGTGTGTGTGTGATTGTGTGTGTGACTGTGTGTGTGTGATTGTGATCGTGCTTGTGATTGTGATTGTGTATGTGTGATTGTGTGTGTGTGCGTTGGTGTTGGTGTTGGTGTTGCTGTTGCTGTTGTCGGTGTTGGTGTTGTTGTTGTTGTTGTGTTGTGCGGGTTGGTGGTGCGGGCACCTGTGTATGTGAAACTGTCTGAATCAGAGGCCATCATACTAGTACTCCTGAAGCTATTTTGTGGGTGCCAGGTCAAAACTTTGTAATTTACATAGTTGTTTGTGCTTTTTGTATGAAAAACCTATCTTGGAACATGACGAATTTAAAACTGCATAAATACCAGTGTTTTTGCTAGACGCTGTCCACACAACATTGTAGGTACCGTGATGTTTGTTGCTCCCAATGTTAAAGTAAAGAACATCATAAATACCTTCTGAGGCGCCAAAAACAGCGGCGTTTACAGTGTTTTATGGTGTGTTCTGTTAATCCCCCGAAGGTCTTCGAAAATTAACAAAACACCGCCAATATGACGGTTTTTGGTGCCCTGCGCACATCAGCCCCAGCATCAACAACAGCAATGACAGCAACAGCAGCAACGACAGCAACAACAGCAGCACCAGCAACAGCAGGAACCCTTGGGGCATTGCATTGCCGTTGTGCCAAGCCCTACAAGCAAGCTGTTTCCGACAAAGTCATGGCATCGGCCTAATCTAGAGGCAAGCCGACGCAATGGGATGCGTAAGCAACCGAGCTTGACAGCATATAAGAAGGTGTTGAACGGGTATTGAACGGGTCTTGAACGGGGTATTGAACAAACAACCTCCCAAAAAAACAAACCAGCGCTCATGCAACACTGGTCTTCTCTAGCTCTATTTGAACCAAAATCTCTAAATTGCGAGCAACAATGCTTATCGATCAAACACTCAATACTGGATTTGATTTCACTGCTGCGAATATCCGCTGCAATTTGGGTTCTCGAGTTGGGAAGGGGCAGCTACAAGCGAGGCTACGTGTCAGAGTGGTGAGTTCTGACACTGGCGCTCAGTCCATAGAACTGTGGTGCTTTGTGGTGTGTTAATCCATTCAACAAATTACCCGAACAAATTCGAAAGGGGGGTATTGAACTATGGGGAGCCTTCTGTTCAATAGGGCATTGAACGGAGTATTGAAGGAAATGGTCACGAGATGTCACGAGCACCTTTTCAATACCAGAACGTATTAATTTTAACTCACAGCCACTATGGTCACTATGACATAGCACCAAGATGCACCAAGCCTGCTGATGTGCAGTCGCCAATCATGCAGCGGAAGATAGAGAACATGCACCGCAGCACGCTTCCACAATATTCTTCTCCGTAAACAAGGTGAATTTTTTCTGAGATCCGGCTGACACATGGGAGAAACAGTTGAAACATGTTGAAACTTGAAACGGCACAACTGACATAACTATGAGACTATATGAGACTATGAGATGCTAAAATGCATGGGCAAGCATTGGCCACGATTGCTTAATTTGGTGATGTCACAGAAATGAAATATGAACACAAAGATTCGCAAGATGTTGCGAGATATTGCGAGATAATAATTGCAACCGAGCCGAGCTACGGCTACAATAGTCGCTCGTTTCCATGTCCAGGGTGTCCCCACTTTGGTTGCAAGTATCACGAAAGAGAGCTGTCGTGAAGCTCTGTACCAGCGAGCGAAGCGCAAGCGCGCAAACCTCGGTCATGGCAGAAAGTGCGGACATATCCGGAATGGGTCTGTCCGGCAGAAATGGATGCTTGTGCTTGAATCATTCTTGATCAGTATTTGCAGTGCCACAAATGGAAAACCCACACCTGGCATTCATTCAAATTTGATCCCATGAATATATCCAGTTGCTTGTGAAAGCTGAAACCTCCAGTCTCAGGGTAGAACATAGACCACCACATTGATGGTCAAGACCACCCAGAACAATGAGCGCACCTGGGCGAGCAGTAGATCGATCTATGGCATTCGCACGATCACCTGGCCCTAACTCAACCGCAAGGGACAGCTGCCCTCAACCGAGATACGCTGATGATGAAGCCTGAGACAGGTCCCAAATGCACCGCCACTGCGGCAATGGGACAAGCTGCTCACGCAGTTGTTGTCTTGGCATGTCTTCGCTGATCAATATTTCAACAGAATGTCTTCAAACTGTCATTGCTTGACGTGCGATTCTCCCCAAGCTTACTTTTTTTTGTGGGGGTCACTTTTCTATGCTTTTGTCATCGTTTGTCATAGTGCCATCTGGAGGAGGCAAGCAGCCAGAAACAATGTTCGCAAGCTCTTGGAGCAGTGGCATATTCACCAGCTTGGCCAAGCGTGCGACCCGAGCCAGTCGCAAACCTCTGAGGATTAGAACCAGCTTCCTGAGGCGCAGCGAGTTCAGCACCATAAAGGGACCCCATCCCCTACGGATTTTGAATGATTTTGAGTGGGGACTTGCTGACAAATATATCCAAATATTGCCACTGAGTGTCGCTTGACCTCCTGAAACTGAGAACAGGTTGAGAATTAACTCAATCACAGCCACCTAGGAGAACACTTCAGTTTGAACCTCCAAAATCCGAAACATGACCTGCAGGACATCAGGAGAACAGTCACACACGAACACATGAATGATAACACCTGTTGTCAACATGATCACACATGATAATGGCAACGCATTGTGACGTATGAATGTAAGCGTTTGGTCCAAGACATTCTAAGACCAATGCCGCAGTTAGCAGCACGTCAAAGCGATTCCACCACCGAGATGGCCCGAAAAAGTACTCGCGAGCAGTGTATACCTCGAAACAAGTGGCCTGTGGCGGAACAAGATGAACAAGCCATTGGAGCCATTGGTGACATCACTGCCATCACTGGTGACAAGCTGATGACGAGACGCCACGGACTTGATGACAATCTCTCCCACGAAGATACATGCAAAAACTGCTTCAAAAACTAGCCATCCAGGCCAGTCTGAGTCATTGTCTAGGGAAATGCCCAATAGGATAAAACCTCGGAGTGCAAAGCTGAAAACTGTGCTGGCCTTTGAACTCAGCCATGAAGAAAAACAGTGCTGGCAACAGTGAACAGTACAAACTCACAGTAGCTTACATAAATTAATTACAAATTATGATGATATATGATAATATATGATAATATATGGTAATATATGATAATATATGATAAGATATGATAAGATATGATTATGTCTGTATTGTGTTCTGAACCTTCATCTGGACTCTGTAGATCTCTCAAAGTCTCTGGATCTCTGGGGTCTGGCAAGGAGCTGGATAAAATGGACACGGTCGACAATGCCGTAATGCCGTGGACCAAAACGTCATGCTTTGTGGCAGGCTTCCGGTTTTTCCCATAGGCGAGCAGGAGAGCTTTTGTGGCACTGGTGGTCGGGACAGCATCTCCGAGCAGAGCTTGTTGAACAATGAAAACATTCAAAGCCTCAGAGTTGAGCTGCTTATTATAGTTTTCTTTCAAAATATGTGCAGGTGTGTGTGTGTGTGTCTCAAAATGATCAATCTCCAACAATGGATCAAGAATGATCAATTTTGATGGTTCCATCACTGCCCCAATTTCGGCCCATCCACATTTATCATCATGAATCATTATTGTGATATTCTGATGTCTGAATAACCACCGTTTGAAAACCCTTCCTGGCCACTCTGAGCATGCGGCAGCTCGACCATGTGCCAGGTTCGGCAAGTCCTCCAGGAGAATGCTATCCTCACGAAGCTGATGCTCGCCAAAGGGTTACGCTGCTGGCATTGCCCCAAGGAAATCGGAAAACAAACTGCAGGGGCAGCAACAGTTTACTTATGTTTAGTTCCAAGTAGTGAGCGTTTGGCATCTTTGATTTGCAATTTCGGACAGATCGGACATCCAGTGTCTGGAAAAAGGCCTGTAAACTACGTATATATATATATATATGAAAAAATGCTGTTCGAGCACAGGCTGTGTAAATAAATGTAATAGAGATTCAGATGCCTGAAGATGGGCACAGAGACGTGCATAATCTTGAATGCCGGTGGCAGTACTGTGTCCGTATTGGTTGCATTTGCCGCCCTATGCTGCACTAATTAACTTCCAAGCACAAACATGCCATTGCGAAAAGTTCTGCAAGATCACTTGAATTTTATAAACGAAACACGAATAAACTTGATCGACTGCAAATCAGCAGATATGATTGACAACTATCAAACCTAGGTGCAGCTGAGACTCCTGGAAGGCCTTCCAGGACATTACTGGTTGATGTGAATGCGTCACTGATTGCCTGCGTCCCTTTTCGTACACCTTGAGGTGGATTCGCCGCAGTTCCACCATTACCTCCTCCAATTCTTCCTAGGCTGAAGTGCCGCAGAGGAAACTTGAGGCCGGGGGTGGATGACGAAAGCTAGCGGGGTAGGAGAAAGAAGGAAGGGAAAGGTGAGTTGCGGAGGGACTGTCATCATCGTGTCGCGGCATTGTTCGTCCCAACGAGGATGCAACAATGATATATTGATATATGATATATAACAATGATATATATGGGGGAGGGGGCAGGGGGGGGCCCTTTCGCGGGAAAAATCACGTGATGTCCTTGGGGAGCCCCGGAATACGTGCTAAAGCAAGAAGACTCTAGCGAGCTAACACTAGCTTTAGTGATAATGAGAATAATTGCCAATAATGATAAAATGTAATTGAATAACGATGATGATGATGATGATGCTGATGATGATGCCGATGATGATGATGATGATGATGATGAATGATGAATGATGAATGATGAATGATGAATGATGAATGATGAATGATGAATGATGAATGATGGATGATGAATGATGATGATGATGATGATGATGACGAGGATGATGATGATGATGATGACGATGACGATGACGATGACGATGACGATGACGATGATGATGATGGATGATGATGATGATGATGATGATGATGATGATGACGAGGATGATGATGATGATGATGACGATGACGATGACGATGACGATGACGATGACGATGACGAGGACGACGATGACGAGGACGAGGACGACGACATGACGATGACGATGACGACGACGACGACGACGATGATGATGATGACGACGAGGACGAGGACGAGGACGATGGAGAGGACGATGGAGAGGACGATGGAGAGGACGATGACGATGATGATGACGATGATGATGACGATGATGATGATGATGATGATGATGGTGGTGATGGTGGTGATGGTGGTGGTGGTGGGGGAGGGGGGGGGAGGGGGGGGCCCCCCCTTGCGCGTGAAAAATCACGTGATGTCCTTGAGCAGCCCCCCCAATACTTGCTAAAGCAAGAAGACTCCAGCTAGCTGACGCTAGCTTTCGTGACAACAATGCCGCAACCCATGAAACTAAGAGAAAAACGTTCCGCATCACACGGTTCGCAACCATTTCTTTTTCCAACATTCGTAGCGTCAACAGCATCTCTTCAGGCTTCCAGCAGTCGGTGGCCAACCCGTGGTTTTGATTCCACCCTGGAAGTACCAAAAGTCTGAAGGCAGAAGCCCGGGAGCACCCTGCTTTAGTCTGACTAGTGCTCATATCGAAGCACCATGAAGCACCGTTTCCTTGAGGGCTTTTGAATTTGCATAGGGTTTCTTTTGAAAAAGGATGAAAAAGGGCAGGTCTGCCGCATCTTCCACTACATGATACTCCATGTAGTATGCGGTCGTGATCGTATGGAATCGTGCAATAGCAGTTGTGTTGCGGACACTTTGTCTGGGCTAATGGATAAGAGATGATAAGAGATGATAAGAGCATCTTCAAGAAACAAGCTAGACGAAAATGCCGCAATGCCCCTCAACTAGCACCAGACGTTGTCGTACCCGGGCACAAGTTCCAAAGTATTCCAAAGTCTTTTTCGGAGTAGTTTCCCCAGTTGGCAGTTGACCTGTCACGGGGGTGACCTCCTCCAACTTGCAATGGCAGCTGATGCCTCCAAATTGGACACGCTGCAGATCTGTTCCTGGGAATTCTCAATACACTTCAAACAGTGGAGATTGCTGAAGCTGGTTGCAAATGCCATTGACCCACCAGTGCCAAATTGCGGATATGCATCGGCCTTTGAGGGTCTTTCAATGTAGAAGCTGATTTCTTCTTGGGTCATGAGAGGCATGAATATATATATATATGAATATATCACGTCATTCCCTTCATCAATCTTCCCTAGATCCATGGATGCAAACGACAGCCTTCTGTGCTCCAAACGGCTGTTCCACTGCAGGATGCGGATGTTGGATCAAGATCGAAGCTTCCGACTCGACTGGTGGACAGGAAGTTCCATGAGCACCAGCCCGGAAGGCAACTAGAGATACATTATCATTATATAATATTATATATATATTATATATATGCATAGACATTGAATGCGCATTGGAATGACGGTGTTCATCAGTATCGACATGTTGAGAGTATGAAACTGCTTCAATGAATGTAGCTCTGCGATCTCCTTGAGCCAAAATGAGCTAAACACACCAAACATGAGTAACTGCAACGTCTATCAACAGTCACCACTCCATAAAACACTCCAGGATCTTCCAGGTTCGTGATGTTGCTTTGTCATGCTTTGTCCTGAAATGAGAAGTGCACCCCAAAACGGAAACTGATGAACGAAGTGAACCATTGGATTTTTGGGGGGCACAGCTGACCGCTGACATGGCGACCAAGTTGCAATGGACAGTGAGGGCATCATCTGTGTACTCTGCGCAGACCCTTTGCGCGAAGTTTTCAAGGCAGCTGCAAGGTCCTCAGTAAACCCACCCTCCTGGGCGGCAAATAGTGAGATGATATCCACCAAGGTCATCAAAACAGTAGGAGGAACCACACCTGTTTGATATGTTTTGATGCTTCAAAAAATCTGGCACAAGGATGGAGCCAAAAAAAAGGAACATGAAGAAACATAAAAACAAACAGTTCATGTCGAAACAGGGGCTCTGGATGGCTCTGGGACCTTGATGAACATATATATATATAATTATATGTATATATATATATATGTGAAAATACGTTGAAGCCCCCATGGCCCTTAGTCAAGGGGCGCTGGGCATCACAACTTTTGCTGCCGACTCCTCAAACACAAAGAGCGCGTGGAGCCTGAAGGTGGCAGCAGGTAGAGTCTTGTTGACTCACTGGATTCAATGCCTTGCCTTTCCAGCAAATTTCCTCCATCCGCTGTCTTGTCATAGCACTTCCTGAGTGAGGCGGAAGTCTGCAGAGAAATGGCCAATAATTTAAAATGCCTTTTGCATCCTTTTGCAGTAAGAGTGCAAGCAAGGATCGGTGGCGGTCCTGCTGGAGATACCTTGGGTGCCAAGCTGTTCAATTCATCCAAGCAATGGAACTAATTTTCTATAACTTTGCTTCAGTCTTGTCATGCTGTAAAAAGTTTTACCTGGAGTGCAGGGGACGAGGAAATCTTGGCGGGGAGGACTTTGGAGTGAGGAGGAGGACGACGACGACGATAACAATGCAAATGATGCAAATGATTCAAATGATGCAAACGATGCAAACGACGACGATAAACACAGCGACGGCGACAAGGACAGGAATTGCCGTTTCGGCAGCAGTGGGGATGAGGATGATGAGGATGAGGAGGAGGAGGAGGACGAGGATGAGGATGATGATCATGATGATCATGATGATCATGATGATCATGGTCCATGGTGATCATGGTGATCATTGTGATCATGGTGATCATGGTGATCATGGTGATCATGGTGATGGTGGTGATGGTGGTGATGATGATGATCGTCATCATCATCCTTCTCATCGTTACAATTATAATTACGTATATAAAACACCCCAAAAAAAATAATATATCATCATCCTCCTCCTCCTCTTCCTCCTCCTTCTCCTTCTCCTTGTCGTCGTCATGAAGATGATGACGGCTACAAAGCCGGGTTCGCCCAGAACCCTGGGGGATGGCAGGTAGCAGTGAACTTCTCACACATCTTGTGCATTCCATGCCTGCCAAACGCTTTCTTAAGCAAAAACAACTCTGACGAACTGACCCCAGCATTCGTATAAACCTGGATATCGAAGCAAGCACGGGAACTGGAGAACTGGATCAGTTTGGCTGCTGTTGAATTCGCGCGAGAACGAACTCGATCCACTTGGACTTGGCCATGGGCAGGTAAAGAGGAGAGGGAATCCATCAATGCATCGATATCCTCCTTGAAGGATGCCATGGCATGAGCCCATCTGAAATCTTCTGAGACGACACTCAACCAATCTCAACCAATCTCAACCAACAAGAGCCTTAGCCTCCCGTGCCCTGGTCCTGCGAGCTGGCGCGGCTTGGGATGTTGGACCTCGACGCTGTCAGGATGGTCGAGCTGATCTGTGCCTCCAGCAAGCCGCCCTGATCAAAGGCCCAGTGCCTAGGGACGACCGAGGGACGACCGAGGGACGACCGAGGGACGACGGAGGGACGACCGACAGCACGGTGCCATACTGTGCCATACTGTGCCATACTGTGCCATACTGTGCCATGGTTAGCGATGCCGCTTGATCCAGTGGTCCAAGCGGTTTGTTTTGACTGTTTTAACTTTTGTGTTGGGGATCATCACCCGAAGAGATGATCACAAATATTGTGACCCCAGTGGCTGTTTTTCTGCTCCCAGGCGGAGGCATGCTCTTAAGCATTGTGAGTACAATCCTTCGATAAAAAGGTCTACGACCACCTTCTCCGGCACATTCCATGCAATCATCCGATGAGTCCTTGGCTGGACGGCCACTTCGAAACCAAAGGATACCGCACAGACATGTCCAAAGTGTTCGTGCGTCCTACCTAAGGATCTTAGGGTCTTGGATACGAGCTGCAATGGCCCTCCATTTTGCTCCCAAACCTGAGAGGCACAAATGACTTCCATCCTTTCAATGACATGCCGAAATTAGACAGTGAAAGAATCTGAAAAATTAAAATTGTCTAAAATTGGAATGGCATTCCCCACTTCTGATGACATGTTCAGTATTTTTCAGTGACTATAGCTGCATGTTCCCATATGTTCCCATGTCTCCCATATTATGTGTAGAGTCTGAGGTTCTGTCCCCCCCAAGACATCCCAAGACATCCTACCTGCCGCACTTTTCGGTCGAGCAGCTGCGCCCCAAGTTTCTTGAGGGCTGCCGGGCAGCGGCGAATCCTGGCACAAATCTTCCGCATGTGGCAGGATGGGTAGGTCATTTCATATCATGTTTTGACAATGTTAATAATGCTATGACAATATTATATATTTTATGCTCAACATGTCTTTCAGATCTTTCAGGTAACAAGATCCAGCCGCAACACAGCCTTGCGCAGTTCTGCCCATTCAGTTTCATGTATTTCACTTCCCAAGTGGATCTTCAGCTTGCATCGGCACTTCTGGCCATCACTTCCTGACAGGTCACTGTGATGAGCTGATGATAGCTGATGCTGTCGCTGATGGATGGCATTGGAAGGCCAAGGATCACTGTACAAAGCCCAGCCTCGGGACTGTAGCGAAGGCGGCGATGGCACTAAATCCAAAACGACACCCTGAATCGCATGGATCACCAAATCCACCTGCAGGGAAGTTCAGCACTTGTCTTGTTGTGTCATGCTGCGTTATGCCACGTTGCCCCCAGCTACCAGCGAAAATCCAGCGAAACGCGTGAAGAGCCTGGTGCTTCTGCACAGGCACTGGCAAACAATGTGACGAATGGCCAAAGGTGGAGTCCAACGGACCCAATATCGAGGCGTCAAGGTCATCAGAACGAGCGACCTCTCATGGGGGGCGCAGGAAGCAAATCGAAGCAAGATATGGAGGTTTCCTAAATTACTAAAATGGGGGTTACCATGGGTTACCATGGGTTACCCTAAAACCTCCGAAAACCCATAGATATTTGGGGTACCTCCATTTTAGGAAACCACCATATGTGGTCACATCATGTCACATGACAACTTCTGCGGCTGCCTGTTGAAGATCCCATACCGACAAGTGCGATGTGTATCGAAGTCTTGATCTGCATGCGTTTTACATCACAATTTGTTCTATTGTTTCTTATTCTATATGGGATAGTTTAGGTCATTCTTGGCAAAGTATTTCCTGGCACGGCCATGTATCTGCGTCCCATGCCATGCCTCCCTCAGGGGAATGTGGTGTTTGAAGCCAGTCAAGACGGCACTTGTAGCCATTGATGGGGCCTCCTCGAGGCTAGCAGAATCTGGCAGATGGGAAACACACATTCCGCAGAGCGCCCAGTTGGGGGCGGCGAAGACTCATTAAAACTCTGACATCTCTATGCAAACACAACGGTGCTGGCTCCGTCCTGACTAAAGGAAGATCCAGAAACTTCTGATTTTTGAAGTTCATGCTGCAGCTTCTCATTGGTCTTCTTCAATCGTTGAATTTCAAGCTCCTAAGCCATTGCAGCAGTGTGCAGGAAAGCCAAGCTGATCCTTCCAATTCTTTCACCACTTCTCTGCTTCAAACGCCAAGATAATGAGTCATATGATTCACATGCTGGGCTGGTGAGAAGTCTGAATCACCTAGGGGGCTGGTTTTGAGTAGATTGCTGAAGCAAAACCAAGCTGCGTTTTCTGCCACAAGTTGCTCAATGAGCTGCTTGAAGCGCGCAGATGCCGCAAACGAACCCATTTCTCTTGCAAAATCAAGGGCCCATGGCGAAATGCACACACAGAGCAAGGTTTTGCGTAATGTCAAGTCCAATAGTTGTTCAAATGTCCTCGCAAAAGACGGACAAAATGCAACTTCATTCAATGAAATCAGCTCTATCAGCCAATCTGACTGCGTTTCATCCTCAGTGAGCCCAAGCTATCACAGCGGCGCTTATCATGTTTGAATATGTGTGAGACTATAAAGGAGCGCAATGGATCACACCCATTTGCGGCTGAAAACTGTGCAGCGATGGGGTGCCTTCACATACCACTCCTGGGCTCATGGGTGGCAGGGCTGAAACAACAAGGACGAAGAACATGAAGAACGTGAACAAAATGGAACAAAATGTGACAACAATGTGACAACATTTAATATGGGACACTGTGATAACTGCAATAACAATGTGAACCCAGGATTTTCAAAACAGACTGGCTGGTCGTTACAAGGCTGTGGAAGACAGAATGGAACCAGGAACTGCCCATGGCTGAGGACCCATTTCCCTCCAATGGCTGGTTCTAGGGCTTGTACCTGACAAGCTCCGCGATGGTGTCATCAACCTGTGTGCATCTTAAATGAACCGTGGCCGTGGGCAATTCGGGAAAGAAATGGAAAGAATCTCGGTGTCTCTCAGGATCTGGCGCGCCATTTAATGTTGAGCGAATTTCAATCTGCAGAGAGGTAACCTCCTGGCAAATTCAAAAAAAAACTGGGTGACACCCAGCACACGCAAGCATTGATCTGGCAAGTGCCTGAGGGACTGTTCATGTTTCTTCTTGTTCTAATTGTTCTTCTTGTGTTTGTTCATGTTTGTTCTTCCTGGTCTCCGTGTTCTTCCCTCGTTCTTTCGCTGTCCTTTGTCTTGTTGTTAGTGTTGTTCTTGTTGCTCCTCTCCTTCCTCGTCCTCTTCTTCTTCTTTTTCTTCTTGTTCCTTTTCTTCTTTTTTTTCTTCTTTTTCTTCTTCTTTTTTTCTTTTTTTCTTCCTCCTCTTCTTCTTCTTCTTCTTTTTCTTTTTTTCTTCTTCCTCTTCTTCTTCTTCGTTTTCTTATTCTTCTTCGTCTTCTTCTTCGTCGTCTTCTTCTTGCTGTGATTGGTGGTGGTGCTGTCATGTTGCTGCTGTTGTTGCTCACTTGGTTCTCTTTACATTGGTAGGCAAACGTGAAACAATCTTTGCGTATCTTTTGCATCATATCTATATAGAATCTACACTTTGCAAAGCAGGACAGGGGCAAAGGCCTCTTGCAATGCCTTGAAATCCTCCTCGAGGCCTCAAAGTTTTCTGGCAAAGATTCACGGGGAAATGGCAGGTGATGGCAGGTGTCATGTGTTCGCAACTGCTCCCATTTTGGAGTCCAGTCCCCAAAGGCCCAAGAGCCCTGCGAGAAGTTCGACTTCCAAGCCTTGGGGTGTTGCATGGTGTTGCGACCAGGAGGGAGATGGAGGGAGCCAAGCCCATCAACAAGTTAGGAAAACAGGAAAACATGCGAAAACACCATTGGGAAATAATATCGCTGCCAATTTTGGCAAAATATACCAAGACTTATAAAAGACCCAGGCCACTCAAAACCTATGCCATTTAGTCATGGAATGCAAGATGCCACTGGGTATCCAAGCTTGATGTTTAAATCACTGATGCTGTTGGACATTTCCCTGAAGGTGGCCTGAGAAGCCAGTGGACATCATGCAGCCGATGCATGCCGATGCCATATGATTTTCCCATAATAATCAAAGGTCAGCCGCTCACCTCAGAGTAGCACGTGTTTTCTCCCTATCAAAACCAGCTATATTATATTATATGCATATTTTTCAATAATATATATATGTATGTATGTTGTATGTATAAGTATATATGTATGTGTAAGTATATATATATAATTTTATATGCGTGTGTGTATATATTACAGGCCTGCAACCCCACCCCCCCCGTCATGGTCATGGTTCCCCGCCCCCCCTGTGGGAATGGGGGGGTCTCTCCCCTCCCGGGAATGGGGGGGGGTCTCTTGTTTGTATGTATGTATGCATGCATGCATGCATGCATGTATGCATGCAAGTAAGTGTGTATATATGTAAGTACGTAAGTACGTAAAGTAAAATAAAGTAAAGTAAAATTAAGTGGAGTTAAGTATGTATGTATGTATGTATGTACGTATGCATGCATGCATGCATGTATGTATGTATGTAGGTAGGTAGGTAGGTAAGTAGGTAGGTAGGTAGGTATGTATGTGTGTATGTATGTAAGTATGTCTGTCCGTACGTCTGTCTGTCTGTCTGTCTGTCTGTCTGTCTGTCTGTCTGTCTGTATGTATGTATGTATGTATGTATGTATGTATATAGGTATGTGTGTATGTAAGTAGGTAGGTAGGTAGGCAGGCAGGCAGGTAGGTAGGTAGGCATGTATGTAACATATGTAGGTATGTGGGTAGGTAGGTAGGTATGCATGTAGGTATGCATGTAGGTCTGTAGGTCTGTAGGCATGTACGTATGTAGGTATATGTATGTATATGTATGTATATGTAAATGTATGTGTATGTATGTGTATGTATGTGTGTGTATGTGTGTGTGTATGTGTGTGCATGTACGTACGTACGTACGTATGTATGCAAGTAGGTTTTCAGGTAGGTAGGTATGCATATGGGTAGCTAATCCCTGTACGAGTTCACCGGGTCAGGTTGGGGCCTGTGATTTTCTAGTAGAAAATGTAATTTGTATAAATTAGGGACCCAAGAGAATCTAGCAACAGACATCAAACCAATTTGAGGTATCCTGGAAAAATGGCAACGTACAAGAAGTGCATGTTCGCAGCTATGTTTTCAGACGCACCCAAATACATCCAAATATCATATTGTTGGTTGTAATGACCTGCCAGTGCCTCTCTAGAAAATCAAGGACCACTAGAAAATCTATGCACGTACTCCCAGAAATGCTAAAATTATGTTTCTGGATTTTGGGCACCTGAACTACCCAGAAAATCAGGATCTTACAACTCAGAGGTCTCTGAGGTCTCCAAAACTTGTTCTGTAGAAAATTGGGGGAACTTCGAAAGCATCATTTCAGCAAATTCGAGCTTTTAGAAAATCAACCCTCCTTAGGGGGGTTAACCCCCCCTGAAATCCTAGAGGAAACTCATACCGGTATGGTAGCTAGGCTATGTATGTATATGGGTAGGTATGTATGTACGTATGTACGTATGTACGTATGTAGGTATGTAGGTGTGTAGGTATGTATGTATGTATGTATGTATGTAGGTAGGTAGGTAGGTAGGTAGGTATGTATGTATGTATGTAGGTAGGTAGGTAGGTATGTAGGTAGGTATGTATGTATGTATGAATGTAGGTATGTAGGTATGTAGGTGTGTAGGTGTGTAAGTATGTATGTATGTGCTTGCACAGATGTTGGATGCTAGTTGAAGTACCTCCCTCGTACTTGCGCAGACCCTTGCTGCTACGTGATAGGATCCTTTCTGGCACATGCGCAGACAGCTAGCACGACCTTCTTTTGTACACGCACAGACAGTTGATGCAACGCTATAAGATGCTATAAGGAGTTATAAATAGTTATAAGATCTTCTCTCCTACTTCCGTAGACGCTTGATGTTACGTTACAAGATCTTCTCTTGCACTTGCACAGACACTTGGTGCTACATTAATAGACCTTCTCTTGTTCTTGCACAGACACTTGAGGTTATATATAAGATCTTCTCTTGTACTCGCACACTTGCACAGACGCTTGGGCTTGGTGCTACGTTAAAAGATCTTCCCTCGTACTTGCACAGACACTTGATGCTGCGTTACAGGGTGTTGGGCTACCGGGGAGGGGGGACCGCAGACCGGGACCATATATATCAGCTATATCTCATCTATGCCGTGATTTTCTGGCAGCTGACCTTTTGATCTCTGTCCAGGATGTCATGGGACCCTGAAACCTGATCAACTTTGTGCCTCGGCCAAGACATTTGGTCTGTCAAAGATCTACAGTCATCCACTGAGTCATCCACTGAGTCATCCACTGAGTCATCCACAGTCTCTCAGAATGAACAGGCTGACTGGGTGCCGACAAGTAAGCCCATCGCGCCAGACCTCGAATGCGATCCTCTTGCTGAGTTTGAGTCTCAGATAGCCTCGAAAACCGAAACATGCATGCGCAAGCAGATAGCTCTTCGTAGTGAATGGAGTTCAATCATGCATCTAATTTGCAGTGGCTGATCAACTTTTTACTACGTGCATGTCTACATGCCGTAATTGTACATGACACCACAAGTTTGAATGTCTACATAATATTACAACTGCTGGATGGGAGTTTTACTGTCCACTCTTTCCATGACTTTCCCATCCGGAAAAGGTTGGGAAAGGTTGGAAAAGGTTGGAAAAGGTTGGAAAAGGCTGGAAAAGGTTGGAAAAGGTTGGAAAAGGTTGGAAAAGGTGGAAAAGAAAAGGTTGGAAAAGGTTGGAAAAGGTTGGAAAAGGCTGGAAAAGGTTGGAAAAGGTTGGAAAAGGGAAAAGGTTGGAAAAGGCTTTGGAAAAGGCTTGGAAAAGGTTGGAAAAAAAGGTTGGAAAAGGTTGGAAAAGGCTGGAAAAGGCTGGAAAAGGTTGGAAAAGGTTGGAAAAGGTTGGAAAAGGCTGGAAAAGGCTGGAAAAGGTTGGAAAAGGTTGGAAAAGGTTGGAAAAGGTTGGAAAAGGTTGGAAAAGGTTGGAAAAGGTTGGAAAAGGTTGGAAAAGGCTGGAAAAGGTTGGAAAAGGTTGGAAAAGGCTGGAAAAGGGTGGAAAAGGTTGGAAAAGGTTGGAAAAGGTTGGAAAATCTTGGAAAAGGTTGGAAAAGGCTGGAAAAGTTGGAAAAGGTTAGAAAAGGGTGGAAAAGGTTGGAAAAGGTTGGAAAAGGTTGGAAAAGGTTGGAAAAGGTTGGAAAAGGTTGGAAAAGGTTGGAAAAGGCTGGAAAAGGCTGGAAAAGGTTGGAAAAGGTTGGAAAAGGTTGGAAAAGGTTGGAAAAGGTTGGAAAAGGTTGGAAAAGGTTGGAAAAGGTTGGAAAAGGTTGGAAAAGGCTGGAAAAGGTTGGAAAAGGTTGGAAAAGGTTGGAAAAGGTTGGAAAAGGTTGGAAAAGGCTGGAAAAGGCTGGAAAAGGCTGGAAAAGGTTGGAAAAGGTTGGAAAAGGTTGGAAAAGGTTGGAAAAAAGGGAAAAGGTTGGAAAAGGTTGGAAAAGGTTGGAAAAGGTTGGAAAAGGCTGGAAAAGGTTGGAAAAGGTTGGAAAAGGTTGGAAAAGGCTGGAAAAGGCTGGAAAAGGTTGGAAAAGGTTGGAAAAGGTTGGAAAAGGTTGGAAAAGGTTGGAAATAAGCTGCACATGGCTGAAATATGCTGAAATGCTGTGGCAGCTGCTTGGACATCGTCTTCCTCACATCTTCCAGTCCAGACCAGGCCGCTGGCCTCACCACTTGATGGAAAATTTATGAAACTTTAAGGAAACTGTAACCAGTGGATTTGAGGATCGGGGGACCCTATTTTGGACAAACCAACAAAGTAGTGGGGCGGAATGGACCAATCAAGGCTTGGGCAGCATCTCTTCTTTGGACTTCTGGGCGCCCTGCCGCATGTTGCTGAAGAGAGCTGAAAATTGGATGAAATTGGAGGTTTCAACATGCTTCAACCTGGTTCACCGCTGCCTGCGTCGCAGCATCCATCAGATTTTGGTTGATGCTTGCAACAGCCTCAGCATTGCGGGTTTCGGAGTACGGTATGTTGATGTGGCTTGAGGCTCGGCAGGTTGCTTCCTCTGCCAACCTCTGCCATTGTTTAAGGCCCGCGCGTCTTCAATAAAGCTTGTCAAGCCTGACACCAGGACAAAGAGGGCACAAGCATCGGATCCTCAAAAGTCATCAAATGATATCAAATGCGCAAATCATTTGCCCTTCATGTCTGGGTTATTGACGGGAAATGGCCGTGGCTCGCTCGAGGGCTTCTGCCTGTCACTCTGTGAACCCACACTTTTGGAAGATTTCGATAGAGAGGTGGCTCGGCATGGCTCAGCGAAGCAACGAAAAGCAACTTAAAGCAGCATAAAGCAACGATTTTTTGCAATCTGAGCCCTCTGAGCCCTCTGAGCCTCAATCGCTGGGACAGCACCTTGATGGATCTTGAAGCTACTTTGTTCACTACGGTGCAGTGCCCGAGTCCAGTTTAAACTGGTGGTAGTTGATGTCTCATGAAGCCTTTTGCTCAGCAACAGTCTCTTCTCCAAGATCCCAACTTCCCAGACCTAGCTGTGATCATCTGTGATCAAAGGGCAAGCACAAATCTGATGAAGCCAATGTGTCAAGGTGCAACCGCCAGCAATAGAGGCAAAGGAGAGCGGCCAATGGAAATGGAAGTGCAAAGATGAGCCGAGTGTAAAAAGTTGGAAAAGACATGAAAAGACTGCCGGAGGGGAAAAAACAACCAACAAATTTCAAAAAATGTCAAAAGCCTTCAAGAGGGCTTTGCTACTGGATGCCAATCGTATGCAAAATGGTTGCAGTGTGCAACCTCGTCCGCTTTCTACGGCATCTTGTCCAATCTTTTCCTAGCATGTTCTGGATTCTAGGCGCTTGGCCATCGGTTTTCCTGGTGAGGCATCACCTAGCACCAAGAGACAGCTGCAACGAAGACCCGGCAGAAAGCAGATTCATTGAACCTACACAGGCAGAAACGATACAAAGATTTCCAAATATTGAATAGGAATGTTTATGATGATATATGATGCCTTATGATGCTATATGATGTGTATACTACTTTCATATACATACTCCAATGACTCGAACATTGCATCTGCAGGCCTTCCGCATCAGCGCTCCTGAAACACAGAAGTGATCAGATATCAGAAGTGCACAGTTCATCCAGAGCTTCTGGTATCCTTTGTTCAGACAACTTTTTGGCAAGCTTGACCCGCTCCCACGCCCACGAAAACTCTTTGATGTTTGAAGAATTTGTTACTTACTCATTGCAGCGGCCTGCCCATCTCGGGTTCGCCCACGCATGACGTTTCTTTGGACTTCTGGGCGCCCTGCCGCATGTTGCTGAAGAGAGCTGAAAATTGGATGAAATTGGAGGTTTCAACATGCTTCAACCTGGTTCACCGCTGCCTGCGTCGCAGCATCCATCAGATTTTGGTTGATGCTTGCAACAGCCTCAGCATTGCGGGTTTCGGAGTACGGTATGTTGATGTGGCTTGAGGCTCGGCAGGTTGCTTCCTCTGCCAACCTCTGCCATTGTTTAAGGCCCGCGCGTCTTCAATAAAGCTTGTCAAGCCTGACACCAGGACAAAGAGGGCACAAGCATCGGATCCTCAAAAGTCATCAAATGATATCAAATGCGCAAATCATTTGCCCTTCATGTCTGGGTTATTGACGGGAAATGGCCGTGGCTCGCTCGAGGGCTTCTGCCTGTCACTCTGTGAACCCACACTTTTGGAAGATTTCGATAGAGAGGTGGCTCGGCATGGCTCAGCGAAGCAACGAAAAGCAACTTAAAGCAGCATAAAGCAACGATTTTTTGCAATCTGAGCCCTCTGAGCCCTCTGAGCCTCAATGCGCTGGGACAGCACCTTGATGGATCTTGAAGCTACTTTGTTCACTACGGTGCAGTGCCCGAGTCCAGTTTAAACTGGTGGTAGTTGATGTCTCATGAAGCCTTTTGCTCAGCAACAGTCTCTTCTCCAAGATCCCAACTTCCCAGACCTAGCTGTGATCATCTGTGATCAAAGGGCAAGCACAAATCTGATGAAGCCAATGTGTCAAGGTGCAACCGCCAGCAATAGAGGCAAAGGAGAGCGGCCAATGGAAATGGAAGTGCAAAGATGAGCCGAGTGTAAAAAGTTGGAAATGACATGAAAAGACTGCCGGAGGGGGAAAAACAACCAACAAATTTCAAAAAATGTCAAAAGCCTTCAAGAGGGCTTTGCTACTGGATGCCAATCGTATGCAAAATAGTTGCAGTGTGCAACCTCGTCCGCTTTCTACGGCATCTTGTCCAATCTTTTCCTAGCATGTTCTGGATTCTAGGCGCTTGGCCATCGGTTTTCCTGGTGAGGCATCACCTAGCACCAAGAGACAGCTGCAACGAAGACCCGGCAGAAAGCAGATTCATTGAACCTACACAGGCAGAAACGATACAATATTGAATAGGAATATTTTGCCAGTGGGGGGGACCGTGCCAGTAGTCGTGCGCGTTTTTGAAAACACGCATATGTTCCTGGTTCCGCGGGGTGGGGTGTGTTAACGTTCATGTTAACTTGCGTCACATGCACATGCTACGTCACGTCTTGGGTTGGGGGGGTGGGGTGTGTTAACGTTCATGTTAACTTGCGTCACATGCACATGCTACGTCGCGTCTGGGTTTCCCCTTGCTGGCATCATAATTGTAGGATGCGCACAGATGTTGATACAGATGTAAAACAGGAACAAGACCTTGTAACCTGTCGACAATAAGCTTCATGTTGTGATTTGCTTTGCATACAATCAGAGTGCTATTTTTCATAAAATCGGCCATACCATGCAGTCTTGCGACCAGAGTCAACAGCCACGTGAACCCAAAACTGATGCGAAGCATCAGGGTGTGGCAATGGCGTTGGATGAACTCCAAATCAAAAAACCTTTTTGAGGTCACTGGTCGCTCTTTGAAGAAGCGCATGGCGATGTGAGAGGAGGAAAACATCGCGCGCGTTTTCAAGAGCAATTTCCCTGTAATTTACAGGACATTATCAAAAATGCACTTCAAAATCCCAGGGAAATTTAAGCCTATTTTGTGGAATGAATCAATAGTTTCCCTATGGCGAAAACAACATTTTTTTCAAAACGCTCACAACCGCTGGCGCGGTTTTCCCCCCACAGGATGTTTATGATGATATATGATGCCTTATGATGCTATATGATGTGTATACTACTTTCATATACATACTCCAATGACTCGAACATTGCATCTGCAGGCCTTCCGCATCAGCGCTCCTGAAACACAGAAGTGATCAGATATCAGAAGTGCACAGTTCATCCAGAGCTTCTGGTATCCTTTGTTCAGACAACTTTTTGGCAAGCTTGACCCAGCTCCCAGGCCCACGAAAACTCTTTGATGTTTGAAGAATTTGTTACAGCGTGGATCAAAGGACCATTCCTCATTACTCATTGCAGCGGCCTGCCCATCTCGGATTCGCCCACGCATGACGCATCTGTGGCCTCCAAGGATGTCAGACTAATAAATCAAGATGAATCGATATAAGATGATATAAGTCTATCCAATTAATGTCGAGATTCACAAGAAACATGACTATCCTGCCTGCACGGCCACATCGCCAGTGTCGTATGTCATGGCTCCAACATGCTTGACCCAGAGAGCTCTGAAACGTCTTCAACTCGAGTCTATGGACATCCAAGGCCTACTTCGGCTCCTCCAATGATGTGATGCTGTAAGAGCAGTGGGACAAAAGGATGCCTCCCTTGCAGAACTATGGCATTGGAATGCAGTTCAACGATTACACCGTTGTAGAAGCAGCGCCAATTTGCACAGAAAAAAAGAACATATGGAAATTCACTAGTATTAGTATCTTCGCTATTTTCCTTCTCTGCTTGCATTCTTCCTATTTTCCTTCCCTATTTTCTTTGCCTGTTTTCCTTTCCTATGTTGCTTCCCAATTTTCTTCCGACGTTCCTCCCTATGCTTTCTTAATCGTTCTTATCCTTTTTCCTTCCGTGGTTTCTTCCATATGTTCATTCCTTTTCATTCCTTTTCCCATTATTTTCTCCCCTACTTTCTTCCCTATATTATACCTTTCTGATTGTCTCTTCTCTATCTTATTCCCCATGCTGCTTCTCGTTTGCTTCCCTATGTTACTTCCCTACTTTCTTTCCCATGGTCTTCCCTATTTTCTTCCCATGTTTTTTTTCCCTAGTAGCATTTTGGACCTTTGCTGCAGCATCTGATAATCTGGTAGTGTCAACTCTTGCAGAGCAAAACCTGGCCCTCCCCACCAAGAAAGCAGCCAGGCATCGCACATTCTTTTCACCACCAAGGGGGGCTTGCCTGCAATTCCTGAATGAAGAAACCCTGGTCCTCGCTCAAGGATTGCATTGACAGGATTCGGGTTTGGTCTATGGCTTGAAGGCACAGCAATGAAGGAGCTTCGCCGAAGTTTAGCAAGATTCAAGAGACACCTAGCTTGCCTTTGATTTGAGGTTTCACGGAAGGTCGCCGACCCAACAATCTACAACACGACTTCAAAAAGCACCTACCGCCCCAATGTGGCATCCTTCACCGTGCTTGGCATTGAAAATTAAGGCTGTGATACAGCATTCTGCGGCGCAGCGACTGCCTTTGGCATCGCTGAGCGGGTGGCCAAAACTCTGACTTGGACAGGGCCTTTCTTTTGAGAACGAGTTTTGCGAAGCTTGCTCTCGACTGCGGCCTTTCTGATATCCTTAGTGCGATTTCCAACACGCAAACCTGCAGGCAATGAAGTGGCACGTGAAAGCAGGGGTGAGCCAAGATGAGCAGGCAAGGTGAGCGTGAGGGTGAGGATGAGGAGGAGGAGGAGGAGGAGGACGACGACGACGACCACGGCGATCATGACAGCGACGACGACGATGATAAATGGTTGAGAAGGATGGCAACATGCATGTGGATGAACATGTTGATGACAAAGGCTGAAGGTCATGCTGGTAAGAGCGAGGAAGGTGATGACGATGATTTTGGATTGTGGAAGCTGATGACAAGGAAGGTCACAACGAGATTGATATATTATGCTACTTATACAACTAAATCATATCTATTTAGTTAGTTCTATTTATAATCACTTCATCTCACTTCGTTGTTGCACTGTATTGAGGGCTGATGCTGATAGCTCCACCGCATTGTCCAACCTGGAATTCTTGGAACCTTTTCTTCGGCGCCATTTAACGTCTGGGAATATTTCACATCTACAGCAGCTCATAGCGGCTCACACTCGCCAGATCTGATGTTCTTGTTGGGGTTGCTGCGAGGATGCTCTGGATGTTGCTAAAGATACCAAAACTAATGCTGAAAACAGGCAGAGATAACTGCTGATAACTGGCTATTGTATTTTGTTGTGACATATGGCAAAACTCCGCGATGAGTCGATTTGAAAGTAAAGTTGATGCTGCTGAAAGCAAGAATGGCACTGACAAATCATGAGACGATGTAAGGACGAGGAGGAGCTGGGAAGCACGGGCCTTAGCCCAGTTGAAAATAGTGCCCCCCAGGAAAGACATGCGGTGATTTGTTCAGTGAGTGGACGCGTACCTTGCCCCTAGATTTCATGCACCTTCATGCACTATATTATAAGAAATCAGACATTGAACTCAGGTAGCCTAAGCAATCTTTTGTGAAACCCGCACATAGACATAATCTGGTCTTACCCCTGCTACCAGACTGTCTTCCTAGGAAACGCTAAATCGAAACCAGCCGCAAAGCAAAATGCAGGAAAGGATCCGCGATTTGCTTCCTCGGTTCAACATCTGTTGCGTCTATCTTGGGTTGGACTGCCATGCCTTGAATGATTGTATTGATACTGATTGCATGGCATGGTTTCACTCCAAACCAATAAGTCAGGGTTCTGCATGTGATCCAGACTCATTTGCGCGATGACCATATCAACTTTGTGAAGGTCTCCTCGCAGTCTCATCAGACCAGACCTAGGCTCCAGCAACCCACAGCCGCCAATGACACAAGCACCAGTGATCTGTCACAGGTGAGGACTGAGGTCCTGGCACCAGCTCTGACAAAGATACGGTTCCATCAGGTTCCTCAGTCTCATAAGGCTTCATCATCTCAACACAAATTTTGCCAATCTATGGCAGGTCTCGAGCAATCTTGAATGGCATCAATGGCCACCGCTCTGCAAATGCGTACCCCTGTCAAGATCAACTGCTGTAGACCCCTTGTTCCCTTCCAAGGGGCTGTGTTGAAAGCGTCAAAGATTCCTGGTCGTGGCTCCACACTCCTTGGGCAGAGCGGCTAGCATGTTGTCCATAGATAACATGATGCATGGTCTTTTAGCAAACGTGCGCGCACAGAGACGACAAAAAGCGCCTTCATATTCTCTCAAGCGCTTACTTGGAGTGAGATTTGTTGATTTCGGCAAGAGACACATTGAAGAAATTGGGCACACCGTTTGACATGCAGCACCATTTTTGGAGCTGCTGGACGTGACATTTTGGCATTTTGCTATGTCAATCTGCCGGTTTCGGTTTCTCTAGGCTAGAAATGTTGACGGGCAGGCCCCCGTCAGAACATTGCAGAGCTGAATGTAAACAGGACATTTGGAATTATGTGGTTTTTTTCAGAACTCCCATATAAATCCTGGATTCTAGCATCATAGTCAAATGATTTGAAGCTTGTTTGCATATGAAATGATGTATGTGTGTATGATGTAACGATGCTGTTATTGGTAATAAAAGGTTCGGGGTGACCACAGCCCTTTCTGGAAGCATGCCCTTGTAACAGTGGTGGGCCCTTCGCATAGGTTTTCTTCCATTGCCATTGTTCCCTTGTGAAGGGACAGACCTACCCATGTAAATGGACTATATACTGAACTGCAGTCCAATCATGTCTAATCGACGTGTCCTCTGCTTCAAAGGAACAAAAGTATCTATAGAACACTGAGCATTAGGATCAAGGAAGCGACACTGGCGAAACTACATGAACACACACTCCCAAGTGCAAAATTCTTCTCATCCCTGTGACACAATAGGCCCATCTTGCTGGGAAAAAAAACATGTCAAATGATTTTGAAAGAAATCCTTGATCTCATTGGTCAATGTTCCCATCTTGGGGGTGGCCTACATGGCACACATGTTCCAACATAGCGGCACGTCCAGGTCGTTCAGGATTAGTCTGACCTTAATTGAAGGCTGCGCCTGGTTGCGCCTGGTTGCGCCTTTGGGTCAACACTGATCCATTAAATATCAAATATGCAATATGTTTTTCAGATGTTTTCAGAAGTGTGTCATCCAAGTGTTTGTTGAACAAATTATATCAAATTACAACCCGTTCGCGGTTCTGCGATGTTCAGGCCTTTGAATTTGTGAAGTTGCCTCGGTTCTTTCAGTTCTCGTTGCTGGGAAAGGGTCCCAGCATGAGTTGGTTTTTTTTGTGTCGAATTGGGTCGTGTGAAAACCTATCAGTTCAAGGCACCCGCAGCCGAAATGAGTTTATGCCAATTAAATTAATATGTCCAAGCAGCATCCGGCTGTCTAACCAGTTGATTGAACTCCTCCTCGCCTCAATGGCCAACATAGTCAAACCTTCAAAATGCCAATGTCACAACTCGGATCTTCCATCCCGTGTTGCCAAGTTGCTCAAATAGGTCTCGCCACGCCCAAGGGTTTCGAAGGCATTGGTCGTAGTTTCCCTGGTGTTTAGCCCATAGGATGTTTTAAGGGATCATTTTGTACGGTGGGTAGCCGGTGGGCCCGTATAAAATGCACTGGCAAACATATTTTTAGCAAACACAGCTGAAAAACGGCTACGTCCAGTGCATAAAATGACAGCAAAAAATCTGTATAAAATGCTTCAACCAGGTTCATGGCTCCACCCAAGTACGACATTTAAAACAACCAAAAAACACAAACAACCAGCTATCTGTATAAAATGTTTCTATCATTTGAAGCATGCCCTAGAAGATGCATTTTATACTAATTTTAGTGCAGGTCCCAGGGGGGTTCCAGGCGTATAAAGTGCCTAGGTTTTGACATAGAATGTGCATTTTGTACCCCTTAAATGATGAGCATTTTATAAAGGTCTGATCATCAGGGATGCCGAAGAGTTGTTTAAATTGGAGCTACTGGCGGCAAAGGTTTGACAACTCTTAACATCCGTCGTTATGTTGCCGGCACAACTAGAAGGGGTTTCCTCAAAACGTCTCATGTTTAAAAAAATCCGCCCACACCGCTTTGGCGGTGAAGGCGTGCTTATTGGGGGGCAACAGCAACACTAAATGCTCAATGACATTTGTTAATATAGCAGTCGCTATATCAGCTTTAGCTGTTTCGCACCGAGACCAGACCCCAAAAACGGTTTCGCACCGAGACCAGAATACGGTGGTGTTTTCGACATTTTTCGAGGATTTTTGGGTGTCTGAGCGCAAGAGGGTATTGCAACTTTCCGGCAATGGAAAAACGGCCAAAAATGAAAAAAACATTGTACATAGCAAGATTTTGCAGGGTTTTTGGATGCCAGAGCATTGAAAACACTGCAAAAACAAGTGTTTTGGACTGAGTTATAGCAAAAAACGTGTAAATTACCGTATGCTTGACTGGAAACATTACAAAAACACTGTCAAAAGCAATGTTTTGGAAGGATTTATTGCCTTTATGGCAAAAAACGTGTAAATTACCGTCTGTTTGACTGGAAACATTGGAAAAACACTGTCAAAAACAATGTTTTGGAAGGATTTCTTATTGAAACTTCTTAGCTTGAAGAGCCCCCACGGGGGAAAACCACCCTTAGCCCCTCTCACGGACCGAAATAAACCTGCGGTGTGGGCGGCCACCCCACGCGAAGCGGGGTGAATAAACCTATTCGAAGTGTGCGATGTTTTTTTCCGTGTATAGCAACAGATGCCTTTTGCCCACGCGCCTCAGCCCCAAAATTGCTGGCAAAGCCGTCCTGAAGCAGAAACACTTAAAGTTAAAAACAAAAAACAAAAACAGTTTTTTCGAACCTGCCTATTTGCAGGGCCAATCAGCATACGATGTTTCGTGATGTTTCCGCATATTTGGCGTCCTGCTTCTGAGTTTTTGCACTTGTGTGGATACCGTCATGACGAGTTTGGCAAGCTGTTCCGTCATGTAGTTGGTTTCGTAGGCTTTGGCGTATCTCCGTTGAACCTCATTTTCCTTCAAACCGTTCCTTAGCTGACATGACCTTGCAATCCAAGACAATCAAAACACAATGGTTCAGGAACAGTCACTCAAACAACTGCACAGGTCGCATGAGACTGCCCAGTGTCAGAGCTGCCTCAGGGGAAAAAAAAATGTTATTATCAAAGGAAATTTAATAGTTAATCTAAATTCGGTGCCACGAAATTTCGAGAATGTGATCATCACCACATCACAACATCACAGCAACAACACATCACTGCAACAATACATCACCACAACAATACATCACAACAATACATCACAACAATACATCACCACAACAGTACATCACCACAACAGTACATCACCACAACAAAACATCACCACAACAATACATCACTGCAACAATACATCACCACAACAATACATCACAACCGCAACACATCACAACAATACATCACCACAACAATACATCACTGCAACAATACATCACCACCGCAATACATCACAACCGGAATACATCACAACAATACATCACCACAACAATACATCACCACAACAAAACATCACCACAACAATACATCACTGCAACAATACATCGCCACAACAGTACATCACCACAACATACCACAACGATACATCACCACAACAATGCATCACCACAACAATACATCACCACATCATTATTGTGAATTGCAGGGCTGTGATTGTGCAAGGCTATGAATGCAGATCGTAGTGGAATGGCTTCGTCCAGGTGACGCTTTAAAGTTAGGAATCGCACGAAACCTTTTGTCTTCTGGCCAAAAGTGCAGCATGAGCACCAGGTCTGTTTCTTCCTTCCTTGTCTGCATCCGCATGGTCTGGCGAGTCCAAACTCACGTTCAGCAACAATCTTTTGTGATGCACCATGCCCGGCTTGGGCTCTCCACAAGATCGCCAGACTTGTTGGTCCCACTTGTGCGTCTCCGCAGCAGAAGGCTTTCTGGTCAGCAACCCATATGCCGCCTTTGCCATAGCGACGGAACGGATGGTTTGGTGCTTGTCCTTCCGACGGATTGGCAAAAGACCAGTGCGAGAAGTCACATTCACATAAGCAGCATCTTGTCGCCTGCTAGGCTCCTTTGCCGTGGCCTTCCTTTGCTTGCCCGAAGTCATAGCAACTCCCAAGACTTCCACTTGTTCTTTTACTGCTTCTTGCGGTGCAACTGCCCGAAGTTGCTCCATGCCAGCACCATTCTTGCTACCAAGCTGGCTTCGTTCTCTTTGAGCCCTAGTGTGTTGCTCCAAGAGGACCAACATTGATTGATTTCAACCAACTTCTCCGCGGGCTTTGCGAGAAAGCTTCTGTCATCCATGTAAATCGTGTGCGCGGAATCAGTGCCAGTCCAATGTTGCACGTGTTGCAAGCCAGAGCTAACATGAGAGTCACCAGTGCAACCGGTGACAGGCCATCCCCTTGAGGAAATCTTTGGTGCAGAGTGGTATAGGATTGACATATATAATTAGTTTCAATCAGCTGCCAGAAGGTCTTGAGAACAGGTCTGGGGATCACTTTGATTTCACCCGGATACCACTGGTCAGTCCCACAGGCCCCCGCTTTTTTCACCAACGCCGCGACCCCAAAAAGTTCAACTTCATTGGGTCTGTGAAATCCTTGGTGGATTCTTTGCGGGCCCAAACAGTCTCTGAGGAATTGCTTTTTCTCTTCTGAGGTCCCAGGGCTTATGGCCGGTGCTCTTTGCCAGGCTGGCGCCCAGTGTCTTGATCCCCTCAGTAATGTCAGCGTTCGTGTATGTCAGCGTTCGTGTAAAGTCCTTGGTCATCCTTACAAACAACAGGCTGGCATCCACGAGTGGTACGTTTCGCCCAAGAGGTGCGGACTTGTATTGCAGTGTTCATGTGCAATTTCGTCATAAGCGTTCACAAAGAGACTTGAAGGTGCCTTTGTTGGGCCTTCGAAGGGCCAATCCATACCTAGCTTGTCCTCCTGCTGTGACTGTGGCAATTCTTAAGCGACGGTCTTGGGAAACGGGCAAAAATTTACATCGCAAAGCTGGTTGTTCAACTAGTTTACATGCTTTGCGACCTGCAAAGGCAGCACCGAGAATCACAGGTGAGGTTGTTGCGAATTCATCCCCCTGTGCACCTGTACCAGGTGACGTCAGGGCAAGCATTTTGTAAGGGACTCAGGTGTCGAGCTTACAGAATATCATAGTTTCAAATTTATAAAATGGGTGGTGGTGGAGGCTTGGTATGATTCCCCAGGAAACACCGGTGAACCAAAAAACATACCAAAAATCGGTGCCTTACAAAATGCTTGCTCCAAGTTTATCTCCAGGCCCCAAGCCCGGTCATCTTATAAGCTTGTGTCTTATAGACTAATTGGTTTGGAAATATGTCTAACTTGTACCTATCCCACTTCCCCCGGAAACACTGCAATCCTTTTTCCCAGTCCCCGAAGCTTCGGCAGCACCCAATCTTCACGAGGCTTCCTTCCTAATCTACCACAACATAGCTTGACTATGTTTTTTCACAAAGTTTCATCCTACCTTTTCTGGTTGGTCAACTTAGTGGTGTCTTGCCAGTTCTTCACACATCAATGGTGGAACCCAAAAAGTTTCGGAGAAGAAAATTTGGTTCCTAGACATTGTCGAATGTCAATACCCTCCTTTGCACTGCCTGAAAAGAACCCAAAACAGCGTTATAGAATGACTGGCCCCGACGTCATTTTGTAAAGAATGTTGGCTCTTACAAAACGACTCGCCCAACAAAAAACACGCCTTTTACAAAAATGGCAGAGTTCACTGGGCAAAAGTCTTTGCAAAATGCCTCCTTTTGGCCATCTGACATGGAACATGGGTCCAGCCCATCAGTGAAGCTGGACGCAAAGGATGCAAATTCACTATATCCAGCTTCACTGATCGCACGTTGACCTGCAGCAGTATATTGAAAAAGTTGATAAAAGTTGCATGTTTGATGTTTTCGGCAAGGCCAAGCGCAGTTAACCATGTTATCCTTCATCAGCTCATCCAAAGAAGGAGATGCACTTGTGCGATCATCGACATAAAGCACCTGTCTTATGCCTGGGTGTTTGCTCTGAGTGTCTTGCAACGGTGCAAGTAAACATGCATGTAGAGCGATCATAGAAAAAGGATCGCCTTGTAGAAGGCTGCTGTCTACATGCTAAGGGTTCGAATGAATTTGGCCGAGCAGCTGTAAAAACCGTTCTTCCGGACACCACATGGAATCGAGAACTGCAGCGATATTCATGGGCATACCTTGCCGCTTGAATGCATGGATAAGCCAGAGCAGGCTGCGTCCTGTCGAAGGCAAGGCCGTAATCAAGGCTACCAAGGTAGTGGCCGTTTTCAGTAGCATCAAATATATATCATGAAGAGCAATATAGGTACCACGTATCCGCTTTCCTGCATGCATATCATTTGGACACCAAGCATTAACCCAGTCGATAATCCGATAGTCTGTGCATGTGTGCTTCAACCTGGCTGACGCCCAAAGGCGTCAGAAAATGCTGGCAACACTTATTGGAAGGAGACATGCAACATCAAGGCCTGATCACTGGAACAAAAGCCTTTTGGTTTGGGAATGTGTGTCTGGCGAATCTGAACGCATTTCTTCGGACAACAAGCAGCACTTTCCATGAAGACATAGAAATCAGTGAGGGCATGTGTCATTGACACGGAGAAAGAATTAAGTTCCGGACCGCTCCACCCATCCAGGCCGGCAAAACTTGCATTTAGTTTAGGAACATGTGGCATAACATCTGCAGGGGCAAGGTCATTCCACACTTCGGGTGGCGAGTGTGCAGATTGGGTGACTTGATCCCAATCATCTAGCATGTGCTCGAGAGGTGGTTTGGCATGGTACCAACCCCGTTCCCAAAACTCGGTGATGAATTGGAATGCTTCAGTCATATTCTCTGAAGCTTGGCTAGTCCTTACGCAAAAAGTTCAATATGGTATAAGAAGACTTGGTTCAAGCCCACTTCAACATGTTTCTGCCGCCAGTTGTCAATTGAGCGCTTCTGCCTTTCTTGCATGAGCTGTTCTTCTTGCTGAATGAGATTGTTTTTCCACGCCGCACTGAGGGCATCCCAGTACCTGTTAACTCCGCTTTGGTTTTTCGGAAAGACGCTGTCTTACAATTTCCAACTTTTTTCCATGAGGCCAGGTGAATCCAAAGAGACTCATCGAAGTCATTCGGCTTCTGATAGTTACAAGTGCGTTTCAGGAACCCATGGCCGCCATTGGTCACAAAAGGAATACTTGGATGTCGCAAGAGAACTTCAAAGGCTTGTAATCAGCATATTTAACATCGAGTATAGAAACACTTGCTGTAGAAAACCGAAGATTGGTAACAGCATAATCGATGCAACGATTTGCACCCCAACAAGTGGGAGAAAATGCCCATCATGCTGTGGAGCCAGGATTCTCCCGTGAAAAAAATCTGCGGTGGAACTAAATGGGTTGTGGCCAGGTTCGAGATTCCAATCACCGACACAAAGAAAAGACGTGTCAGGAAGTGGAATCAACTTTCCGAGCATCATTTGCAACAACTCATCTAATCTGAGTCAGCATCTGGTCTGATGTAAACATTACAGAAAAGAATACGACCAATCCATACAGCAATAAATTGGCCTGACTCCGTGCATTCTTTAAACGCAATTCTATGCTGTAAGCGCCGGGAAATCAAAAAAGGAACGCCTCCATTTTGCCGTACAGAATTCCATTTGAAAAGAAAATATAACACTTTTTGCGCAACTATTGCGAAAAGCAACAATTTCACTGGGATGCATGCGGATTTCTTGCATGGTAACCACATCTGTATTGGCCGCATCAACATCACCAAGGACTTTGGGATTGGCGTCAATATCACCATGCGACCATGCTGGCAAAAATCAGGAACCCAACCATCCGAAGCACTGGGCAAGCCTCTGCGTGCAAAATCGTCATAGTATGCAATACAGCTTGCTTGGTTGAATTTGAACAATTTGTCGGCATGGTCAAGGTTGACTTTCCAGGCTTGAATTACAAGCTTCTCTACATTGGTGGGACTAGAAGCATTCCGGATACTTTTCCAACGGTCGCAAGGTTAGTGTAGTGGAAATCACTGGCTTACCTGGACAAGGATACTCTCGTGTCACAGCATCTCGCACAGGTGCGCATGCGGGCCGTCGGCCTGAGCTTGCTTGACTTCTTCCTTAGAAGGCCAGGTTGACCAGTCAGAGGTGATACGGTGGTCTTGTGACCAGAGATTGCATCTCTGTCCTTGGCCCTCTGATTGGCTTTGTCAATCATGCTCTGGCTCAGCGATTGCTTCCCACAATCGAAGCGTGGCTGCAATCGAAGCGTGGCTGTGATTGGCGATCTTTTCTGAATTGCTTACAACGAAGTTTGTGAATCATGGCGAGGGCGAGGCCAAAACCGCGTTTACGCTTGTGCACCCGTCCGATAGTGATGTTTCGCTGATGTTTCACGCTGCCATTTACTGCTAAATTCTGGCAATGCTCTGTTCCTCAGGGACTTTTTTGCTGGCAATCAGAATGATGTCTGTCTGAGATCGCATCCATGTGCTTGGTCCACGGGGTTCTTTCGGGTGACGATTGGCCAAGTTCTCGGTGAGCTTGGCTCTGGAATCGGCTTCGAATTTCATCTGGCAGTAAGGGCAGGTCCAAATATTTTCTGCCTCAGCACTGTCTCGCACTTTTCTTTTTGCGCTCTTGCCTATCACTTTCGGCAGAAGTTTGGGCTTTTCCCAGCTGGAAGAGGATTTGGCCTGATGTTTTGGCATCTGACCAGTTGTTTTTTGGCTTTCAAATTTCTGAGAGGCAGCTATATATGCTTTCGGTCTTAAATCTTGCAATTGCAGCTCCAGGTTCAATCCAGCTGTCAGCTTTTGACTGAACATCGCTCGGCGGATGTTCGTCAAATTCTTGCGCAGCTTTCTTCTTCAGGATGGAGCCTGGCTTGCGCCAACTGAAGCATTCTCATGCTTGGAAGATTTCTTTTTCGCCATGAGAAAGTCTGCTTTCTTTTTTTGACAATTACATTTCTGGGTTTCATCCAGCTGCAGGTGGAGGCCGCTTCTTCACCGCAGTTGGGCTTCCCAGAGCCCCTCGGGAATTCACCAGTAGGAGTGGCTTTTTTCCCATGAGTCAGGCGCAGGCGTGCTAGGATCTAACGTGCAGTAGCGGTCGTCTTCGCACAAAAGGATCAGCGGATCTCTCAAGTTTTCTGCCTCGGCTTGAACACGGGCAATCATCTTTCATCTTTCACCATCACGAAGCATTAGCTGCAGTAGGAATTTCACAAGCTTCTGTGATTGCACTGGCAGCAGGGTCAAATGACAACGATTCTCTCCAAGCGGTGTTGGTTTTCAGCCAACTGATGCCTCTTGCTTTGATTGTTGTGGCCATCTGGTCAATGTTCGTCTCGACATGCTCTGTGGTCTTTCCATTCTTTGTGGCCAGGGCGGCCGTTCTTGCTCTGTAGATCTCTAGCGCCACATTCGCCTCCACCATGCAGGTTCCAGATCAAAGTGTTGTTGGGTCCCTTCTGCTCTTTGACTTTGGTCTTTTTGGCCGCAGAAGCTTTGGGAGCAGCATTAATTTGCTTTCGCTGGCGTAGAGGGTTTTGCTCTTTAGTTGCAGCTGGCATCTCTTCATCAGGCACTTCGTTTTGCGTAGGCTGAGGAGTAGCTTCAGCAGGCGTCTGGCCGATTTCCATTTGAGTTGGCGGCACTTCTTGAATTGGAACATGATGCCATTTTGCATAGTTTGTCACCCGCTGTTCGGTATATACAGGTTTTGGCTGCACCATTTGGACATGGCCACTGTGTCATTGCCAACTTTACAAATCCAAGGAGTGTCACGAGGGTGATTGGTCGGAGGTTTGGCTGCAAATGTCAATTTACCTCTTCCAACCATTTCGTGAACGTGGCTGGCTGCCAGTCGTAACGGCAGTAGTAACCCAATTGGTGACATTAGAGTTTCCGTGATTGCTCCACGCCTGCCAAGGTTGGCACCATTGCCCCGGCGGGTGGCCATTGGAAGTTTTTGCTGGGTTGCGAAAGCTAAGACCGCAGTAGTATGTTGGATGTTTGCCTTGATATCCACAAAACTGATTTTCGTGTGCTGTTGCTGCACTGCAGTGGTTCAAGGAACCATCCGTGCCTGCCCGCAAGGTCACTTACTGTGTCTTTATGCTTGCAGGTATTTTTGCACATCCAAGGATCGCATTTTGACCGTCAAAAAGACAATCTCTCGCCATCCGTACGTCTTTCAGCTCAAGCCTTGAAGCATGTGAGCTAAGAATTGCTTGACTGGTTCCTTCCGGACACCTTTCCATTTCTCAGGCTGGTATGCTTAGTAGGCAGTGATGCGAATTGGTATGTGTTCTTCTGCAGCTGGAGCTTCACTTTCATGAATGACAGGCTTTGGTAGGTCTTTAGCAAGTGGCACAAACCAAACACGTAGGGCTCCGTTTGCAGTAGCGAGCCACCTCTGCGTGGAGACTTCACATGGCGACGTCGAGGTTTGATCTGCATTCCGAACCACGATAGCATAAGGACTTTCGAGTTTGTGAGCATTGGAAATGTTCGGAGAACTGGGACATTGTCTTGTCTCACGGGCGCCGATTTTCTGTCTGACTGGAAGTTTTCCCTGTTCGAGCTGTTCAGTCAATATGTGATATATAATTCGCAGAAAGATTCGGCAATTGAGGAAGCTAATTTTGGAAGTCTTTTCAGGACACTTCCTTGTTCTGATCTTTTGGAATATTGGCATTGGTCTTTGCAGGAGGTGTGCCAGAATGACGGTGCAAGCTTCCAGGCATTTTTGACATCACTACTGGCAAGAGCAGCATGTTTCGTGTTTGAAGCAGTGGCATCAAAACGAACATGTCTGGCAGGGATTTGTTCACTGGAGTATATATTGGTTCACCAAATTTGACAATTTTTGCAGTAAACCATTTGTGTTGTTAGTGTTAAGGCAACTGCTGACAATCGTCTGCAGGTCCTCGAAAAGATCAGAGTGATCTTGGGAGGCGACAAGAGTCTGTTTGGCTTTCTTTTTCCGGCTCGCTGTCTGCCATTCATCCTGACGATAACTGGTTTCACGCTGTGGTGCGGAAGAATGATCTCTTTCTTCTGGCAAATCATGTTCGGAACATTTTTGAATAATTCTGGCAATCCTTCACGGAGCATTTTCTCTTTGCGCTTTCTGCTTGTGGCATTTGCACCTCCGGCCATGCCACCATGCAGCTGATGGGCAAGTTTTCCATCTATTTGTGCAAACTTTTTGGAAGATCCCTGACTGGTGGGTCAATACTCTCCGCAAACTTGAAACTGGCAACTTTGTGGCTCAAAACTTTGATCGGAAAAGCACAGCACAAAACTTCTTGAACAGAAAGCCACAACAAAATTTGCACATCTCATATACCCTTGCAGATAAACATCTTTGCTTTTCTCTCAAGCACCAAGCATAGTACCCTCTGCTCACCTTTTTGCGGGCATGATTTGCAGTGTGAGCCTCTTCGCGCTTCCACCAAAGCCCGCATGTACCACGTTCCACAGTGCACGGCGGATGCCAGTGAACTTGAACTCGGGGTAGGCCACGACCACAATGCTTATGATGTCACAGCCCTTAATTACCTTTTTGGTTTTTTTTGAGCCAAATCCAATGTATCTTGAGCCAAGATGGCCGCGGTTGGATGTTCGATGCCATGCGTGAAACTCATTTGGCCCTGCGCTCTCTCGTGGCAGCTATGCCACACCATGGCTAGCTGGGGACCATTTAAACAACTGCACACGTTGCATGAAATTGCCCAGTGTCAGAGTGGCTTCGACAAAAATTGCAGTTATGATGTTGAAGAGACCAAAAAGTACCTTGGATCATCAAGTGGCCTCTGGCCAAAGTTGTCACAAATGACATTTCAAGCGTCATCGAGTTTCAAGCTTTGTTCTGCAAACCTTTGCGAGGAGACGCCCTCCATGCCTCTAGTTAAAGACAGGGTGCTACTACCATAGCTGCTGCATAGAACACGTCGAACTGGATACCAAATCCATCGCTAAAGATCATGGTCAGCGACCTGCCACCTCCACAAGGACGACAGAATTCCGGAACATTCCGGCGCGGTGGTTCTGGAAGTTCAGGTGTGGTTCCGGGGCGGTTTTGGATGGTTTTGGTGAATTTGGTGCAGGTTCCGGCGCGGTTGCGGATGGTTGCGGCAGGGCGGAAAGTTGTAGAAGCACAGGTTTGGGTTCGGGGGTGGTTCCGTATAGTTCTGGTGGCACCGCGGTGTGGTAATGGTTTTCTAAAATCAAATGTGTGCAGGTCAACGTTTGCAAATTGAAACATGAATTATGACGTTGCGCCCGTCGCCAAGTTGAATCCTTGATAGGTGTTCACTGGTTGCCGTCACGCTTTCCTTACCTTTCCTGTTCGAGATACCACTTGGGCTCAACTTCACCTTGGCACATCGAGATAGAAGAGGGAGAAGGAAGAGAGAGAGAGAGAGAAGAGACAGAACACAAAGAAATGAGAGAAAAGAGAGAAGAGACAGAAGAGGGAGGCAGGAGAGAGACAGTAGAGAGAAGAGACGGAAGAGAAAGAAATGAGAGAGAAGAGAGGGAAGAGACAGAAGAGAAAGAAGAGAAAGAAATGCAAGAAGAGAGAAAGAAATGAAAGAGGAGAGAGAGAGAAGAGAGAGACGAGAGAGAAGAGACAGAAGAGACAGAAGAGACAGAAGAGACAGAAGAAAAAGAAGAGACAGACGAGGCAGAAGAGACAGGAGAGAGAGACAGAAGAGAGAGAACAAAAGAGAGAGAGACAAAAGAGAGAGAGAGAGAGACAGGAGTGAGAGACAGGAGAGAGACAGCAGAGAGACGGGAGAGAGACAGGAAAGAGACAGGAGAGAGAAGAGAGAGAAGAGAGAGAGAAGAGACAGAAGAGACAGAAGAGAGAGAAGAGAGAGAGAAGAGACAGAAGAGACAGAAGAGAGAGAAGAGACAGAAGAGACAGAAGAGACAGAAGAGGCAGAAGAGACAGGAGAGAGAGAGACAGAAGAGAAAGAGAGAGAGAGAGACAGGAGAGAGAGAGAGAGAGAGACAGGAGTGAGAGACAGGAGTGAGAGACAGGAGTGAGAGACAGGAGTGAGAGACAGGAGAGAGAGACAGGAGAGAGAGACAGGAGAGAGACTGGAAAGAGACAGGAAAGAGAGAGGAGAGAGAAGAGAGAGAAGAGAAAGAAGAGAGAGAGAAGAGAGAGAAGAGAGAGAAGAGAGAGAGAGAGAGAGCCTTGACCTGTGAAATTCCGGGCCGCCTGGACCTGTGAAATGTTGCATTGCAAGCACAAGCATGTGCCGCCCATTGCCCCACCATTTTTTACTTCCTGCTCCTTCTCTTCTTTCCAGAGGCACGCAAGCTAATTCGGCTAGCTCGGGTCGCAGTGGCACGGTGGTGATCATGTGTTTGCACCGTGCTCATATTCAATCTATATTCTCCAAGTCTGTGACCCGGTGATTGAAACTGTCTGTCATGCTCCTTTTCCCTGCTCTGCCCCGATATGACTCATATGCCGAAGTACTGAATGCATCCAAAAGGACCCCGCCTTTGGACGTGCACTCGCTGATCATGCACCGGAAGATGGAGAACATGCAGCCAAAGACCGTTCCACAAAACTCAACGCCGTACATATAGTGCAGCTTGCCTTAGTCAGACAACAATGAAAAAATATAATTGATGACAATGACGATGACGATGACAATGATGACGATGACGATGACAATGATGACGACGACGACGACGACGACGAAGAAGAAGAAGAAGAAGATGATTTTGATGCCGATGCCAATGCCAATGCCGACGACGACGACGACGACGATGCTGCTGGTGGTGGTGGCGGTGGTGGTGGTGGTGACGGCGACGACAACGACGACGACGATGATGATGCCCATGCCCACCACCATGCCCACCACCATGCCCACCACCACGCCCACCATGCCCACCATGCCCACCATGCCCACCATGCCCACCACCACGCCCACCATGCCCACCATGCCCACCATGCCCACCATGCCCACCATGCCCACCATGCCCACCATGCCCACCATGCCCACCATGCCCACCATGCCCACCATGCCCACCATCGATACCGATTTGGCCGGTACGGCTGGTACTGCTGCTACTGCTGCTGGTGGTGATGATGATAACAAGATAACAAAATGATGGGATATCATACAGCGACAGGAAGCAAGCCAATTCAATCTTTATTTGGATGAGCGGCAGCCCGGCGGAAGGGGCGGCTCCGTCTCTTCATCATCAGCGAGGTTATTGATGTCCCTGTACTTCCAGTTGTAAAAGTCTCCGTAGCCACATCTCTCTGGAGTGGACTCGGAGACTGTTTGGACACCAGCCCGGAAACCAAGAGCGATGACCTCATCGCATCACGTCAATATGCCGGGGGTTATAAGGCTTGGCTCTGGCAGCGGCTGAGGCAGCAGCATAAACAATGAGCCACAAAAAGATCATCACCCAGAAAAGCGATCGAACCTCACAGTCACAGGGCACATATGGCGTATCAGCTTGCAGCTTTGCCACCCTTGCTGAGGACCAGGCACTGATGACAAAGCCTCACACAGGCTCAAATATGAAGCAATGCATCGCACGCAAAGGAGTGCATAAGATTCCGATATGGTTTCTCGATAATTACTCATATTGACACATACTCATCATACTCCGAAGTGATGCAATGATATATCACATAGTCACATGCTCTCGTCCCTGTCTCTCTCTCTCTCTCTCTCATTCTGTGACATGCTTTCTCCGAGTTCAGACTTGTTGTTCAGACCGAATCATGCGCTGATGCGGCTGAAGGGCCCGAGATGAGATTTGCTAACTCCTCGAGCAACGGCATTCGCATCAGTTTCGCCAGGCGAGCCATTCGGGCGAGCCGGAGCCCACGAAGCGCCAGGGCCGCCCGCCTGGAAACACCGTGCAACACGGTGCTTTACTGGTCTCGGGTGCTCATGTTCTTAGATGTCCGACAAATATGTCGGATTGTTTTGGTGTGTTTCAATCCATGAAGTTTGCCATCCTTGTATGTCTACGTGTTCTCTCCATGTTTTGCCGAATTTTGCCAAGATTCGTCTGGGCACCCTCGCTGGCGAACAAGACGCTCAGAATGATTTCAGTCACCGCTACCTGACGTGCAAAGGCGTGCGGTTGCAGAAACCAATCAAACCACGGCCCGTGAAAGGACGCGAAGCCAAGTCGCGAGAGAAAGGCCCACATCGAACAAATTCCAAACGTAGTCACGCCCACAAAAGTACACTGAAGGGGTGATCACCTCAGGAATAAGACGCTATAAGACGCTTTATCTCCAATCGGAAACCCCGATGCACTGTGCACTTCCCAAACTAGCTGCACTAGCAAATGACCAATAAATAGATACAGCGGGCCTCAGGTGGGCAAAGGTTTCATCAGCCCAGACCTCGCATCCTGCTGCTAGGAAACTCCTGCCTCCGTTGATTCTCCTCATGTAAAATGTCTTACAACTCGTGGCAGAACTGTGAAGGTCACCTGTCTAGAAGCTCAATGACCCCTTCCTTCTTGTCACATTCAGTCGTTGTGGGCAAAAAATGTGTCCCATCGTGGCAATTGACTCGTAAGTAGTCAACCTGCATAGGGTAGCTAAAGGCAACCCCAATAGACACATCAGCCAAGGTCATGAAACACCTCGAAATACTTGATGTGGGGTTGTTTCTTTTCCTTCGCTAATTGAAATGATGTATCATGATGCATTCTTGTTGGCATGCCTCCTGCTAAGCAACAGGGCCTCTATGTGCCAAAGAAATTACTTTGCGTCGAGTTATCCCCACCATGACATCTATACGTTTTGTTACTGGCAAATCTTCTGGCATTCCATCTGACATATCCTCTGGAATTTTATCTGGCATATTTTCGGGCATTCTATCTGGCAAATCTTCTGGCATTCTACCTGGCATATCTTCTGGCATATGTTCTGGCAAACATTCTGGCACTCTATCTGGCATATCTTCTGGCATTCTATCTGACATTCTATCTGGCATTCTATCTGGCATTCTATCTGGCATATGTTCTGGCAAACATTCTGGCACTTTATCTGGCATACCTTCTGGCATTCTATCTGACATTCTATCTGGCATACCTTCTGGCATTCTATCTGGCATATCTTCTGGCATTCTATCTGGCAAACATTCTGGCACTTTATCTGGCATATCTTCTGGCATTCTTTCTGACATTCTATCTGGCGTTCTATCTGGCATATCTTCTGGCATTCTGTCTGGCCGTTGAGGTCCAGCGGTGCACACTGAGCTGGGCAGGTCCCAGGTTGAGGTCCAGCGGTGCTCACTAAGCTCGTCCAGCGGTGCTCACTGAGCTCGGAAGGTCCGAGGTTGAGGTCCAGCGGTGCCCAGTGCGCTCACACCCTTGCAGTTGAGGTCCAGCAGTGCCCACTGCGTGCGGAAGTTGGCGAAGAGCTTGGCGAAGAGTTGGCAAGGCGGAAGTGAACATGGGAGTGGATGCAAAGGTGGTGGAGGAGAAGCTGGAGGAGAGGGAGGAGGAGGAGGAGCAGAAGGAGGTGGAGGAGGAGGCGGAGGAGGAGCCGGAGGAGGAGAACAACTGTGATAAAATCTAACAACCCTCACCTGGCAGGTGGGGAAAAAACGTCCTGGGTCCTCAGCGCTTGCTTTCCTGCGCGTGTTCCTGTCCTTTTCCTCTGATGTACTTTGATAGCAACAAACATGTTCCGATTCAAGCCATTCTTTCCCTAGGTTACCGCAACTAGGCACATAGGATTTCACGACCACCTCGGCGACGAAGATCACTGCACAAACGCTGTCCAGAATGATCCACCCTGGCCAGTCTGGATCAGTGTCCAGGGAGATGCCCATGAAAGCAAAGCCTGGGTTTTGACAGAATCGTCGCCATATGTCGCCATCCATTATGAAATTGGCACGTTTCAGGCTTGAAGGAATTTGCTTGCAGGACAAGTAACTGACAATGATAGCCGCCGTGGACAGCGCGGTAACAACTCGCACCCATCGCTGGGAGGTTGAAATTGGTTTCTTGGCCTTTTCATAAGCCATGAGAAGTGCCTGGGAAGTGCCTGTTGCTTTCATCTCATCTCCAAGGAGTTCTTGCTGAACAATGAAAAGGTGCAAAGCCTCGGTTCCATCCCATGCCTGAATGAAATTGAAGTATTAATTGTATTATATCAAACCTCATCCAAAACCAACATTCTCAAATCTGCCAGTCCACGTCCACTTTGTCCAGTCAGGTCAAATCTCTTGGTTGCTCTCACGCGGCCCTTCCATTGGCAATCAAAATCATTAAAAAAACAAGCCCAAGGTCATTTTCAGCAAAACAAACATACAAAGAGGAGGAGTCAGTAGACAAGAGCCCTGTCAAAGGGCCAAAAACCCTGCCAAAGGCCAGTAGAACCCTGGCCAAAGTCCAAGGACAAAGCCGAGGTCCCAACGGCATGCCCTGATGTGAATGTGGGTAAATTTTCCATCTGCATACACTCCTCGGTGGTTCGCTGGGCCATCAAATGCAACCGAAGCATGGGGCGCCCAACCCCCTGGTTTGTGCATCTAGCACGTCATTCTTGCAATCGCTACCTACCCAATGTCCGACAAAATCCCTGATTTATAAGCGTGTGTGTGTATGTATGTATATATATATATATATGTATATATGCGTGTGTTTTTATTTGCTTTTATGTGTTTATAAATATGTATGTATGTGTGCTTTAAAAACGATTTCATGCATTATGTAAATTTCTAAATTTGTACATGTGTATTTAAATGGTTTAAATGCATTTAACTACATGCATATAAGTGTGTCTGTGTATTTGTGTGTATGAATGTATGCATATGTATGTGTGTATGTGTGCATGCGTGCATGAGTGTATATGTATGTATGTCTGTCTGTCTTTCTGTCTGTCTGTCTGTGTCTGTCTGTCTGTCTCTGTCTGTCTGTGTGTCTGTCTGTCTGTCTGTCTGTACGTATGTATGTCTGTCTGTCTGTCTGTCTGCCTGCCTGCAGGTAGGTAGGTAGGTAGGTAGGCAGGTAGGTAGGCAGGCAGGCAGGGAGGCAGGTAGGTAGGTAGGTGTGTATGTATGTGTGTATGCGTGTATGTATGTATGTATGTATGTATGTATGTATGTATGTATGTATGTATGTATGTATGTATGTATGTATGTATGTATGTATGTGTGTCTGCCTGCCTGGCTGCCTGTCTATCTGTCTGTCTGCCTGTATGCATGCATGCATGATGGCTGTATGTCTGTATGTCTGTACGCATGGTTGTGTATGATTATTTATGCTTATGCGTGGTTATGTATGATCATGTATTTTCATGCATGGGCATGTATGGTTGTGTATGACTACGTATGATTATGTATGATCATGAATGGGCAATGATCGTGTACATTTATGTATGATTGTTTGGTTATGTATGATTATGAATGACTACGTATGATTTTGTAATCCCTTCCCCCTATTCCTAAACCCCCACGCAAATAATAAAAACTAGGGTCCATCTCTAATTTTGGAAAATTTCAGATTGGCCAATTTGACTTTTAATTGATCCATTACATTCCATTACATTCCATTACACCACATTACGTTGGATTACATTACATTACACTACACTACATTACATTACATACATAAATAATTATGCATGATCATACGTGAGCATACATGATAACATGTGATTACATATAATCATGCATAATCACATAATGATACATTATTCAACACGATCATACATGATCATAATCCTTTCCCCTTAATACTAAACCCCCCTCCCCAAATAACAAACACTTCAGGTAGTTTTTATAATTAGGGGGTTATTTATTATTAGGGAACCTTATCAATAAATCTAATACCTTAACCGAAGGAAGTTTAGAAGTCAAACTTCCGACAATATGGACAGATGAAAAGCAGAGAAAGATTAGAAGAGAGAAGATCGGAGAAGAGAAAGAGTCAGAAGAAAGAAGATGCAGATGCGCGAAAAGGTAGGAAAGTCGCGAAACACTGTGTTTTTCCAATGATTTGAAGCTCCGGAGGGTCGAAAAGTCAACTTGCTAAAGCGGCGGGTGCGGAGCCAGCTGGCCAGATGAGAGATGAAAAAGTGGACGCCATTGTGGCGCGAAGCACATTTCGAAGTCAAAATGTACAAAACACCTCAGCGTCGGACCACTTTTGGAAGTTGCGATGTCAAAAAAGTGCACGCCGTTGTGGCGCGAAGCACATTTCGAAGTCAACATGTACAAAACACACCATGCTCGGACCACTTTTGGAAGTTGCGATGTCGAAAAAGTGCACGCCGTTATGGCACGAAGCACATTTCGAAGTCAAAATGTACAAAGCACACCATTGTCGGACCACTTTTGGAAGCCCGCTCAATTTGATCTTGTAGTCGCTGGGGCCGAACCCAAATCGCCAACTGGAGTGCCAGGTTGAGCTGTCGAACCTTCACGGTTCCGATAGAAACCTGAAGCCCGGCCCAAAGGAGTTGCCTGAGAAGCCGGCTGGATTGCTGCGATCACCTCCGGAACAGTCAAAGGAGGGATGAGCTCTTCATCACTGGGTGCAGGCCGTGGCATAAGTCCAACACCAAGTCCAAAGCTGCACGGGAACTGGAAGTTCAGTGAAATTTTCATCCAGCAACTCAGGCTCAGTGCTCTCCGGAACTTGGGCAGGCGGTTCCATGGAAATAGCACATCTTTCACTGCCTCCTCCCAAGCGCCAAACGAAATCTGCTCCAAGGAACTGGCCTTCCTCACATGTTCCAAGCCACATTTGGCCAACTGACCCTTGAGGCTAAGAAAGGCATTGGCTCCAACACCACTATCCTTGCCATTCTCTATGGCCACAAGTATTGCAGGCCCAAAATGGCCCAAACCATCGCCGCAAGTCCAACTTTCGGCGACTTGTAGCGCCAGTACCTTTGCCACGGGGACTGCAAAAAATAGCAAAGGTCACCGGGCTGGGGAAGGTCAGACAAAGTAGTGGATCTTGCTCTGGCCAGCTCACCTCTACGCAAACTTCTGGGAAAATGCATGCGCACCATGGCAACTCGTGCCGCTTCACGTAGGGCAACTTGGCGAGGTAGGCTAGGCTTGTTCTCGACGATGAATGTGCCAATCGATTGCCAACTCCAGCAAGAACATCACCTTGGGCCGGCTGCTGACGTCCAGCGACGGCCTGAAGTGGACTGACGCCCTTTTCATTGATGTCTGAATAGCACGCCGCCACAGCTTCTGCGATTCCAAGCCGCATGTCGTCAGCACCTGTCAAACTGCATGTTCTCACCAAGGCGGCTCCAACTATAGCTTTCTGCAATGCCGTTCTGCCAAGGACAGTGCGCACCGATATGGTGCAAAAGGATTGAGCGACTGCTACACCACTCTTCGAACTCATGGCTGATGAACTCCCTCCCCTGGTCTGCTGATCTGGGGGGCACCGAGAAGTGGAACCCAGTGAGTGGTAATGAAGTTGATCATTGCTGCTGAAGACTTGTTGGGCAACAGGACGGCAAGCTGGTATCGGGAAACTTTATCAGTTGCCTGTCCAACAAGGTAAGTCTGCTGAAAAGCATCTTCAACCACCAGGATGTTTACCTGTAGTTGAGCTCCAAAATCATGAACTGCCGGAAAAGTGGCCGGATGTCGGGCCTTGGGAGCTCGTCTTTCGCTGCAGGCATCACACTTCAGATGATTGGCTGCCAAAACGGCTTCTTTTGGCGCACCACAAATTACAAGAGCTGGGGCCAGTCTAGCACCGGAGCGATGCCCAGCGTTCGCGTGCAAACGTTGCACGGCTGCTCAAATTGCTGTAGGAATCTTGGCGTTCTCCACCTCAGACGGCACCTTGGCTTCACCATCACTGCTAAGGGGGTCATCTTCCATCTTTGGCTCCAAGGATGCGTCGGCGGCCAAGGGCTCATGAACTTGCATAAGGGCCGTCTCATGATCAAACTGATCCGTCAGACCTGACACCATAGCTGTCGCAAAGGATTGTGTGTAGCGTCCGGCAGGGCGGGTGACTTTGGCACCGCCCATGACAGCAACATGTTCAGGACGACCTTTGCAACCCATGCCCATGATCCTGGAAATCAACGCCTGGCTGGAGGAAACAGGCTTGGTGGGCTTTCGATGCGTTTGCACCGTTGTTTTTGCAAAAGCCCAAAGCGACACATGTCAACCACCACAGATCTGACCCTCGGGTCCTGCAGAAAACAAATCATAGCATCGAGCTTCCAAGCTGCTGATGACAAAGAATTTTCCATGAGAAAATGACGACCACCAGCTAACTGCAACATTGCTATACTTCAATTGCAAATTCCACCAAATCCAAAGCTTCGTCTCTCAGCCGTTGGATATCAACTTTATCGTTCAGGTTGAGCAGCAAGGAAAGGCAAGGATCACAGCATAGGACTGGTTCTGCTTGATCCAACGAATGGCTTTGGCTCGGGCTGCTGCATCACGGAAGTCCCGTCCTGTGGTAAAAGTCAAACTCTTGGACGCCCGAAGTCCACAACGTTGAGCCTCCGCAGCAATGGGTTCAGTAGCAGTAAACTTCCACAACAAAAGGAGGTTGGGCAGCAGAAAACTCCATGTCCTGAATGCACTTGAAACTGAGCCACAAAAGTTTCATTCATGCCGTCTTGCCTCTTTGTTCCACTGCTCCATCATGACTGAGAAAACCTCACGCCTATCCTTGGACACTGCTTCACGGTCTCGGCAATGGCGATCCCACGCTCCAGGCTTTGGTCTCTTGCTCCAGTTGATGCATAGCTTGAAATCTCTAGGTCTGATCCCTTCTGATCTGGTCCAGCTTTTCGCCTGACAAGTTCTCCAGTCCAGGGGGCCCCAATGACACTCCAGGCGTTCCCGCTCCAACTCCAGATTGTGCTCGCCGTTGATGCGGTATTCCCACTCGGACTGAATCTCCTTTTATTTGTCTGAAAAAACACTTGCATTCTCTCGCCACAGCTCACTGGAGCTCTTCCGTCAGAAGAGGAATTGGAATCGCCTTGGTTGCAGGTGCCTTGCCTTGAGCATGGACGGCGCAGACTTCGAAGCGGCGGCTTCCACCACCAACTGACCAGCTTTGGAACGGGCCACAGCTGCTCCGCCCATCATCAGGGCAACAGCAGGAGTTAACTTCTTTTCAAAGCTTGGCCGTTGCACGAGCCAAAGGAAAAGCCCTTGGACGTGCCACATGGCCCGCTGTTGGGCTTTCAGCAGCATTCTGCGCCATCTTGCGGCACATCGGTTGCTTCGAATTTCGTCGGCGTTCTGCATGGCCAACTTGCAAACTGCTAGATGTTGAGCTTTGAGCCAATGAGCAGAAAAAACACGGGGCCACATTCTCACAATGACGAACATCACGTGCTCCAGGTTGATGTCCAGCGAATCAACTTGCATGCACAGACTGCTCAGTCAAGTGATGCTCATGGTCTGAATGTTTGCATGCACCAACTCTCATCTTATGTCGCTCCCATGACTTACTATCCATAGGAAGCTCAACCACAGCATCCTGACCGACTCTGCGCCACTGGGTCTGAGGAGGCGCACCCCGGGCATCTCGTCGGGCAGGAAGCATGTCCAGCATGAAATGACCTGCAACCATTTGTCGGAGACGCAAAATGCCAGAAGGAAAAAGTGAACAGGTCATGGTTCTGCGTGTGAAGCCCAAAATAGATCCAACTGCCTCAAAAAAAACGACCTGTCAAACATCCCAAAGTTCCAATTGGCACCAAAGAAATCCAAATGCAAATGAGGGCGCTGCCAATGAGTGCAGGAAGACGCCTCCATCACCAGAATCACCAGGGCTGAACACGAAACATTTTGCACTTGCGCTTGCTCAAGGTTCAACGTCTCGCGCCCACAAGAAGTCATGAGGACATCATGCTCAACCGGCATCTCCTTCACATGCAAGTTATATTCATGGCCAATCAACCCACCAGCTTCAGTCACGGCAGCTGAATGTTCGGCCTCAGCAATACGAATTTGCTTTGCTGGTTTCTCCAAAGCAGCAGCAGCACCACCACCACCACCTTTGCGGCCAGCACCAGCTCCAGGACTGGGGCACTGGCTGCCACCTGCCCAGTGGGAATCTGCGAGGATTTCTTGCCACCACCTTTGCCTCCATCTCCCAACTTGCCATATAGCCTCTGTCCCCGCGCACAATTACCAAAGCCTGACGTGCTTCACGCATGGTCACAAGGGCACCCGCAGCAGCTTCAATACCATGTTCAAGGTCTTGCAAAATGCTAGCATCAACACCTTCTTGCTCAGCTTGCTCCGCTTGCAGGACCTCTTCCAACTGCCCAATTCCCTCCACATACTCCTCATCATTCTGCCCCTCCGCAAGCTCAGCCTCATCTCCTTCATCTACAGCTTCAGTCACATTGGCCGGTCGGGCCACGCCTGAACCAGGACGATATGAAGAACTCCTGGAAGACATTGGCGCAGCTGAAGTTCTGTATGAGAATGGGGCCGCAGAAGACGCAGAAGAGAAAGGTCGATTCTGAAACAACCCCTTGATGGCGAGCCTCGGCTGGTCAAACTTGCGCTGCAAGGGATCATTGTCATGCAGATCCCTGAACAAACGAAAATCTCTCTCCCAGTCAGGTTGTAACCCTCACTTCCAGCCTATATGGAATTTTCAACAACTGACATCAAATCAAATCCAATCCAAATTTCTGTTTCAGCCATCAACCCAATTCATTGCCGTGGACAACTACACCTTCAGCACGCAGATCGGTCACCAAGGATCGAAACCTAGTAGCAAATTCAAACACACGCCCATTGCGAGATCTCACAAGGTCTACGTAGAACATCTGACGCAGTTCTCCACGTTTATCCAAAGCGGTCCTACCATTCATCTGCTCCCAGGCGTCCATCAACTTCTCAATGCCAGCCAGACAGTTCGCCGGAGACACTTCTATGTCATCACTAGTCACCACTAGTCTCAGGATCCTTCAGGACTTCAGCAGGACAATGCACCAACTCGTCAGGAGTGAATTCTTCACCACGCTGCCGCGCGATGCCCTCTTGACGGAAGAGGAAACGCGCAGCCAGGTTGTATTTTCCAGTGCTGGATAAGTCTAAGGAACTAATCCACCAAGAAACGTCCCTTTTAAACTTTCTCCATGACTGGCGACTTCCATCGCATTGGGGAACATGACTCCAAGGTCCAAATCCCTTTCCAGAATCATCCGTCATAGCTTGGCTAGTTTCCAAACGATCCAAGAAGAAAGTCTTGCTCAAACAAAATCAAGCTTTCTCAAATTCGACCCTTAAAGGTCCTTGCAGTTGTGGCACAACTCCAACCAGCAGCGCGGTCCAGAATGCCGCGTAGCAAATGAGAAGCACAAAGTCCAGCTGGTGCTTCAGAAAGATCGGAAAAGGCACCAAGTTCGCCAGCTCCGCCTAACCACTGCCAAAGGCTCTCACAATCGGACAACGTCTGGCAAACGTAGTCCTCCGCACAGCGCCTTTTGGATACGTAGCGCAAATGGCTAAAGGCCTAAAGGTAAAGATACCTGGGGACATGGCATGAGCCAACAGATAACGGTGCATACCGTATATCATACTAAGTGGCATCGATGCAAGGACGGCAAATTCACAAGTGCGCGGCGCAACAATTCAATTTTTGTGGGCCTCTCTAGTGCTATCTCGGTCATGCCCACCATGTAAATGCATGCCAACGTGCAAATGTGTGCAAATGGTCACATCGCTTTTTCCCAGCAAGACAACAGGTTCGACATTCTGGCACCCCATGGCACCCCTGCCCTGGATTCTTGGAAACTAGCGTCCACGAAGGAAGACCACGAAATAACAGGCTGTAATGAAACTGATTTGCAAGGTTTCCCTTTGGCCATGGTCTTCTGCGAGATCCTCTTCAACTCAATCACGACCTGACAATCTAAGGGAATAAAATGGAATAAATATCTATTAGAATCTAAATTGTGGAACCTTTGGCAAGATAGGCAAAGCGCAAGCGATCTCTCAAGCATTCTCAAGTAACTGGCGCCTCATCCAGGTCTTCCTTGGCAACGCTGACAGGTCAATTTGCTGATTGATTCAGGCTCATTTATATACAACTGCCTGCTGCCCATCATGGCGAAATTGTGGCAAGGGGCAGGCGCTAGCCGCGACTCAAATTTAGTGGATTGTCTTTTCGAAGACTTTGCATTCAAAACCCCAGCATTGCGCATAGCAAGACCCAAATCCTCAGTGGCAGCAGCAAAATTTGCACAGTGCAGCAGTGCAGAAATGGATCGAAATGGTTTGCGAAAACTGCACTGACATGCACTATCATGCACTGACGATGCAAGGGTCTGCTGGCATTACAACTTTGGCAGCCCCATCTTTCACATCAAATAGTCTTTCCAACCTGCGGCTTGGCCATTAGGGCCGTTGATGGTGAGATTCCGTCTGGAGGTCTGATTTCTGTATGACCATGGAATCTTCAGGACAGAATTATCAGAATGAATGATGAAATCATATGAAATAATATGACATTTTAATATGATTTTTTATCTTTCGACGATCGCCAACCTCTCAACGATTCTGGCCCGTGTGGTTGTGCTGGCACGGCGCATGGTCCTTATTTGGCACTTAATTAACTTTGAATCAGGTTAGCTTTGCACTTTCCAGCTGGCAAACCTGTGCGTTGCAAGCCATTCTGCATACGAGAATCCCAGGCGGGGTCTTCGCCTATCAGTACAAGACTGGCATTCTCAACAACACTCACAATGTCCGGCAAAAGCTGGCCAAAATGGCAATGATGATGAACAGTATTACGTGGTCAGGAAATTCATGCCGCGCAAGGCCTTCTCAACGTGAATTTCGCTCTCGAGAAAACCACCGCAGTCAAGCGTCCACTGCCTTGGAAAAAATGAAAAGATTGCGATCTGAGGCAATCTGATTCATGGTTCTTCCCTCCCTCGGGGTGGGTTACGGACGTGGAACCAGGGCGAACGGCATTTGAGAACTATCAACGCTGATCAGATCATGGTTCCATCTTTGGCCTTCTTTGGTAAATCCATCCATGTAAAGGTCAGAAAGGATAAAAAAGGGTCGACAGGTACTGTAAGGTGACAAACAGTCCGGTGTTCTGGGTCCTTTTAGCATTTCTTGGGGCCTGCTGCCAACACATGCCATGTCTATCTTCCGTGACATCTATCATCCTGGTTCATCTTGAAAGCGAAGCACGAAAGGAGGTACAAGGATTCCTGCACGTCGTTTGTGTATGTGTGTGTTTGATTGTGCGTGCACGCGCGAATGTGTAATATAAAGTTAAGTAAACTGACCTTTCGCTCTTGGGCGAACTGCCCCAAAGACACGAATGCCAATACATCGGTTATGAGCACCGATCTCCCAACACGCCATCGGCTTTTGAGAACATGAGAAAATACAAGAGAGATCAAGTTGAGATCAAGAGAGCCAGCAACTCTTGGGATTTTTGCAGGCCAGCTGCTGTCGCTCGGAATTGAGCTGCATCATTCCGCTAGCAATGTGAATTGCTGAACCAGCGGTTTGGACATCGAATGGGATGCTCTTGTCAAGCATGGACCGCGGCACGTGCAGGAGCCTGGGAGATGAACGTCAAAGTCTTAAGAGTGGCATCGGATGCCAAAAGAAAGTCTCTCTCATTGTATGCAAAAACGGTATAAAACCCAAAATGAAACAAAATGATCCAAAAGCTCCATGTCAAAGAGGAACCCTATCAAACATTGGATTTTAGGGTTATATAATGTTATATAACTTATATTATATAACTATATTTCTAGACATACCCATCTTGCGACCAAGTGACACTTCACCGCCTGTGTTATCCCATGCCTAAGCTCAACGGCTTAGTTTCCCACATCGTAGTCTGTCATGTCTATCCAACTGGTGAACAGGGCAGCCAGCCGTACAAACAAGATGCCGTGGCCCAAGTTTCGTCGCTGCTGATCTGATTAGGTAATTCAGCCTCCTGGGGTCCGTCCTGCACATTGCAACACTCTGTTCGGGAAGTGAGCTGGAGATGTGTAGAGATGTGTAGAGATGTGTAGTGTAGAGCATTGGGCCTGCCGAAGCGCAGCCGCGGTCGGAATATCTCCAGTCATCTCACCGCACTTCACCGTGACCACCATTTGCCCCTTGGCGGTGTCCACTTCGCCTGCGGCAGTGGCTTGCAAACGGCGGTTACAGCCCTTGCAACATCTTGCGACATTGTGCGACTGTATTATTGTCGTATTTCTCTCTCTCTCTCTCACGCTGTAGCGAGAAGATGCGAGAAGCACCGCGAAAAGTTGCAGTCCTGGTAAGGCTGAACCAGGTAACTGAAGAGTGTAGGCAATGGCCCTGACCTGACTTGCAGCTCTTGCAAAGTCAGACCGGCACAAAATGTTCAAGGAGAGGGGTGCTACGAAACATGGGAAATGTCACGCTTGGACAAGGGACTACTTCCACCTGGTCCGATGTTTGACTCAGCCGAACAGGTTCACCTTCCGGATTCGAGGGCTTGAAAGTCTCCTGAACAGGAACTGCTATCCTACCAGCCAACCGTTGCAAAACTTCAGCCACTGAAGTTCAAAATCCAACAGTTCTGGCAGTGTTTGAAGTTCAAAGAACCGAAGTCAAAAATAGTAATCAGATGTAATTAGCAGTTCTGGCAGAGGTTCCAGCGGTTCCAGTGGTTCTGGTGCAAGTCGAGCTCTTGGTCGAGCTCTTGCGGGAGAGCTTGGTCTGGAAGCACTCGCTGGTTCCACCTCTGCCTGCCGGTCAATCACAGGCCAACAACTGACATGCTATGCCGAAACAATTCCAACATATTCAAACAGCATCAAACAGCCACCATCCAAGCACGGGCCCTTACAAGACAAGCATGTTGTAGATTTCAGAAGCAGCCTCACAGCAACGCCCTTGGCCTCGGCCTTGGCATGATGCCCTTCTGGCAAGCACTCTATAGTGACAGTCGGGGGCCCAGGCAACATTTCCAGATTAGCTTCCTGGCAAAGACCATCACCACAAGCAGCTCTTTTAGTAGCAAAAGCAAGAGCAGACAGTCACTGCCAAGAGCAAAACAATCACTGCCTGTCGCAGGGGATGCTCGGTGGAAGGCTCCTTCGCATGTGCCAAGTACTGGTACGAGTGGCCGTCAACCTTACAAATAATTGAATATATCTGAAATGTTTGACTATCTTTAACTGAAAAATGTTTAACTTGAACATCTACCGGATTAGATTACGTATATATATATAGTCTATATAGTGGGTTCAATTCTGCCTCATTGTGTGTCCTCTAGGAATGGTGCGGCCTCATCGCTGGTCTCAAGCTCAGGAAGCTCGCGTTCCTGCGTTCAGCAGACTTTGACACCCAGTGCCCAAAAGGCCAAAAGGGCAGGACTACCATGGACTCCCCTTCCCCCGCACCGAGATTCAACGACCGAGCAAGTCATCTGAGAGTCATCTGTTCCTACCGCTTGCAAGACCTACGGGTACAGCCAAGATGCCTCCCGCTCATGTCCAGCCATGTCCAAGGAGATGATTTGCTCTTGCAATTCTATCTTCTGCTGCTTCAGGAGTTGCACTTCCCGATCCTGAATGGAATAGGGCCGGGGATGCCTTCTTTCATGTGCACCACAGCTGCAGAAAAATACCAGTACAAACTCATATGACTCATCTGCAAACATGGGCAACGAATGGCAACGAATGAGTGTCAGGCAAAAAACGTCCACAAAGCCTGAGCAACGGATTCACTTCAGGCAGGGGGCATGCTCTGCCAGCAGTTCTGTCATCAGCTGCTGAAAGCGTGAGGGTGTTCCCGGTGAAATTGCAGCCAAATCAGCCATGGCTGCCATCAGGTCAAAAGTGGGCATGCGACACGTGGTCATCTGATGTCATCTGTCTCAAGTTTTGATCTTATCTAACCTGATGCCACGTGATTCTCAGGATATGAGCGCATGTGCTGTTTCCAATCGTGCATCTACCAAGGGTGAAACATTTTTGTTGGTAACCTGTTGTCCTTAGCCATTTCCACATAGTCACTTTCGAAAGGTGGCGTGTTCCAAAAAAAAACTGGGCAGGTCATTCTGATGCTTTATTGTTCAATGCTGGCGCAGGTACCGTTACACTAGTGTTGTCAATATATTGAAAGAATGCAGCAATGCAGCAGTGAAGAATTGCCTTGAACGAGGCCGGGCATGAAGAATTCCCGCTTGCATGGTGAGAGAATGACTTGCATCGGAAAGGCTAAAGTGATTCCACTATATAGTAGGTCTATATGCAAGTCCAGCTTTCTTTAAATCTTCCAACATATAGTGAGCCCACCAAATCTCAACAAGGGTGCCACCTTGGCCACATTGCCTGCTTCCATGCATGAGACAAGCAGGACGCCTACGGCCTACAGGTTTGTTGCCCCCCATCAGGCCATGCGTCGGGATATCGTGCGCTGAAAAGCAGCCGAGGAAGCCCTCCGCTCTGCCAAGGAACCCACCATCATATACCATCATCACATCCACCCACCTTTGCGATACAGATCGCGCAGAGCATTCCCCCATGCTGCAAACTCCAATGGCCAAAAATCGGCTCCCCTCCTCATCAAATCAGGATGATTTCCTCAAAGAAACAACAGAAAAGTTTTTGTTTCACCTTGCACGGTTGCAGACTTTATTAGTTTTATCTGGAGCTCAGGGGTCCATTTTTGTCCACCTTCGCTATAAAAATCTGCCAGGTGAAACGGCATTCTCCGAAGCTGCGATTGCCTTCGGCATCGCTATCTTGGATGCTGCTCGGGTGGCCACGACTTTGACCTTCACCGGGCGGTCTGCGCGACTCTTTCTGCGCTGGTTGGTTGCAGTTTTTTTAAGATCCTGACAGGGCAGTCATACAGTTTTAGACAAGTTTCAGATTCAAAAGACTGGTGAAGTATGGTGAGGCATTGTGACGTATGGTGATGTGGCATTCCTACCCAGAAACAGATGGTTTGTAGACATATGGGACATATGAGGACAATCTGCGTGCAAGCTTCAATGCAAATCGACATAGCTAAATGCAGCAAAGCGTCTCCAATCTGTTTCCTCAGTTTGGACATGTTCGAAAGGTGTCGGCCATCTTGCAATTGGCTGGGGTTACAATACCTGGCCTCTGCACAATGTGGAATTTGTGGCCTGGCTCCACTCCAAACCAATAAGTCAGGGTTCTGCATGTGATCCAGACTCATTTGCGCGATGACCATATCAACTTTGTGAAGGTCTCCTGGCAGTCTCATCAGACCAGACCTAGGCTCCAGCAACCCACAGCCGCCAATGACACAAGCACCAGTGATCTGTCACAGGTGAGGACTGAGGCCCTGGCACCAGCTCTGACAAAGATACGGTTCCATCTTGCTCCTTGGCTAAGGTTGTCCAGATCCCTTTTTAAACTGAAGTCCAGTAGGGGTGGCTAGGTGATGCCTGGGGAGCCCCAACATCAGGAGTCTGTACCTGGGGCTACCACTCTTGAGCGACACTAGGAAATTGCCATCAGGTTTGGTGGTTCTAAGCAGACGGAAACTGGAAATGCAAAAACACATTGTTGATAGTTTTTTTTGTATATAGTTTCTTTTGTTTGGTAGCATTTCAATTTTTTTGGGACTTATATATAGATGTTGTTTTTTGCATTAGCGACGCATCAATTTTGCAATGAACCGCCCATTGTGGTTTTTTAAATGTGTTTTATATAATTGAACGTGTTTTTGTTTTTTAGTGAAAACTTACCACCTGTGTAATGGTTCAACAACACTTTTGAAACTGCAGAAAATTGTTTTCCAAAAATCACAATGAACATTTTGAACCTGCAAAAGAAAAGGTTTTCACCACAATAACGAATCTTTTGAACCTGGGCAACCGTAGTTTCAACCACTGCAATGAACCTGTTGGTGCTGCAAACCAATAGTCTTGACCACAACAACTTGGTGCATTGGCCTGATGGACTAGTGATCCGTATGAGATCATGTTTATTTTCAAAATTTCGGAATGCACATGTTCACCATAGGTTTTTCCAAAACAAGTGTTGGATCATTAGCCATGGATATGTTGTACCAGAAAGACACATTGGCTGTTCATATTGCTAGTGCGGGCGAATGATGCAAGATCAGGTTGGGAATGTTGCTTTCTGACTGGATCTGAGAATGGCATGTGATGCCAGCAAATTTTCTGTTATCATGTCAACCAACTAACCAACACATGATCAAAACGATCAGGACCACCAAAGACCCGAAGATGCCTGCTGACGGATGAGTTGTGACCAATATCTGAAATCATTTCACACTACACCAAATACAAATTTAATACAAATACCACAACAAAACAATCATAGGTCAGCAATATTTGTTTTCGATATGACTTCCCACTTAGCCGTTTGACCATATAATCCATGGCTTCCGTATAGGTTCCATGAGTTTGATTCATGTGTGTGATTAGCTGTGTGTATTGTTTAACCATGCATGATCAAATAAATTTTCACGTGCACAGAGACACGAGGGCACACTCATTTACGTCGATATTTTTCAAGGAAAACAAAACTAGATGTAAACATTTAAACATTTATACAAATATAAATATAAATATATTCATTTTTGTATTTACATATATGTATAGATATAGAAACATTCAGAGTAAATGAATATTACTTATATATGTATACACACACACATAAACTCTATACAAACTTATGCCTCTAAATAGACATACATGCACAATACATTTGTATAGACAAAAACGAACAATAGTTTAAAAAAACTTAGAGAGGCAAATAGATGTACATATATATATATACACACACATGTACTGAAAATTAAGTAAATGAATGAACATATTTGTTTTATATGTATACTTATGTACAACTAGACAACATCACCTGGCCCACGCTCATGGCTCCCAAGTCCACTGTGCAGATGGGTGGCACAGTGGCTGATACGTGGCCCTTGCTCTAACTGGTGCTCTGAACAAGCCCCATGTATCATTGAATGATTATGTGTTGTGTTGTGCTTCGCTGTCGTCTGTTCAATAATGCACATTGTGACTGTGACAGCCTGCGTTAGTAAAACGCATTTGATAATAGATGTTCATTCAAACCCCCAGGCTTCCCGACTGTGAACTACCTGAGTATGCGACTGATCTTTCCGGCAAAACAGTTTCCCATCTTGAAGCCAAGACGTTTGGCAATCAGCCCGCTCGCAGCGATAGATCATTTTGCAATGGTCACTTCGAAGCCATGGGTTATATGGCCAAACAGCCAAGGGGGAAGTCACATCGAAAACAAATATTGCTGACATATGATTGTTTTGTTGTGGTTTGGAAGTAAACTTGTATTAAATTTGTATTTGGTGTAGTGTGAAATCATTTTAGATATTGGTCACAGCTCATCCGTCAGCAGACATCTTTGGTCTTTGGTGGTCCGGTGATCGTTTTGATCATGTGTTGGTTAGTTGGTTGACATGATAACAGAAAATTTGCTGGCATCACATGCCATTCTCAGATCCAGTCAGAAAGCAACATTCCTAAGCCTGGGTGTTTCTGCAAGCCGATCTTGCATCGCTTGTCCACAATATTGGGTGTTTCTGCAACATATAACTATAACATAGAAACATGAACAGCCAATGTGTCTTTCTGGTACAACATAGCCATGGCTAATGATCCAAAACACGTTTTTGTTTTAAGAAACCAATGGTGAACAATTGCATTCCGACATTAAGAAAAAGGAAATTGTCTGATATAGATCACTAGTCCATTAGGCCGATGCGCCAAGTTGTTGTGGTTAAAACATGTTAAAACTATGTTTTTGCAGGTTCAAAAAATCATTGTTCTAGTTAAAAACAATCCTGTGCATATTCAAAAGGCTCATTCTTGTGGTGCAAACCTTTTCTTTTGCAGGTTTAAAAGGTTCATGGTTATAATTGAAAGCCACTTTTTGCAGATTAAAAGTGTTGATGAACCATTACACAGTTGGCATGTTATCAATACAAAAAAGAAAACAAATTCATTGTTCAAACCTGGGCGGTTCATAACAAAATTGGTCTGCCACTAATTGCAAAAAAAACATCTACAAACCCCAAAAGTAAAAGTTGAAATGCTACTTTAAAAAAATATACACAAGAAAAGGGAAAAAAAACACTATCAGTATCATCAAGTCAAACTATCAACATGTTTTTCTGTTTCCTGTTTCGGTATGCTTAGAACCAGCAAACCTGATGGCAACATGTAACCTTGTGTGTCCCTAGGGTCGCTCAAAAGTGGCAGCCCAGGTACAAGCTACTGGACCTCACTTTCCCCCTACATTTGGACGAGCTTACTCCTTGGCTATTTGATCTATTATATAAGATCTACAGACTGTCGACCCCTATCAATAGTAGATCTCACAAATGCAACGGGCTTCCACAAATGCATGTGTTTTAAAAAAGTTCCACAGATGGTGTCCGAGGATCTGTGCTGAAAGCTTCGAAGATCCCTGGTCGTGGCTCCACACTCCTTGGGCACCGTTTGTCATTTCCACACTGGAACTCCTCATTCTCATGCATGAGCATTTTCAAGGCAGATTCAAAGAGATTCGGGCTCTCATAGCAGGTGAAGGCCGCACTAATCGTCAGCCCCTTGCCTTCAATGAGTGCTTGTTTCTCCCCTGCACAGTTTGCATAGAAAACTGGTTTTGCACCTGCAATGCCTCACGGCAACTAGAAACGCTAGAATGTCCGCAACAGGGCTGTATGCACAAGCGGTCAACCCAGCAGCAGCCAAGGCATGAGTACAACGGAAGACAAACCCAAGAAAAAACGAAATCCGGACATATCGAAACAAAGCTCGACTGCACTCACCGCTGGCCAACAGCACACATAGATTGACCATCGAGAGATCCACCTGAACCCTTCTGGACCATCTGGCCCCAAGACAAAGAGTTGCATGGCATCATACCGTGAGCTGGCTTGCGTGGAACTTAGAACCTTGACTGTGCCTTCGCAGAGTTAGGTCCAACATGCCAAAGGAACCATCAGAGTAGTAAAGCATTCGACCTGCCACTTCTGAGGAAGTATAAAAAAATGCTCCATAGACGGACGTGGCATTCAGTTCCCTCAGTTTGATCTGGTTGTGCTCCCTTCCCTGTCCTTCCATTGCTTGCCGTCTACATTCATCCACAAAGACCACAAAGAGCAATGCCACTCATACACCAACCAAAGGGATTTACAAGAAAAAACAAGAAAAAATATAAAGAAATCCGTTTCAGACTTGTTCGCGCATGTGGGGCGCAAAAAATGCTGTCTGTTCTGGGATGACCGAAGCATCTCCGCCCAGTGGCACATCCAGGTCATTCAGAATAAGTCTGACCTTTTGGGATAAGCGAAGAATGCATTCAGGATTAGCGTAGCCAAGCTGAGTTGAATGCGTGTCACCTACGGTCTAGATTGTGAACATGCACTGCTAAATTCTCCCAAAATACTCCAAATGTCAGAACATCGTTGAACAGGAGTTTATCGATAATATAATATCTGCTAACCCATGGTAACCGCCTTCAGAGGGCAGTGAGGATGAATACTGGACCCATGTCTGTTGCTCAAGTACATATCCAAGCAGCATCAGGCTGTCTGACCAGCTGATTAAACTCCTCCTCACTCGACAAATTCGGAGCATTCAATATGTTCAAGGTATTTCAAAGTAAAGGTGGCCAAAAACATCAAAAACTTTGATACAGTCTGTGATGTCTGTGACATCCAAGTCGCTCAAGTAGATCTCGCCGTTCTGAAGGGCACCGGGTGAGGAGCTGTTTGAATTGGAGCTACTGACGGTCAGGGCTCAATAACTTGTGTTGCAGCAAAACCAAAGCATCCCTCATCTCAACCCAACCCAATCCCCCTGTCTGCGAACACCTTCAACATTGCTGCAACATCTCAAACGCTGGCATCCTGTTTTGTAGCAACAGTGCCTCAACCCCAAAATCGCTGGCAAAGCAGTCCTGCGCAAAATCCCCACAAAGATGCCCCTGTGCTTTACCAGCGTGAAGATGTGCTAGACAATCTGTAGCTATAAACCATCTGGCATGGCCTGTGCATGCCTGTGCCTATAGAAAACCATTTTCAAAACTACAGAATGCTAAGCAGAGTCCGGAAACAGAGACTATTAAATTCTCCTGTTTGCCTGTACATCCATCAACATGGGAAATCTACAAGTCTCTTTTATAATAGTCAGGCACGGCTTGGCTAGAGTAACCAGCACGATTTCAACATGAACTAAACATCGAAACTCAAGTTCCCCCAGCTGTGCATTCTATAGTGGAAATTTGTTTTGGTTTGTTTCTCGAAACTCCACATTGTGCAAAGTTCCAGTTGCCAAGAGTCCACAAGATGCAAGACGCATCGTTTTTAACATGTTATGTCTGGTGTCCTGCTTCTGAGTTTTTGCACTTGGGTGGATACCGTCATGACGAGCTTGGCAAGCTGTTCTGTCATGTAGTTGGATTCATATGCTTTGGCATATCTCCTTTGAACCTCATTTTCCTTCAAACCGTTCCTTAGCTGGCATGACATTGTCATCCAAGAGCATCAAGCACGATAGCTCGGAACCACTCATTCAAACAACTGCACACGTTGCGTGAAAGTGCCCAGTGTCAGAGTGGCCTCGACAAAAATTGCAGTTATGATATTGAAGAGACCAAAAAGTACCTTGGATTATCAGGCGGCCATAGGTGGCCAAAGTTGTCACAAACGAGATTTCAAGCATCATCGGGTTTCGAATTGTTCTGCAAACCTTTACGCGGAAACGCCTGCCATGTTTGTATTTAAAGACAGGGTGCTACTACCATAGCTGCTGCATAGAACACGTCGAACTGGATACCAAATCCATCGCTAAAGATCATGGTCAGCGACCTGCCACCTCCAGATCTTGGACGACAGAAGTTGGCCCGATGTTTTTCCCCAACAAATACTGCATTTCTCCGTGGTTTCTGTGCCTTTATCGGTTTGACAACGCAATAGCTACCAAACGATAATCCAATTTATCAGCATTGCCCTGGTCTCGCTAACATGTCACCAACACACCAATGCGTTCAAACAATTTGATTGCTGATGAAGATGCACTTCAAGGTCTTCAAGGTTCATACTCCAAACGTTCGTAATTCAAAGACACAAAAAATTGTGATTCATGTTCTGCTCATTGTCCACCTTCTTAGAAACAAATATACATGCGTTTGTGTATAAAATTGTATAAACATATGTGCATATATACGTATTAAATACGTGTATATATATATATAAATATATATATATATATAAATATATATATATATCATATATATATATATATTTTTATTTATTTAATTATTTATGTATGTATGTATGCATGCATGCATGTATGCATGTATGTATGTGTGTGTGAGATTGCATACTCCTGCGGTACAGTGAGAAGATACTGGGAAACGCATTACTAATTGCAAAAAAAATGGCGAACCCCCGATATAGTCTTCAGGCTGGGGTGATGGTTCTGGTTTGCTTCTCCCTACTTTTTGCACATGTTTCCCACCACCCCCACCCCCATTTTCTCTCCTTATGTTCTGTTCTTCCCAAATTGTCTCCAGATGTGTTCTCCTTTTGTTTCTTCTTTATCTCCCAACAATTTCCCGCCACGTGTTGTCTCCCCACTTTCCTTTCCTCACCAAAAACCATTGTTATATTGATGATGATATTGTTGTTGCTGCTGCTGTTGTTGCTGTTGTTCAATGTCAAAATGAATTTGGCGTTCTTGTGGTGCGTCACTGAAACTTGATCAGGAAGGACGGCCAGAAGAATTTCCATTCCTACACGTGTTGACCACGGTCACAAGGTCATTATATAAATATATCATGTTGCTCCTTGTTCGTTGGCACTTGCTTTTTCTTAGCCACTTCGACCCAAGAATCGTGTGGGTAAGAAGTGGCTTCTCAGTCTTGGGAGACATGTCCTTTTTCCCAAAATCAGCTCCACAGCGCTGCTTAAACAATTTGGTCACGCCATCAAGAAGCGCTCTTTTGTTGTTGCTTGCTGATCCACCAGCATCACCCCCCAAGGCGTGAGCAAGTGAACCTTTCAAAACCGGCTTTTGGTTCCTATCCCTTTCACAAAAATGTTGAATAGCTCAAACGGCACAACTGACAGGGAATGCAGGAAAACTGACAAAAACGGCGTACGCATTTGCAAATATGACTGAGCATTGTCTTCATGTTCTTCTGATAGCAGGTTGCAAATCGCCTTTTTCCAACCCATCTGGCTGGACTCACATAGCGTCTGTTCCTTTTCGCACCGCCACCATGGCCCGAGCGAACCAAGCACAGAAGTCCATTGGCGATACCATAGATCTTGCGCGTGGGGTAGGGCCACTACATTGCGCTTGTACGATATTGCAGATCTATCGCCACTGAAGAGGCGCCAGGTCAACACAACCGAAGCAACGCTTGACCACAGGCACTGACCACTCGCACTCAGCCGCCGCTTGAACACACCGCCGCGGCGGTAGCATCGCCAAAAGGAGCAGATGAAGAGACATGATCAGCATTCGCTTCGGCACGACGCAACCTTTAACTGTTTGGGTCATGGGATCCGGGAATGTCAACACCAACCATATCGTAGCTGCTAGGCACCGACCTCCTCACCTCAGGCCTGTGATGACATTGCCATATGACATGTTGCCAGTTACACTTCTCTTTTCGACACCCAGCATTGGGGCACTTAGTGTCGTAGTACTAGTACTAGTAGTAGTCCTCGTCGTCGTCGTCGTCGTCGTCGTAATCGTAGTAGTAGGTACTAGTACTAGTACTAGTACTAGTAGTAGTAGTAGTAGTAGTAGTAATAGTAGTAGTAGCAGTAGTAGTAGTAGTAGCAGTAGTAGTAGTAGTAGTAGCTGTAGTTATGTAGTAGTAGAAGTAGTAGTAGGTAGTAGTAGTCATAGTCGTAGTACTCGTCGTAGTACTCGTCGTAGTACTCGTTACTAGTAGTAGTTGCTAGTAGTAGTTACTAGTAATAGTACTAGTACTACTAGTAGTAGTAGTAGTAGCAATAGTAGTAGTGGTAGTAGTAGGATTAGTAGTAGTAGTAGTAGTAGTAATAATAGTAGTAGTAGTAGCAATAGTAGTAGTGGTAGTACTAGGATTAATAGTAGTAGTAGTAGTAGTAACAGTAGTAGTAGTATGGTGGGGGAGGAAGGGGGAGGAAGAGGAGGAGGAAAAAGGACGGGAAGGAAAAGGGAGGGGGTGGCCCAGCTGGAAGCCAAATTCCCACAGGCACCAAGTCCCGTCATGATTCCGAGGTATTGCGATACCTCATTTTACACCGGAAGGCCGGCTCCAACTCCATGCGCGCCACAAAGCGCACAGACGGCACTCGCAAGTCAGTGAGGCTGTGCCCGTTCACGCTGTTGGGACTAATTTCTTACTTTGAATTCGAACTTTAGAATGTTGAAATAGCTGTCGCCTGCGTAGTACCTAAGAATCCACCCTGACAGTAAAATCTGAATCAAGCGAAAATTAAATGAACGACCTGGTCTACTACCTGAAACAGCCTGATGGGAACAGCTTGTCTAGTTTTGCAGGTACACATCAGGACGTCTCCCAATGCATCACCAGAGAATGTGGGCGTCTTCGTTGGCAGTGATCCCACAGACTCTGTCACTGATTTAATGTTTGGTGATTCTTTCCGCATGACAGCTAGTGGGTTTCACACAGCTTCTCAGTGTGTATTAAATAATTTTGGAAGCTCGCAAAGGGTACCCTCCCCCCCCCGGTGTGGTGTCCCCCTCCCAATGAAAAGTGGGCGCCTTCAATATAAAAACCACCTCAACCCTATGTCTTGTTTGTTTCTCTCCCCTTTTCCTTTCTCTTCTCCGTTTCCTTTTCCTTTCCATCTTTGATGTGAAATTAATTTTATAATTCGGGGTAGTTACCCGGTAGTTCGGAAGATGCCCGAAAATGGAGACTTCTTGCAGCTATTGTGAGCACCCTTGGAATACACCAACCATGAAACGGGAGAAAATAAGGGGAGAACATAATATACAAGGGAAAGAAAGTAAAGAGAAGAGACCATATAAGCAGAACCATCACACCAGCCTAAACATGTAGAATTACTCGGCGTGGCACCCAGAGCCATTTTTCAACATTCACTATCGGCCCATGCATATATTTGTTTTTTATTTATTTACTTCTCTATATTTCAAAACAATATAAATATAAACATAAATATAAACATACATACATATACATATCTCTTGGAGACCCTGGCCAGGCAATACATATGTATTTGCCTAGAAAAGCCTGCGGATGCCTGCAGAACAAGCGCAAAATTTACACAGGCCATCACTGCAAGCTTCCCTGGGATTTTTATAGAAAATTGTGTGGTAGGGCTCATTTGGTTTTCCACGTATCTTGTTCAACATAGAGAGCATCCTTATTTAGCTTCTTGCAGTAGGCTCACAGGGGCAGCGGAGACTTCACAATCCAGTTCCCATGAAAAGATCATTGATGATCATTGGGTACTGAAGAGGGGGGTGACTTGAGAAGGCGAACCAGATTTGGAAAATATAAGCACAACCAGGTGACGCAAGAATCAGCCCGATGGAACCAGAATGTGCAGACAAACATGTTTGCAATACTATGTTATCTCTATATCTATATTTGACGGGTCCGAATCGTGACCTCCTGTGGGTCCTAGGACGTCCTAGGTGTGTATGACATAGAATTATTTGTCGTTCTGTGTGCAATGTGTTACAATGCGTGACAATGTGCGGCAACATGTTGCAGTCGGCAATGTACGGCATGGTCCAGCCAAACCAGGTTTCACAAACACAAGGCAGAATCATCATGAGTTCGCGCATCTAGTGGATTTGCCAAATTGGAATCTATTGGAACAATCAGCTATATAATCAGCTGGAGCAATCAATACAAAGGAGCTCGAAACCCCCGGCCCATTGCCTTTGGACGTGCACTCGCTGATCATGCATCGGAAGATAGAGAACATGCAACCAAAGACGGAGCCGCAAAACTCCACGCCATACATGTAGTGCAGTTTGCCTTGGTTGAATCGCTTTTGCAGCTTGAACCAGCCCTTGAGGTCATCAAGAATCTAAAATAGCTGAAGAAAACGAGAACAATGAGAACATGCATCATGCTTTGGGTGAGCAGCAACCGGGTGGGAGAGGCGGGTCCGTCATGCCCGTCATGCCCGTCATGCCATCATCGTCGCCGTCCAAGTCCGGGAGCTTGAACTCATAATAGTCTCCATAGCCACATCTGTCCGTAGTTGATTGCGAGACTGTTTGGACACCAGCCCGGAAACCAAGAGCAATAACCTCAGGGTATCACACTGGAGGCCGGGCGATAAAAGTTATGCACGCCTGCTGCGACATTCAACAGCATCAGTGCGCGTAGTGTTACAAGGCTTGGCTTTGGCAACGGCTGAGGCAGCAGCATAAACAATGAGCCACAAAAAGATCATCACCCAGAAAGTGATCGAACCTCACAATCACAGGGCACATATGGCGTATTAGCTTGCAGCTTTGCCATCCTTGCTGAGGACCAGGCACTGATGACAAAGCCTCACACGGGCTCAAATATGAAGCAATGCATCGCACGCAAAGGAGTGCGTAAGATTCCGATGTGGTTTGTCGATACTCATATTGACACATACTCATCATACTCTGAAGTGATGCAATGATACATCACAGAGTCACATGCTCTCTCTCTCTCTCTCTTCTGTGTGACATGCTTTCTCCAAGTTCAGACTTGTTGTTCAGACCGGCTCATGCGCCCATGCGCTGATGCGGCTGAAGGGCCCGAGATGAGATTTGCTAACTCCTCGAGCAACGGCATTCGCATCAGTTTCGCCAGGCGAGCCATTCGGGCGAGCCGGAGCCCACGAAGCGCCAGGGCCGCCCGCCTGGAAACACCGTGCAACACGGTGCTGTACCGGTCTCGGGTGCTCATGGATGTTCATAGACGCTCATAGATTCCAAAGATGTGTTGGATTATTTCGGTCCAAGCATGCTTCAATCGGTTTCAAACATGCCTCATGGTTCTCGGTGCTCTTGCCATGTTTTGCCAAAATTTGCCAAGATTCGTTTGGGCACCAGCACTGACAAACAAGACGCTTAGGATGATTTCAGTCACCGCCACCTAACGTAGTCGCAAAAACCAACAAAACTGTTCGGATCGAACCACATCCGCTGTGAAAGAACACAAAGCCAAGTCACGAAAGAGAGGCCCACATCGAACAAGTTCCAGACGCAGTCACGCCCAAAAAAATATTCAGACGGTGTAAGCACCTGACAACTCAGAGGCACGTATTGCATGAACAATGCGTCCCACAGCAGGGATGCGTTTGGCTATCAATGACGCCTTCTCACAAATCACGGGAAATAATGCAAACAGCAGGTTTCAGAAAATTTCAGACATGTTTGGATGTGCTTCTGCGATCTCCTGAGCCTTCCTCAGAGGCATTTGTAATCCTACAAGTGGAATGAGTGTTGAAACTTAATGACATGCTGCATCGTCAATCTTATCCCCAGTAACGGAATCTTGACCAGCAGGACCATGTCTACTCACGATATTGTAGTTGTTTTTGAACATGTTGAAATGCCACACCATCTTGTTAAACCATGACACTGATAGTGTCTTAGCCACGACTCGAAACGTGTCTTGACCACGACTACCATCAATTGTGGTCAAGTACCACTTGCCATGGTTTTCGGTGCTCAGTCAAGGCGCAAAAGATTTCACAACCACCTCCGCAACAAAAATAATCGCACAAATGCCATCCAGAATGATCCACCCTGGCCAATCTGGATCAGTGTCCAGGGAGATGCCCATGAAAGCGAAACCTCGGTTTGAAACTTCAACTGGGGTGTATGGGGAAGTGGGCTTCAGCAGGTCCAGAATGGCGAGAGTGTGGGAAGTGTGGCCTGCCTCAGTCTGGCATGTTGAGGACAAGAAACTGACAATGATGGCTGCTGTAGACAGCGCCGTAACAATGCTGACCCACCGCTGGGAGGTCGAAACAGGTTTCTTGGCTTTTTCATAGGCCATGAGTAGCGCCTGTGAAGTGCCTGTGGCCGGCATCTCATCTCCCAAGAGTTCTCGCTGAACTATGAAAAGGTGCAAAGCCTTAGCTGTGAAATCAATCACTGTGGGACCTCAATCTTCATTGTAAACTACCAGTAGTAACGCACAAGGCGGGGGCGGAAGTTTCAGAAATAGGAAACCTATAGGAGAGGTTGGTTGTTGTGAATCACGGATGGCAGAGCGAAGCCACTGATGGACCGAAAGGTGGTTGAGGTTTCCTCTCTTTCTCTCTCTTTCTCTGACTTAATCTATCTATCTATCTACCTAATCTAATCTAATCTTATCTTATCCTAATCTATCTATCTATCTTATCTAATCTAATCTAATCTAACCTAATCTAATCTAATCTAGTCTAATCTAATCTAATCTAAATCTAATCTAATCTAATCTAATCTAAATCTAATCTATCTATCTAATCTATCTATCTCTCTCTCTCTCTATCTATCTATCTATCTGTCTATCTGCAAGCTTGAAGGCGAAGCTATTCTGCAAGACTTCCTCAGTTTTTGAACTCGACAACATCAAAAACGCAGCAATTCAGCGAGACTTCCTCAATTTTTGCACCTGACAACGTCAAAAACGAAGCAATTCTGCGAGACTTCCTCATTTGTTAAATTGACAACATCAAAAAACGAAGCAATTCTGCGAGACTTCCTTCAAAAAATGAAAAGTTGAGTGCAGAGCTGACGGCCTCATACCAATGCGTTTTGCGATTTTTCCACTCAATGCTGTCTAAAGTACCGCGCATGCCATGAAAAAGTGATGCCAGTCACGCAAAATCATCTAACCAAAACTGAAGATCTGATGCTCCAAAATGCAACCCTTCTCAGGAAATCAGCGCCCGGACCTCCTAACAGCTCTGATGAACATGTCTCTTGTACTGCGCCTGCCGCGGAAAATGCATCTTTGCAGCTCTTCTTCAAATGTCCCACGCCTACCATCGTTTTTGGAAAAGCTACAAAACCCTCACGTTTTGCTCACTTTTGACAAGGTGCACAATCCCTTGCGCCTGCCACGCGAAACGACATCTGAACGTCTAAAAGTGGTCCGAACCCCTTGTGTTTTCAACATTTTGACTTCGAAATGTGCTTCGCGCCACAACCGCGTGCACTTTTACCACATCTCAACTTCCAAAAGTGGTCCGAACATGGTGTGCTTTGTACATTTTGACTTGGAAATGTGCTTCGCGCCGCAACGGCGTGCACTTTTTCAACATCTCAACTTCCAAAAGTGGTCCGAACATGGTGTGCTTTGTACATTTTGACTTCGAAACGTGCTTCGCGCCACAACGGCGTGCACTTTTTCGACATCTCAACTTCCAAAAGTGGTCCGACGCTGGTGTGTTTTGTACATTTTGACTTCGAAATGTGCTTCGCGCCGCAACGGCGTGCACTTTTTCGACATCTGAACCTCCAAAAGTGAACATGATGTGCTTTGATCCCCCATGTATAGCCCGCTAGATGCTTTGCGGCCGACTTTATAGAGAATAGCCTGGTATAAACTGGAATGGCCACATGTCTGGAGTCTATAAAGTGGAAAGCCAACATGTTTTGTCTATAAAGTCAAAATCCAACGTTTGTATAAAGTCGCCTGGCCGCGTAAAAACATAAAACTCGATGCAGGTTTTTGAGGGTACTTGTGAACATGTCCCATGACTATAAAGTGAGATGCCGAACATCCAGATAGTAATACTTGTGCAGAACAGTGGCACTATAATGTGGATTTCCGGCTAAACAACGATCGTTGTAGTAGCGATGATTTTCTTAATCGCGACGATGGCAGCATCGACATGATTGTCTATAAAGTTGAGGGGCCACGTTCAAACCTTGGGGGAATATCATCGATCTCATCGATGGGGAACCCAAAAGACTTCGAATGACTTCGAAACCGAACGAAACCGACAGCCAGACAAATATCTATATCGAAGTCGTTAAAAGAATCTATGGTAAAACAAAATCTATGTTGGACTGGCCACTTTATACCCCCTCCCCCAACAGAGAATGCCTCTAACACACTTTCCTTTGAAAGGGGTCCTTGGGGTGAAAGGGGTCCTGGTTGCGCCGCGCGCGCCAAAATGGCTCCAATTTTGACACCTTTTTGGCGCGCGGCGCGCCCAGGACCCCATTCACCCCGAGGAATTTTTCAAGGGAAATCTTCTTCTCTATACAGTGGCCAGTCCAGGTAAAACCCCTGAAAAAACCGAATCTATGTTGGACTGGCCACTTTATACCCCCTCCCCCAACAGAGAATGCCTCTATAAAGTGGCCAGTCCAGGTAAAACCCCTGAAAAAACACATTTTTACCTGGAATGGCCACTTTATACCCCCTCCCCCAACAGAGAATGCCTCTATAAAGTGGCCCAGTCCAGGTAAAACCCCTGAAAAAACACATTTTTACCTGGAATGGCCACTTTATACCCCCTCCCCCAACAGAGAATGCCTCTATAAAGTGGCCAGTCCAGGTAAAACCCCTGAAAAAACACATCTTTTGGAATGGCCACTTTATACCCCCTCCCCCAACAGAGAATGCCTCTATAAAGTGGCCAGTCCAGGTAAAACCCTGAAAAAACAGAATCTATGTTGGACTGGCCACTTTATACCCCCTCCCCCAACAGAGAATGCCTCTATAAAGTGGCCAGTCCAGGTAAAACCCCTGAAAAAACAGAATCTATGTTGGACTGGCCACTTTATACCCCCTCCCCCCACAGAGAATGCCTCTATAAAGTGGCCAGTCCAGGTAAAACCCCTGAAAAAACAGAATCTATGTTGGACTGGCCACTTTATACCCCAGCCAGTGGGCTCCAGGACTTTGACCCGGAAACGGAAGGGCTGACAACAAGGTAAAGGGGGAAAACTACAACGGAGAGGTACAACGGGAAGGCTACCACAAGAAAATGAGACATGTCACGTTTATATACGTTTATTGTTTTCAATGTGTCATATAGATTGGCGATGATTGGTATATTGAATATGTTGTAGATGTATTTTGGAACATATGTATACCTATGATTCACACATCAATATAAATATATATAAATCATAAACACATGCCAAACCAAAAACTTTTAGCTGAGTATTGTATTCCCAATCTGTTGGCAAATGTCCAGCCGATTCACCATGCGTGACCCAACAAGATTCAAACTATGGATTGTTTACTTTCGAAAATATTTTTTTACTGGTTCTTGCAAACAATTTTATAGAGGATGGGCATGGACCGGCCAGTTTATACAGAGGGTGGGGCTGCCAGAAATGACGTGATCAAGCCACTTTATAGAGCTGAACTTTCTTGCAAACCATTTTATAGAGGATGGGCATGTGGCCGTGGTTTTGGTCCATAGATGTCCATAGATTTTTAGGATGATTTTGGGAGATTGTCGTCATAGATATACGTAGATTCACCCAGTATTTTTTTTCAAAAGTAAACAATCCATAGTTTGAATCTTGTTGGGTCACGCATGGTGAATCGGCTGGACATTTGCCAACAGATTGGGAATACAATACTCAGCTAAAAGTTTTTGGTTTGGCATGTGTTTATGATTTATATATATTTATATTGATGTGTGAATCATAGGTATACATATGTTCCAAAATACATCTACAACATATTCAATATACCAATCATCGCCAATCTATATGACACATTGAAAACAATAAACGTATATAAACGTGACATGTCTCATTTTCTTGTGGTAGCCTTCCCGTTGTACCTCTCCGTTGTAGTTTTCCCCCTTTACCTTGTTGTCAGCCCTTCCGTTTCCGGGTCAAAGTCCTGGAGCCCACTGGCTGGGGTATAAAGTGGCCATTCCAGGTAAAAATGTGTTTTTTCAGGGGTTTTACCTGGACTGGCCACTTTATAGAGGCATTCTCTGTTGGGGGAGGGGGTATAAAGTGGCCAGTCCAACATAGATTCTGTTTTTTCAGGTGTTTTACCTGGGCTGGCCACTTTATAGAGGCATTCTCTGCTGGGGGAGGGGGTATAAAGTGGCCAGTCCAACATAGATTCTGTTTTTTCAGGGGTTTTACCTGGACTGGCCACTTTATAGAGGCATTCTCTGTTTGGGGAGGAGGTATAAAGTGGCCAGTCCAACATAGATTCTGTTTTTTCAGGGGTTTTACCTGGACTGGCCACTTTATAGAGAAGAAGATTTCCCTTGAAAGGGGTCCTCAGGGTGAATGGGGTCCTGGGCAGCTCTATAAAGTGATTTGGGTGATGTATCTCATGACTCTATAAAATGCTCTGCCGCAATTTTCTTTCTATAAAGTGCCCTGGATGCAGCACAAATTCTTCTTCTTAAAGGGCAATTTTCACTCTATAAAGTGCTTTGCCATGTATACAGCCCCAACAGAAAGATATTGGCCCGAAATCATTGGGGAGACATGTTTCTATAAAGTGGATGGTGTGACATATTATGGCCATTCTTTGAAGGGAAGGTCTATAAAATGCATTGCCGCATATATTGAGTCGTTTCCTTGTGGGGAACCAGCCGGGTATAAACTGGAAAGCCAACGTTGCTATAAAGTCATCTTCCAGGTCCAAGGGCATGTTTCTCGCGCAAAACACGGCTTTATCCCCCATTGTCGGTATATAAAGTGGCGACCGGAAACCCACTTTATAAGCGCAAAGGATGTCCACTTTATAGTGAGCTATACATGGGGGATGTGCTTTGTACATTTTGACTTGGAAATGTGCTTCGCGCCGCAACGGCGTGCACTTTTTCAACATCTCAACTTCCAAAAGTGGTCCGAACATGGTGTGCTTTGTACATTTTGACTTAGAAATGTGCTTCGCGCCACAACGGCGTGCACTTTTTCGACATCTCAACTTCCAAAAGTGGTCCGACGCTTGGAAATGTGCTTCGCCCCACAACGGCGTGCACTTTTTCGACATCTCAACTTCCAAAAGTGGTCCGAACCTGGTGTGTTTTGTACATTTTGACATGTGCTTCGCGCCACAACGGCGTGCACTTGTTCATCTCTCATCTGGCCAGATGGCTCCGCACCCGCCGCTTTAGCGAGCCTACTTTTCGACCCTCCGGAGCCACAAATCATTGGAAAAACACAGTGTTTTGCGACTTTCCTACCTTTTCGCGCACCTGGATCTTCTTTCTTCTGAGACTTTCTCTTTTTTGATCTTCTTTCTTCTTCTCTTCTCTTCTCTGACTCTTCCCACCTCTGCTTTTCATGTGTCCATATTGTCGGAAGTTTGACTCCTAAAACTTCCTTCGAACATAATTGCAGGCATTGGCCGCTCCTTCGGCTAACATGGCTGCGTGCCAAGGCAAGGACAGGGCTATGGCGGGGCTGAGGCCATCACGGCATGCCCCGATGAGAACTTTGGCAAGTCTTGCAGCAGCATGCATTCCTTAGCAAACAAATAACCGTCCGAATAAATGGATTTGATGCATCTCGTGTTTTTGTTCCACCGCTCCACCCTTTTCGAAATGATACAAAAATCAACTCAAAAGTAAAATTAGTAAAACAAAGGGCTACTTGGCTACCAGTATAATTCCTGGGTCCTTGTGTCCTTGTGTCACAAAACAAGGTGGTGCAAAAAAAAAAAGTCTAACTAACACCCATCTAGCAAATCTCAACTCACAAGGAGTTTGATATTGGAAACTGTCATCACCGAAACTTCAGACCATCCGCACTCCTTAAAACCACTCAAGTGCTTACATTTGGTCCAAATAAGCCGAACTGGATCGATTCTTTGGGAACGGGATACAAAACATTTAATTTAATCTCCTTGCAGACTGGTGTCTACAAAGGAACTCCAGGAAAGGACAGGCTGCGAATGAACTGCTTTACGTATCTTCTCTATAGCTTTCTGGTGGATCCTCTTCAGCTCAATCATGACCTGCAAGTCAGAACATGCAGGTGCTTTTGGAAGCATGAGGGCGCAGATTTGGCAGCTTCCCCATCTGTCCATACTTCATTGTCATGAGCAGCTGACCTCATCTAGATCTTCCTTAGCAACAGTTGCAGGTGAGACTGCTGATAGCAATAGAACTCGTTGCTGTCTGTCACAACAAGCTTATGGCAAGGGGCTGGTGCCAGTCGCGACTCAAATTTTGCGGATTGTCTCTTTGCGGACCTTGTGTTCAGAAGGGTGGCATTGTGCATTGCCAAGCCCAAGTCCTTGGTGGAGGCCAACTATGTGAACACTTTTCGCGCACGTCCTCTTCCAACATAGAAATGAACAGATATGATTAGATTGTAAGCAAGATTGTAGGCAAGGGTCTGCTGGCATTACAACTTTGGCTGCCCCATCTTTGACATCAAAGAGTTTCTCCAACCTGTTCCATGACAGCATTGATTGATTGAGATCTATCGCTTGGCCATGGTCTGATAACCCTCGTCTGGCCATGAGCAACAAAAGCAGAAAACTACAGAAGTTTCACCCGACAACCCTCTCAGCCTCTCAATGATTCTGGCCCGCGTGGTGATGCTAGTGCGGCGCATCCTCAGCTGTCACTAGCCGCGCACCAATGTTCCCCAATCCACTTTGTTCTTATGGGGCGAACCCTTTTCCATTGCATGTGCTTCTGCATACAAGAATCCCAGCAGGCGTAGTTGCCTGGCGATCAGCTCAGTCCCAATTGTCAACAAAGTGGGAAATGCAACATATGTTCATGCAAGGCATCTTTCATAAAGCCTTCTCGATGTGAATTTCGCTTTCGAGAAAACCACCGCAGTCAAGTATCCATTGCCTCACCAATACAAGGCGGCCAATACGAACACGTCGCCAAATCAGTCATCATTCATCTACAACGGCGTTTCTTGTCATTCATCCCACGTCTTCGTTTAATTGCGGTGCCCTTCTGGCATTAATGTCATGCCCTCCGAAGTCTGCCGACGCTTTGATGGGTTGATCAGTTGGTCATTTCTTCTCCGTCGTATTAATCATTTTTCTGGGTGTGGATGGGTGGGTGGGTGGGTGGGTCTGGGTGGGTGGGTCTGGGTGGGTATGCGTTGGCGTCAGTTTTAAAGAAGATTCATCATTTCCAGATCCATGATGGATCCAACATTTCCGATGAATCCATCATTTCCAGATTTATCCAGTTGGATCGGATCCATCATTTCTATTTGATGATTCCCAGATCCGTCCCCTGATCCCATGATCCGACTGCTCCATCTCCGTCCCGCTGGGTGGGGCGGTGGGTGGGTGGGTCGGTGGTGTGGCGTGGGTGGTGTGGCGGTGGGTGGTGTGGCGGTGGGGGGTGGGTGTGCGGTGGGTGGGTGGGGGCGGTTGGGTGGGGCTGTTGGGGGGTGTTGTTTGGTGGTTTTGGCGTTGGGGGGGGGCGTGGGGGTGGGGTGGGTGTTTTTGGTGAGTACGGGGGTTGGTGGTGGGTGTGGGGGGGGGGGGGTGGTGTTGATGCTGCCAATGTCGCTTGTATTTCCCAATGCATAATTGTCGAGTACAGGCGCTGTGGTTGATGACGGTTTTGCGCTATCATTGTCATTGTCGTCGTTGTTGTTGCTGCTGCTGTCACTGACTTCCGTCTGTCTCTCCTCCCTCTCTCCCTCCCTCCCTCCCTCCCTCGCTCTCTCTCTCTCTCTCTCTCCCTCTCTCACACATTCCTTTTTATTTGTTTTTTTTGGTGAGGTCAGAGGAAGTTAAGGATCATCAGGGGGATCAGGAAAATGACGAAGATGATCATGCGCATGATGACTGTGATGACAAAGATAACAATGATGAAGATGATGACAATGTGATGCTGATGATACGGATGATGCTGGATGATGCTCGATGATGACGGTGATGATGGTGGTGATGATGGTGGTGATGATGGTGGTGACGATGGTGGTGATGATGGTGGTGATGATGGAGGTGATGATGGTGATGATGATGGTGGTGATGATGATGGTGGTGATGATGGTGGTGATGATGGTGGTGATGGTGGTGATGATGGTGGTGATGATGATGATGATGACGATGGCAATGACAATGACAATGACGAAAAGGATGAGAATGAGGATGATGATGATGATGATGGTGATGATGGTGGCGGTGGTGGTGATGATGGTGGTGATGATGGTGGTGATGATGGTGGTGATGATGGTGGTGATGATGGTGGTGACGATGGTGGTGATGATGGTGGTGATGATGGTGGTGATGATGGTGATGATGATGATGATGATGATGGTGGTGATGATGGTGGTGATGATGATGATGATGGTGATGATGGTGGCGGTGGTGGTGGTGATGGTGGTGATGATGGTGGTGATGATGGTGGTGATGGTGGTGGTGATGATGGTGGTGACGATGGTGGTGATGATGGTGGTGATGATGGTGGTGATGATGGTGATGATGATGATGATGATGGTGGTGATGATGGTGATGATGGTGGTGATGATGGTGGTGATGGTGGTGGTGATGATGGTGGTGATGATGGTGATGATGATGATGATGATGATGATGATGAGGAGGAGGAGGGAGGAAAAGGATGATGAGAAGAGGGATGGGAATCAGGATGAGGACGAGAATGGGGATGAGAGAAATGATGAGACGTAGAATGGGGATGAGGATGAGGATGAGACAAAAAGATGAGACTGAGAATGAGGATGAGGAGAGGGAGGAGGAGAGAAATGAGGATGAGATTGGCGATCAAGATGAGGACCATTAGCAAGACCACCAGGAGCGACCATGAGACTGAGTGTCTCTCGTACCTGTTTGCATTTCTGCGGGCCAGCTGCTGGCGCGTGCAATTTAGCTGCATCCTTCCGCTGCCAATGCGAATGGCTGAACCAACGCTTTGGACATCGAAAGGGATGCTCTTGTCAAGCATGGACCGCGGCACGTGCAGGAGCCTGGGAGATGAGAAAGCGTCAACGGCTGTAAGGGGTGCTACTGGGTGCTTTGGATGCCACATGGCATCTTGAGGCCAAGAAGCACCTCACCACCTTCTTCTCCCCATGCCTAAGCTGAACGGTCTATCTTTTTAATTGTCCTTTTGCTAGCTGACGAACTCCGTGAAGACCTTTGGGTTTTCCTTTGGGTTTCTATAATCCCCTCTCCTCTGAAGACCATGCAGTCAAGCGGCCGCAACCCAAGTCACATCATTGCTGATTTGATGAGGCAATGCAGTTTCTGCTGGTACTTCCTGGAAGGATTCAGAAACACGATACTTGGGTGGAAGTGGCATGACTGTGCATGATAACTGCACATGCAACACACGCAAAGCTGTGTTTTTATGATCATAAGGGGTGAGGGATCAAAACAAAAAAATATAAGGCATAAAAAAAAACTGGAACATCTGGTTTTTTTGTGGCCCTTGCAACAGTTTGGAAGCAAGACCGAACATGTCTATAATTTTTTAGCATTTGCAGCACTTTGGAAATGGAACCTCTAGCCCGTGATGACATGGGACCTGGAAACCGTGCGCTTACAAAACATTTTGCGAGCACTTTGTGAACATGTTGGAGCTCGACGCTGCCGTTTTGACAATATTTGGAGCGGTTTGGAGTTCGAACCTCTCATTTCCGATGGTTGGTTTTAAATTTGTTTAGTGTTGGCTCAGGGCTATTGAAGGTTTAGGGATAATTTAGGGTTCGTTTAAGGGTTATTTAGGGTCGGTGTATGGGTTATTTCATGGTTATGTTGGGTTTATTTAGGGTAAAGTTTATTGATGATGGTTTAGAGTTGATTAAGGTTTGGTTTGGTAGTGATTTAAAATTGGTTTAGGCCGGTTTAGGGTCTAATTACTGTTGTTTTAGAAATTATTTAAGGTTAGTTTGGGGTTGGTTTATGGTTTACTTGGTGTTGTTTACAATTCATTTAGAGTTGGTCATGGGTTTCTTTTGGTTGGTTCAAGACTTTCTGTAGGGGTGGTTTAAAGTTTATTAAGGTTTCGTTTAATCCCTATCGGTTTAAGTTTTGTTTTGGACTTGTTGAGGGTCGGTGTTTGGTTTATTTAGGGTTGGCTTGTGGCTTGTTTAAAGTTTAAAGGTTTCCAGGGTTTATTTAGGGTTCGTCGTAAGGTTGGTCTTAGGGTTAGTTTAAGGTTGCTTAGGATGGTTTAGGATTTATGTAGGTGCTGTCAAAATAACAATACGTGTGTATTTTATACCGGTTTAAGATTTAGAGTCGGTCTGTAGTTTGTTTCGGTGTTATTTAGCGTCGTTTTATGGTTTCTTTAGGGTTGATTTAAAAATTATTTGGATTTATGTAGGGTTGGTTCGTGATGTTTTTGGTTTACTTAGGGTTTGCTTAGGATTTATCTAGGGTTGGTTTGTGGTTCTTTTGTTTGTTATTTGAGCTTTATTTAAGGTTGGCTTATGTCTTGATAGATCGGTTTGGGGTTTACTTAGGGTTGGTCTACGGTTAGCTTAGTGCTAATATATTCACACTTCTCTAGGGTTCATTTAAGGGTCGGTTTTGGTTTCGAATACGATTTCTTTAGGGTTGGTTTAGGGCTACAAGTTACCCTCTGGTAATTTAACGTAGCTATGGAAAATCACAATTTTTGATGGGAAAACTCACTATAAATGGCCATTTTCAATAGCTACGTTAAATTACCAGAGGGTATCCGCCGACCCCGGCCTTCGCCAAGGCCGGGGCGGCGCCTGGGACCACCGCAGGTGTGGAACTTGTCCTGTCGGACCACCCTCCAAAACCCTCGAAACCCTCCAAACCCTCCAAACCCTCCAAAACCCTCCAAACCCTCCGGGCGCTCTCCAAAACCGTCCAAACCCTCCAAACACCTTGTCCAGCAGGCACCCCAGGGCCAAGGCCACTTCCCCAACAGGCACCCCAGGGCCAAGGCCACAGCAATGGCTTTCTATGGGCTTTCAAAGCTGCCGTTTGCCCGCCTGCAAACGCTCCAAACTGCCAAAACCTTCCAAATCCTCCAAACCCTCCAAAACCTTCCAAACCCTCCAAACACCGTCCCCAGCAGGCACCCCAGGGCCAAGGCCACTTCCCGAACAGGCACCCCAGGGCCAAGGCCACAGCAATGGCTTTCTATGGGCGTTCAAAGCTGCCGTTTGCCAGCGCGCAAACACTCCAAACGCTCCAAAACTTCCAAACCCTCCAAAACCCTCCAAACCCTCCAAACACCCTCCAAAACTCTCCAAACCCTCGAAACCGTCCAAAACCTTCCAAACCCTCAACCCCCTTCAAAACCCTCCAAACCCTCCAAAACCCTCCAAACCCTCCAAACACCTTCCCCAACAGGCACCCCAGGGCCAAGGCCACTTCTGAATCAGGCACCCCAGGGCCTAGGCCACAGCAATGGCTTTCTATTGGCTTTCAAAGCTGCCGTTTGCCAGCCCGCAAACACTCCAAACCCTCCAAAACCCTCCAAAACCCTCCAAACGCTCCAAAATCGTCCAAACCCTCCAAACACCCTCCAAAACCCTGCAAACCCTCCAAACCCTCCAAAACCTTCCAAACCCTCCAAACCTTCCAAAACCCTCCAAACCTTCCAAACCCTCCAAAACCTTCCAAACCTCCAAACCCTCCAAACCCTCCAAAACCTTCCAAACCCTCAACCCCCTTCAAAACCCTCCAAACCCTCCAAAACCCTCCAAACCCTCCAAACGCCTTCCCCAACAAGCACCCCAGGGCCAAGGCCACTTCTGAATCAGGCACCCCAGGGCCAAGCCACAGCAATGGCTTTCTATTGGCTTTCAAAGCTGCCGCAAACCCTCCAAACCCTCCAAAACCCTCCAAACGCTCCAAAATCCTCCAAACCCTCCAAACACCCTCCAAAACCCTCCAAACCCTCCAAAACCCTCCAAACACCCCCCAAAACCTTCCAAACCCTCCAAACCCTCCAAAACCTTCCAAACCCTCAACCCCCTTCAAAACCCTCCAAACCCTCCAAAACCCTCCAAACCCTCCAAACACCTTCCCCAACAGGCACCCCAGGGCCAAGGCCACTTCTCAATCAGGCACCCCAGGGCCAAGCCACAGCAATTGCTTTCTATTGGCTTTCAAAGCTGCCGTTTGCCAGCCCGCAAACACTCCAAACCCTCCAAAGCCCTCCAAAACCCTCCAAAACCCTCCAAAACCTTCCAAACGCTCCAAAATCCTCCAAACCCTCCAAACACCCTCCAAAACCCTCCAAACCTTCCAAACCCTCCAAAACCTTCCAAACCTCCAAACCCTCCAAACCCTCCAAAACCTTCCAAACCTTCAACCCCCTTCAAAACCCTCCAAACCCTCCAAAACCGTCCAAACCCTCCAAACACCTTCCCCAACAAGCACCCCAGGGCCAAGGTCACTTCTGAATCAGGCACCCCAGGGCCAGGCCACAGCAATGGCTTTCTATTGGCTTTCAAAGCTGCCGTTTGCCAGCCCGCAAACACTCCAAACCCTCCAAAACCCTCCAAACGCTCCAAAATCCTCCCAAAACCCTCCAAACCCTCCAAACCCTCCAAACCCTCCAAAACCCTCCAAACCCTCCAAACACCCTCCAAAACCCTCCAAACCCTCCAAACCCTCCAAAACCTTCCAAACCCTCAACCCTCTTCAAAACCCTCCAAACCCTCCAAAACCCTCCAAACCCTCCAAACACCTTCCCCAACAGGCACCCCAGGGCCAAGGCCACTTCTCAATCAGGCACCCCAGGGCCAAGCCACAGCAATTGCTTTCTATTGGCTTTCAAAGCTGCCGTTTGCCAGCCCGCAAACACTCCAAACCCTCCAAAGCCCTCCAAAACCCTCCAAAACCCTCCAAAACCCTCCAAACGCTCCAAAATCCTCCAAACCCTCCAAACACCCTCCAAAACCCTCCAAACACCTTCCCCAACAGGCACCCCAGGGCCAAGGCCACTTCTGAATCAGGCACCCCAGGGCCAAGGCCACAGCAATGGCTTTCTATTGGCTTTCAAAGCTGCCACTATCTATCTATCCAACAAATCGATCTATCCATCTGTTTATCCAACTGTCTATCTACCTATCTGTCATCTATCTCTCTCTCTCTCTCTCCCTCTCCCTCTCTCTCTGTCCCTCTATCTATCCATCTGTCCAACAATCGATCTATCCACCTGTTTATCTAACTGTCTATCTACCTATCTATCAATCTATCTCTCTCTCTCTCTATTCCTCTCTCTATCCATCGATCTACCTCTCTCTCCCTCTATCTATCTATATATCTATCTATCTATCTATCCATCCATCCATCCATCCATCCATCCATCCATCCATCCATCCATCCATCTCTCCCTCTCCCTCTCTGTCTCTCTCTCTCTCTCTCTCCCCACAGTGCCCCCCAAATAGAGGGGGGTCGGCGGCACCTGGGCGCTAGCCCATTCTATTTAGTGCTCGTTTCTATATATGTATTTTTTGAAACCTTTGGCGTAATTGAGTTCAAGTAAGTTTTATTCAAAATTGTTTTAATGCACCAGAATCACCAAAGACGGAATGCTCAAGGGACCCAGAGGACCGAGGCACCACAGGACCAAGGACCAAAGGACCAAGGGACCAGGGGACCAAGGGACCAGAGGACTAGAGCACCGGGAGATTCGAAAACATACCAGATTTGACAAGGGGCAAAACATTTCACCAGCGCAGGAAATCTGATTTCTTTGGTCCTTTAGGTATGTTTTGTTGATGCCCTAATATGCCTCAATTGAATATTTATTTTTGTTGCCTTAAATAACGTTTTTGAACCCCATGCCGACCACAAGTGGGTTCGCAAATTGCCACTTGATAAAGGCATGTAATTATTACTCAATGTCCTCAGGGTTTGCACATATTTTGCACATGACTATGCCGAATTTAGGTGGGTGGGCAACTGTGGCACCTTGGAACCCTGTCCTGCTGAAGGGCTGCTTTCATAGGAATGTCTCCGCTCATTTCACCACAGTTCACCGTTACAACCAGTTTACCCTCCGCAGGGTCCCAGTCACCTGCGGACAAAGGCCCGTCCAATTGGCGTAAGGGCAATGAAGGAAACTGTTCGGAAATGCTTGAAGACCGTTAGTTATACATGCCATGTGTCCATAGCATCATGTTGATCTCGTATGACCTTGTATGGTACCAATTTGAGATGAAGCTGGTAAAAACACGGGCTGTAAAAAGTTCCAGGCTGTGCCTGGCAAGGTTGAACCAGGCAGCTGAACTGCATAGGCTATGGCCCTGACCTGAATTGTAATGGCATGCCCTGGTGTGTGACATGAAGAAGAACATTGAAAAACAAATTAACTACACCAGCAAGGGGCCCCAAACAGTGTGGGGGGTAGGAAGTCATCGTACCAGATACAAGCAACAGTAGCTATGGAACAGTAACAGTTGAGGTTAGACATGACCGCAACTGCCGCAGCAGGACCTTCTATATAGATCTATATGAATAAGCTCACAAGATCTTCATACAAGAACTTCCTATGAGCAGCCCAGAAGAACTTTCACATAAGCACCGACGCAGAAGATCTTCACGACCTCTTCGGAAGGATTTCAACAGGATCTCCACAAGATCTTCTCACAAGGACCTGTACGAAATCATGTAAGGACACATAAAGGACTTCACCAGGACCTCTTCAAGAGCTTCTCACAAGGACCTGCACAAGATCATGCAAAAGCCCCTGACTGCATTTCACTAGGATCTTCACACGAGCTTCTCACATGGACTCGTACAAGACCTTGACCGACATCTCTATGCCAGTTATGCGAGAATTTGCAGGACAAATGCCGCACCCCAGGTCCGGGAGCAATTTCTTGCGAGAATTCCTCCACAATCGACATGCATGGACACATTCACGTGGGCATTCTCAAGGAAAAGGCCGGGGCCCAAGATCCGGAGAAGCCCGCGCCGCAGACTTTGCGCGGGCCTGCGCAGTCGAAATGCATGTGGATGCATGTGGACATCTTACAAAAGCAATTTTTTGCGAGAATTTATGGGAAAAATGCCAGTGTCCAGAGAGCGTATCCTGATCTAACCCTGGTCGAGACTCTTACCGTAAGAACGCCTCAGTGTGGACACGCTGTTTGGGGAAAAAGCTCAAAGTTGAGAAACAAAGAGTGCTCAAATGTATGCACTGTCGAAGGTTAGCTGTGACGTGGGCCAGAATCCTGCAGCAAATCTGCGGTCAGGAGATATGTGAGGGTCGAAATGCACATGGACATCTCACAAGGGCAACTCTATGCGAAAATTTACACTACAGCAAAGATGCCGTGCAACAGCAAGGCGACAACCACTTTGTGCGAGCCTGCGCAGTCGAAACGCTCAATCAGATCTCACAAGAGCTATTCTATGAGAGAATTTACAGGATAAATGCCGCGCCCCAAGATCTGGAGAACACCGCGCCGCAGACTTTGCCCATGGACATCTCACAAGAGCAATTTCGCGCGAGAATTTGCAGGAAAAACGCCGAGGCCTCAGAGAGCGTACCCTGATCCTTAGCTCTTACCGAATGAACCCCTCAGTGTGGACACACTGTTTGGGAGACCGTCATGTATAGAATTAAGATCTCTTGGGGTATTACGTGGACAGATTTTGTACATAATACAATGTTATAGAATGGGAGTTTTAGCCCAAAAAAATGGTGATCATATGTCTGCTGGCACCCAGTTATGGCCATCAAATAATAGGGAAATTTTTTTAAGCAATGGATGGAATGGGGTCCGCCGTTTTCACACAAACCCACAGTAGCCATGGTCGAAAGTACTCAAGCGTGTCATCAAAATAGTAAGCCCCTATCGTTTTACAGGGTTTCCTGTTTTACCTCTGTTTAATCATAGTTTTGAAGGGTGTCATCCACATTGGATCCTCATCCCACGGTCTTTGCTTGCATGCGTTTGAGCACGCTTCCACTTTCGCCCATGCTTGGTGTTAAGCAGATTCAGCGTGAGTTTCGAAGCTTGTCGTTTGTCTCCCAAGTGGTTCTCATTTTGCGGTCCCTCCAATCAGCAGGTCTTTGGAAATTCGCAAAGAACATGGGTTTCGGCCACTCATAGCTGCTAACTTCAAAATACCATTCAGCCAGCGCGCCGGATTTCATTCCGACACTACGACGTACTACCAACAGCATCCACCACCTTTTTGGTCTGTTTTGTGACCAGCTGGTCACTCAGTTTTTTTGGAAAGGTTTGCGTATCGTTTGGGTATCGTTTTGGGTATCGTTCTGCGCGGGCTCCATCTTTGCAAGTCACGTGGGGGTGCAACTGAACGAATAGCTTGCAGTGCAAAAGAGGCCCGCTCACCCCGACTCAGGCTCTCAAAGGAAAAGGGCCAACAGGTTGACACACCAGGTCCAGGCCAGGCAACTTAAAACGAGATATTACATGGAGTTAGCCACTTCAGCGTGCCTGCGCTGCCGGTTTCCGTAATCTAGCTAGCTACTTGGCGCCGGGTTTGAGCAACCCGCCTACGGCAAAGTCATTTAAAGTCAACCCACCCCATGGGCACACGCATTCATGGTGAAGTGGATCCACCCGTGTAAAGACGACTCCGCGCAAGCAAAACAACATGGCCACACCACAAAACGTACCAATTAAATACTCAGGACCTTTGCGATGGCTTCACACAAGGGCGCACACACGCTCCATACCCCAGTGATTTAACAACAAATGCGCCACTCGCAAGACAAAATGTTTGTGAGTCCCCTATCGTTTTAGAAGGTTTCATGCAAAAAGTATTACCGATGCACACTCCAATACATACTTAACGGAAGCTCAAAGGGAACGATGGATAGGTGAAACATTGGGACACCTTCATTTCGTTAAGCCGCCTGCAAGCCCAAGGAACCGTTTCACCGTTGTCAAATTTGGCCGAGGCACAACCACCAACTGGTCCTCGTGCGAGACTGCTCGGCTCAGCGACACTGATCGGTTCAACTCAACCGATTCTCTAATGGATTCTCGTTCAGGACTTTCCCGAGGACTTTCTCCCTGATTCAGAAAGCTCAATCTTGGTTTTGAATTTTCCTTGGAGGTAAGGAGGAAGGCAGCGGATGAGGAGATGCGGATGCGGCAAGAGATTGGTTGGATCTTAGGAATAAAGTGGCCCAACATGTGGTTGAGATCTGTTAGAGTACTACATAAACATACATAACAAGTTTTCATACCGATGGCCAAATGTCCCTGGGGGTGGCCAAAAGTGAGGATGAGCTATGTTACGCGCGCAATGGGTTGGGATTGGTGATAAAACGCGCCCTTGGCAGTGATTGTGGGGGAAGAGGATGTTGTTCCTGAGGGCCCGAAAGGTCTTGGAGTGATGGTGTTTCATTGGTTTGGGCTTCAATTGTGGGATCCTCCTGCTTCACGGAACGCGGGCCCTCGATACCGTTGGCCATCCCATGCCATCCCAAACTCCTTATTTGTTTGCAAATATTCTAGCATACGGAAGGATTTCACAATTTTAGCGAGTCACGTCTAATTCCAAAGGTTCTGGCGCAACTCGAGTTCTACTTGCACCCCGGCCACTTTCTGGTTCCACTTCTCCCTGCAAGTGGGTCACAAGAAATCAAGGGCATAAGATGTGGCCAAGATAATTCCATACTTCCAACACGTTCAACCAGGGTGGCACATGTTGTCAATTCTTGTATTCAAATTTCAGTGATGATACCCTTGGCGGGCTCGGCCTGGCGCACTTCCGGCAGTTCTTCCAGGCAATCTACGGTGATGGTGGGGGGTCCAGACAACATCTCTGCAGCTTCCTGGCATCACAACACAAACATGGAGGAAATCTCCTGAAATACTTATTGCATCATAAGCTATATTAATGCATATCCATGGCTGTGGCAACCAAAGGCAAACAGCATCACTGCCTCCCGCAGAGGATGCTCCATACAACGCTCCTGGTCACATGTTCACTGTTTGGTAGTTTCGCATAACTTCGCACATCAATCTGCGAACAGCCTGCCGAAGCAAATCAACTTCATGATTTCCAATTCTTCAGTCTTTTCGTGTCCTCCGGATCCCCTCCACGCTGCAAACGTCTGATCTCTTCATTGAGCTGCTCAATTTCAAGTTTTAAGCCGTGTGTTTCCTGCAATCCAGATCAGGACACTGAGCATGCAACACGGCACTGGCTGGTAAGAATTCATGCCCCTGCCAAGCGTTTTTTTTTGGAAAAACCGTCTGCCTTTAATTTTTCAATGCGCTCGAGACATGTTTTTCAACACCCACCGCGACTATATGTTTCAACCGTCAGCTGGTGAAACCATGTGAAACCACCAGCCCTGACTACGTCGTCCTCGTGCGCGTAATCGATACCTACCGAAATTATTTGCTCTTGCAGTTGTTCGTTCTCGGACTTCAAGAGCTGTACTTCCCGGTCCTTGGGCATACTGCCACCCCGTGGTGCGATGACAAAAATGGATTTCAATCAAACCATTCAAAAACTAATTGCAAAAAAAAAACTCCCGAAACTGATGATCTGAATCTCATCCCGGGAAAGAGCCAAAGAGCCTGAATTAGGGTCTGGTCACCTACCCGGGTGTGAAACAAGCCCCTGATAGAACTTGAGGCCCGGGGGTAAGGGACGAAAGCTAGCTGGGCAGGGCGCTTGGCATGAAAACACAATGGTGCTGAGGACGCGGATGCTGCCGAATGTGCTGCCGGTGGCAACATGCCGACAGTGTCCCCGAGAGGATTGAGCCACGGCCAAACTGCTTGTGAACCAGCCAGCCGGGGAGGGGAAGAGGGTAGTTAACTGTCAAGTTTCGTGCGATTGGGGATTCCAGCCCCTCCAATACCTTGCTAAAGCAGGAGGGGCTTCAGCTAGCAGAAGCTAGCTTTCGTGAAAAACACAAAGAAACTCCTCAGGAACCAGCGCCCACGCACAGCCCAACATCGCTCAGCGACGCAGCTGGTTCGAGAACCAAGGCCCAAGAGGTAAAAGGGCCAAGTCAAGAATTACCAAATAGGACTGGTAAGGAAAACGCATGATAATCTTCGAAATGGGTGAATCTTCGAAATGGGTGAGAGACCCACTGGAAACTGTGATCAAAAAGTTTCCAAACAATGGATACTATCAATCAAGGCAAGGGGCATGCTGTGCCACCAGCTCTTCGATCAGTTGCTGAAAGCGCCCCGGTGGCCCCAGCGACGTTGCCGCAAAATCAGCCATGGGCAATGAACCCGCCACGCATCAACGACGTCAAGATCCTCAAGAAAGTAGCTAGTTGACTCTGTGCGCATTTGCTTTTGTTGAATTGTCATAACTCAGTCGTTGTGCATTTTTGCACGTATGGGTTGTCATGGGTTAGATGCCCCAGGATGTACTGACACTCTCCTGCCATTGTAGTTTTTAGACTGACGGACATGCCTTGCAATTTCATCGAATTTATGCAATGATTTTCGCACCGTTTGTTTTTCCGTTGTCCAGCTGCAAATGCTACCAGAGAAATGTCTGGCGTGCCCAGAGAGCAATGATATTGAAAGAAACGATGCGTTCCGGCCGGTGCCGTTCAAGTGGCGCAGCGCAATTACTGCCAAGGACGTTTTGCCAGATTGATTTCATCATATTTCAACATAGCATGTATATAGAGAGAGAGAGATCTATACTTATATATAATTATATATATATACATATGTATCTTCAAATTGTCTGTCAAAATCTCCTTGCCCATTCATTGTGGATTTGATCTGCATGTGTCAGCATGCTTCATCCATTGGTCATCTATGTTGGTGCTGACTGGATCTCCCACTCTCATCCCTCCGTTCTTCATGGTGGAAATGTTCAAACTGCATCACTTGGGGAATGCCTTGGCCTCTTTGTCTGTGGAGGCCTGAAGCAATTTCTTAAACACACCGTAATTTACAGAAACTATTCCGTACACAAATCCAAGTTTGACATGTTTTTTAACAATATCCAAAAAAAAATATTTTAATAAAACGATAATGTAACTTAGGACTTCTAGGGATTGGTTTGCAACGGTTTGAAACGGTTTCGGGCTACTACCCAGCAAGCAGTATGAAACGGTTTGAAACGGTCTCGGACAATTGCTAATTAGCCAATATGCAGAAACTGTTTGAAACTGTTTGAAAGTATTTGAAACTATTCGGGTTTTTTGCCAGGGTGAAGTAGCAAATAGTAGGAAACGGTTTGATACGGTTTCGGGCTATTACCTAGGAAGTTGCGGGAATCGGTTTGAAACGGTTTCTATGATACCCATTATCTGCTTATGTAAAAATCATCAAAATTCAAGAACATATTTTTAAAACTGACTAAATCTGAATACAGCTTAATAAAGTTGACAAGTATCGGCATAGATAAAAATAAAACACAAGAAAAGGCGACAGATTGATAAGTAAGAAAGTAACAGTGCCTGATTCTGAGACGAAGGATTGAAGAGCATAGAACAAAAGAAAATTAAAAACCCCTTCGCCAACAGCCTGGCAGTCTTGGGGCAAAAAAAATTCAACCCAAAGCCAGAAGAACCGGTTCACTTGTGTGGGGCACTCTCTTTGACTGTATGGTTCCAGATCCCCAAACGGTTCCAAACCCAATTCTTCTCTCATGGAACGGATGATTTTCTGGACTTCAAGTGCTTGACTGCCATCCTGGTCCAATGGTTGGGACAGGCAAACCTGAGAAGGGGGGAACGAAAGCCAGCATCCCATCTACCCCTATTTTCCCCCAAAGATGTTTCACCCATATACTTTTCACCCACAGACTTTGCACCAAGAGTCTTTCACACATATACTTTTCACCCAGAGACTCTTCACCCAGAAACTCTTCTTGCACAGGCTTTTCACCCAGATACTTTTCACCCACTGGTTTTTCACCCACATACTTTTCACCCACCGACTTTCACCCATATATTTTTCACTCACAAACTTTTCACCCACCGTCTTTCACCCATATACTTCTCACCCATATACTTTTCACCCAACACTGTTCAACCATATACTTTTCACCCACAGACTTTCACCCATACACTTTTCGCCCACAGACGTTTCACCCACAGACTTCGCACCTCAGACTTTATCCCCCATACCCGTCTCACCCACAGACTTTTCACCCGTATACTTTTCACCCAGGGACTTTTCACCCACAGTCTTTCACCCATATACTTCTCACCCATATACTTTTCACCCGCAGACTGTTCAAGCATATATTTTTCACCCGTAGACTTTTCACCCAGAAACTCTTCACCAATATACATTTTACACTCGGATTTCTCCCCCATATACTTTTCACCCACAGACTTTTCACCCACAGACTCTTCACCCACAGACTTATCACCCTCAGACCTTCCACCCACAGACCTTCACCCACTGACTTTTTAGGCACAGACTTTTCACAGGCGAGGGGCTCACTTTGGGCATAAATTCGTGCTCACTTTGGGCATAAATTGGGCTCACTTGGGGCATGAATGGATCCACTTTAGGCATAAATGGATCCACTTTAGGCATAAATTTTGGGCATAAATGGGTTCACTTTGGGCATAAATGGTTTCACTTTGGGCATAAATGGGCCCTAAAAGAATCCAACCAGCGGTCTCCAATGGTCCATATCTCCAAAGTATGTGACTGGTTGGTGGTGCAATCACTTTGGGCATAAATGGGCTCACTTTGCGCAAGAAAAGCAGAGCCACGACACCTTTAGGGTAAGAAAAGCCACGGCACCTTTAGGACACCTTTTGGCTTTCTTTGTTGTTGCACTTAATGTCAGGAGAGACACGACACCTTTACGGTTTATTTGTTGTTGCACTTAATGTAAGAAGCCACGACACCTTCAGTGTTTATATGTTGTTGGTTTATTTGTTGTTGCACTTAATGTAAGAAGAGCCACGACACCTTTAGTGTTTATATGTTGTTGCACTTAATGTAAAAAGAGCCATGGCACCTTTAGGTTTATATATATATATATACACTTTTCACCCATACACTCTTCTTGTTGCGAATCAGGGATGGCAGAGCGAAACCATTGATGGACTGAAAGGTGCTTGAGGTGTCCTCTCTTTCTCTCTCTTTCTCTGACGATCTACCTGCCTACCTATCTATCTTCTATGTATCTATCTATCTTCTATGTATCTATCTATCAATCGATCTATCTATGTCTCTCTCTCTCTTTCATCTAATTACCTATCTATCTATCTATCTATCTATCTATCTATCTATCTCTCTCTCTCTCTCTTTTTCTCTGTCTATCTGTCTAGCTGTCTAGCTGTCTATCTGTCTATCTGTCTGTCTACCTGCCTATCTGCGGTGCAGTGTCATTCAGTGTAATGTAGTGTAGTGTACTGTAGTGTAATGTAGCGTAGTGCAGTGTAGTTGTGTAGTCGTAGTTGTAGTTGTAAAGTACTGGAGTGTAGTGTAGTGTAATGTAGTGAAGTGTAGTGGCAGGTAGTGTAGTGTAATGTAGTGTAGTGTAGTGTAGTGTAGTGTACTGTAGTGTACTGTAGTGTAGTGGAGTGTAGTGTAGTGTAATGTAGTGTCGTGTAGTGTAATTTAGTGTAGTGGAGTGTAGTGGCGTGTATTGTAGTGGATATAGTTGCGTAGTTGTAGTTGTAGTGTGGTGGAGTGTAGTGTAATGTAGTGAAGTGTAGTGGAAGGTAGTGCAGTGTAGTGTAATGTCGTGTAGTGTAGTGTAGTGTAGTGTAGCGTAGTGTCGTGTCGTGTCGTGTAGTGTAATGTTCTAACTCTCACATTTGCATTCGTGAAGCTGACTCTTCTTTATCTTTTTTTGGCAAGCAGTGCTGGCAATACCCACGCTCAATTTGATTCTGTTTTTCTCCCCTTTCATGTTGCTTTCCAAACTTGTACCTTTTCTATTGCACCTTCCTTCTTTTAGAAGGTGCACAACCCCCAACAGGTTTGCTGTCCATAGCTCGGAGGGTACGTTTCCTGGATTGAGTACGTTTCCTGGATTGAGAAAGTTTCCTGGATTGAGTACGTTTCTTGGATTGAGTGCGTTTTTTGGATTGAGTACGTTTCTTGGATTGAGTGCGTTTCTTTGATTGAGTACGATTCTTGGATTGAATACGTTTCTTGGATTGAGTGCGTTTGCTCGATTGGCAGTGCGACCATGATCTCAAGCATGCAAAAACAACAATCAAATTTTTGCATCTCCCCCAGCTTAAAAGAACGATAGAGATATTGAGACCGAATGCTGGAAAAGAATGCGCATTCATGGGTTGGAAATGTAGTGTAGTGTAGAATAATTTAGTGTAGTGGGGTGTAGTTGCGCAGTTGTAGTTGTAGTGTTGTGTCATGTAGCGTACGTACTGTAGTGGAGCGTACGTAGTGTAGTGGAGCGTAGTGTAATGTGGTGTAGTGTAGTGAAGCGAAGCGACATCTGAACCTCCAAAAGTGGTCCGAACCCCTGGTGCTTTTAACATGTTGACTTCCAAATGTGCTTCGCGCCACAACGGCGTGCACTTTTTCGACACCTGAACCTCCAAAAATGGTTCGAACCCCTGGTGTTTTTAACATTTTGACTCCCAAATGTGTTTCGCGCCACAACGGCGTGCACTTTTTCAACATCGCAACTTCCAAAAGTGGTCCGACGCTGGTGTGCTTTATACATTTTGACTTCGAAATGTGCTTCGCGCCACAACATCCACAACGGCGTGCACTTTTTCGAGATCGCAATTTCCAAAAGGGGTCCGAACCCCTGGTGTTTTTAACATTTTGACTTGGAAATGCGTTCGCGCCACAACGGCGTGCCCTTTTTCGACATCGCAACTTCCAAAAGTGGTCCGAACATGGTGTGTTTTGTACATTTTGACTTCGAAATGTGCTTCGCGCCACAACGGCGTGCACTTTTTCGACTTGGCAACGTCCAAAAGTGGTCCGAACCCCTAGTGTTTTTAACATTTTGACTTGGAAATGCGTTTCGCGCCGCAACGGCGTGCACTTTTTCGACATCGCAACTTCCAAAAGTGGTCCGACGCTGGTGTGCTTTGTACATTTTGACTTGAAAATGTGTTTCGCGCCACAACGGCGTGCAATTTTTCATCTCTCATCTAGCGAGCTGGCTCCGCACCCGCCGCTTTAGCGCGCCTACTTTTCGACCCTCCGGAGCCACAAATCATTGGAAAAATACAGTGAATCGCGACTTTCCTACCTTTTCGCGCATCTTATTTTTTCTCTTCTACTCTTATCTCTTCTAATTTTTCT